AGATCCGGATTCCTTAGGAAATTATGCCCCTAATTCATAACTCATACGTTAAATTTGGAGAACTTTTTATTTTGACCTACATTTCGATCACCAGATCTCAAAAGTGGGCCTAAAAACTTCTTGACGGCAAAAAGTTAACATTATAAGCACACTCTTTGCTACATGTATACAAAATTTCGAAGAATATCATTGAAGTGTAGTGTCCGAATTGCAAAAATAAGAAAAAACTAAGAATTTGACCTAGATTTTGAACTAGGTATTTTGGTGTCCAAATTTTGAAGGAAAGTAGCTTTTGAGGTCCCCTTCTTTTATGGGCTTTCATTATGTTTAGCTGTACTCATTCTATATCTTGTATTTTTACACTTCAAAAAATTATTCGGTCCCATTGATTTAACATGGGGCACCAAATTTAGCGATTTTTGAGCTTTAAAAACATCATAACTTCTGAACAAGATGTCGAATCGAAATTTGGTTTGCAGATTCGGATTCCTGATAAAATTCTACCCCTAATTCATAACTCATACGATAAATTTAGAATTTTTTTATTTTGACCTACTTTTTGGACACGCCATAACTTCCGAACCGGAAGTCGGATCGAAATATGGTTTGCAGATTCGGATTCCTGACAAAATTCTACCCCTGATTCATAACTCATAAGTTAAATTTGAAGATTTTTTTATTTTGACCTACTTTTGGGACACCATATCTCAAAAGTGGGTCAAAATACTTCCTGACGGCAAAAGGCTAACACTATTAGCACACTCTTGGCTACATGTATACACGATTTCGAAGAATATAATTAAAGTGTAGTGTCAGAATCGCAAAAATAAGGAAAAACTTTGAATTTGACCTAGATTTTGACCTTGGCATTTTTGTGTCCAAATTTTTAAGCTAGATGGCTTTTGAGGTCCCCTTCTTTTAAAAGCTTCCATTATATTTAGCTGAACTCAGTCTATATTTCGTATTTTTCACTTCAAAAAAATCTTTTTTCCCATTGACTTAACATGGGGCACCAAATTTAGCGATTTTTGAGCTTTCAAAACGATATAACTTCCGAACCGGAAGTCGGATCGAAATTTGGTTTCCAGATTCGGAATCCTGAGAAAATTTCCCACAAGACCAGTAGCGTGGACATTGAATTGGGAGAACTTTTTTTTGGACCTCGTTTTCGGACACTGATATCTCGAAATCGGTTTGAGATATCAAAAAACTAAATCGACCTGTTTTCCCCTACTTTTTTATGAGGAACACAATGAAAAAAACCCGGATTGAAAATATTGAAGGACGACCGAGAAAATTGAAAAAAGTGACAAAGTACTGGATTTGACCTAGTTCTTGACCTTTGACCTAGATAAAAATTTGACCTAATTTCCCAGAAAGCCAGATACATTCCCTAGTTGATCATGTAAGCAGCTTAAAGTAAGCTCTTCTAGTTGGTGAGAAATCTGGGAAGGAGGAAGAATAATAATAATAATAATAATAATAATAATAAAGAAAACTGGCAAAAGCAATAGACTCCAGATTTTCATCTGGAGTCTAATAAGAAAACTGGCAAAAGCAATAGACTCCAGATTTTCATCTGGAGTCTAATAATAAATAATATCTATAAAATCTATAGGAGGCCCCCTGTCGGGGGGCCTCCTAATAATATCCCTACAAACTTAAAAAATAATTACTGCCTATACTTTCCACAAAGAGGCCAAGGATTGTACAAAATGGTTTTTGAGAACCATCCATGATCAATAAGATCGTAGCATCTTCATTTTTGAGCATGGTATTGGTATCTGATGTGTTTAAGTAAAACATTTTTCAAGTCTCTTGTGTGGTCATTATAGAAAGGTTAATGTTTTATAATTTTGATCTGGTAAATCTACATACATGTAATGCCCTCAATGTTGTAATTTTGATATTTACATATCCAAGTCTATTTACTTTACACCCTCAATGGTGTAATTAACCCGTGTCATATACAGGCCCGTAGCCAGGGGGAGTTTGCAGGGTTTGGGCGAACCCCCCTGACCAAAAATTCTTTCAAAATCATGCAGTTTTTCACCATTTTTGAGCACTTCTCAAGTGATTTTAGCCATATTTGGGCCAAAATTGTCAAATGTGAACCCCCCTGGAAATTTTTGAAAACTGAACTTGCCAACTGAACTTGGCAAATTCTGGCTACGGGCCTGATATATCTGTCAATTTACTTGAGGCCCTCAATGTTGTAATTTTTAGCTTCAAATACATGGTTATAAAACCTGTGTCATATATCCATGTCAATTTACTTTATGCCCTTGCTGATGTAGTTTTAAGATATACAAACCTATGTGTCTTATATCAAGGGCAATATAATTTAGGCCCTCAATGTTGTAATTTTGAGTTTTACATAAATAAAATCTATATCCATGTCAATTTACTTCATTCCCTTGCTGATATATGGTACGTACTTTAGATGAAATATCACACGGAATACGGCACGTACTGTAGTTACAATCACGTGCTGTAGTTGCAATATGGGAAGTTTTGAGAAGTAAATATACAAAGCTGTGTGTCTCATATCCATGTCAATTTACTTTAGGTTCTTAATGTTGCGATACATAGTACTATATAAAAAAAACTTTGTTGTATGTCCATGATAAAGGCTGTATATAATTATCGAAGTGTTTTTGACACCTTTTCAAAGCCTTAATTCAACATGTTTGTGTATGTATAATACTTTTCATATCTTATACATTTCGAGTGGATATTCATCTTTCATTCCATTTGAAGAAAATGTAAATTTATAAAATATTGACGAAGTGGGAGCTGTTACAATGACCCCTATTTTGCAAAGAGACCTTAACATTCAAAGAGAAATCTAGAGCAAAAAACCTTCCCAATGTAGCAATAAGGATGCAGGCTGTCATCGGAAGATCAGGGGGTATAATCCAATTTGTTTACATGACCATGTAAGAAATGACTGGAAATATTGATTGGTTTATCTGTGCTGTTGGAGGAAATATTTTGGGGACACCCTGTGTAAAGCCATGTGTTGTATAGTTATCCATATCAAGTTACTTATCAAAATATTATTTCAACAATCTCCCTCAACCACAGGAACTTGTTTCAAAAATTGCCACCTATAGTGGCCCTGGTCTACCTTGAAACACAGTACAGGGCAACCTGTAAACTGACCATTTTCACTCCATAACGAGAGAATAAAAATGGTTGATACTAAAAAAATTTCAGGGAAAAGCTGTTATCTGCTGATAACCTTTTCCTGTACTCTAAACAAGCCTAATTCCAAAGTACAGTTCAACAGATTTCTATAAATACTAGTAAGCTATATTAGGTCATAATGCCTTTACTATGCCTTGCTATTTGTAAAAAAGAAAATGTAGGCATTAAACTTGCTGGGTTATTGAGACAATTTAACATATTCTGTTCACCAAAATGACATTAACTCGTCAACATTTTGTTCTGTGATCTGCTCATAATTTGAGAATATGGTAAGCATATTCTGTTCAAATTATTAAGAAAATTTCAAGGCAAAGGTTGCATCCCTCGGAGGAAATATCAACATTAGCAAAGCCAATATGAGGAATCAAATATACATCTATGCAGTCTAAGGCTTAAAATCAATAGAATGAATCTTTAATTCAATAGAATCAACATTCTTTTCTATAAAATCTTTTAAAGTTCTTATTCAACATCATGATGACATGACTTATGTATATGGGACTGAAGATGACACTCACTGAGAGGCAACATGTCAATAATCCTATATTTGGTCATTCAATAAATCAGATATAAGTCATTTTATTGGGGCCAACAAAAAAACTTTCAAGAGACTCTTTCAATAAGATATAGAATAAAAATTAAGGTATTTGAACTGAAACTTGCAGGTGCTGAGAAGGTAAAAACAACCACGATGGGCTACTTAATATTATCTACCATTATCACTGTGGTGCTGGCTGTTGATACATCAAACATGATTCAGATTATAACAGATAAACAGACAGCAAATAATGACATTGCTATGAGAAATAACGCCGACAATGCCAGCATAGAACATTATAGGTCAAGTTTACCAACATTTTGTCATTGTAGAGGCAAAACGAAAATAATTTGTTTATGCCGTGCAAAAACAAAAAATGACCAAATACCTCTGGCAGATATACTAAAACACATGGATAAAAACTACACTGCTACTTTAAGATTTGACAATTTTAAGTTTGAAACTTTGATAAATGGCTCTTTTAACGGATTTGCTAGACTATCATCACTGGAATTATGGAACTGCAGCATCAAGAATATTGAAGTTGATGCCTTGAAAGGTATCCATACAGATAATCCTCGTAATTTCAAACTAAATATAGAAATAAACCCAATTCAGCATATTGCACCTGGAACCTTTGCATCAATAAACTCATGGAAACAACTGTCGATGAATCAGAATAGGAACTTAGGAACAAAAGGGATTCAAACTGTGATGAATGACTTGAAAAATAAAACAATCCATAGTTTTGAAATAAAAACATGTGGAATTTTTCTGAAGGAGTTGACCAATTCCTTCTTTGAACCACTGCGTTATTCCGGAATTGGGAGGTTGAACATGCTAGGCAATGCTATTGGAACTGTGAAATCAGATGCATTTGAACCGTTGAAAAAATCATTAACTGATTTAACATTATGGAACTTCATGTATGTAGAAAAAGAAACATTTCAGATATTCAGAGAATTAAGACTTTTGAACATAGGTGGGTTTATCCCGTCAAGGAGCTTGCGTGACCTTAACATACACCTTCAGAATATAACATCACTGAAAAGTCTAACAATTAATTTGAGAGGAGTTGATGTAATGGCAATGCACATTTCTGATTTGTCAAACTTGTATGACTTGCATCTAACATCTGGAGGTGTTGGATTTCAGGTCCATCGATATCAGTTGATTGCACTGTTGGACAATGTTAAAACATTAAAACAGTTAGATTTGTCTGGGAACCTTTTATTTGAATATACGGATGAAGAGCTCTGTCAATTATTTGAGGATCGTAGCAATTTTACCTTCTTATCCCTCCACAGTAACTACTTGTCACATCTTCCTCAGTGCATGTTTAAAGGAATGTATGACTTAGAAACATTACTTCTACAGAAAAACAGGCTCACATTTATCCAAAAGGATGTTTTCAAGGACCTGTATAGTTTAACTAAGTTTGATATATCTAGAAATGCACTAACGTACATTGACTTGAGCAACTTGGAAATAATGAAACATTTACAATTACATGGACTTTCAATTTATGGAAACAACTTTGAATGCAATTGTCAACTTAAAGGCCTTCGTAACTGGCTCGCGGAGAAAATGATGAAGAGGACAAAAAAATTCATTGTTGAGAATTGTTCAATGCCTTCCTACAAACACATAGAATATGTCCACAATTTTACAATGACTTGGTTGGAGTATAATACCATTTCATTTATCAGTGGTACAACAGTAAGTGGAGGTTTAATCATATTCCTGATCGTTGTGACCCTTGTGCTACTGAGATATTTCTGGAAGGACATCAAGTACAGAAGAATGATTTTCCTTGCCAGGAAGCATGAACAAGATGGAAACATGAATGGCCCTCTAATAGAACACGATGCTTATATTAGTTATCACAGTGAAAAAAGATTATGGGTTGACAAAGATTTGTGTCAAGAACTAGAGAATGGAAAGGACATTAAGTTTAAACTGATGTTTGATAATCGAATAATGCCTGGTGGTTCTTTATTCACATCAATGGGCCAAGCCATACACACCAGCCGGAAAATCACTTTTGTGGTGAGTCGTGGTTGGGTGAAAGATGCCATGAATCAGTTTGAGGTTGATATGGCCCTTGTTAAACTCCTAGATGACTACAGAGACATGATTATTGTTCTACTCATGGAGCATATTCCTAAAGCTGAGATGCCTGACAAAGTAAAAATGATTATAAAGCACAATAACCGTCTCAGATGGAGTAATAAAGAAAGGAAACAAGCAAAGTTCTGGAGGGATCTCAAACTGGAACTAGGAAAATATCATTTTGGCCAAAACAGAAGGAATAGATTGCTCTAAATTGGTGAATGAAACACAGAGAGGATAGTTTTCGTGCAATACAAAATAATTCACATTTTTCTCAAATAAGTGCAACTTGACTGTCTCGCTTCTTCCGTAATATTAATTGACCTGTTGGTCTGTTGGTAGAACCATAATCTCGGGTGTGTCAGGTCACGGGTTCGATTCTTGTAGGACTAGTATATCTTTTTGTACTTTTTTGGTTGTAGACTCGTTTGTTATTATGCAGAAATAAACAAGTATCAGAGTACTATAGCCACATGATGTCAGTTTTATAAAAAAATGTAAAGTTAATGTGTATCAGACACATTCTGTTTTCGATACATGGGTGGCACATTTTGGTATCTTGAGATGAAGCATTTCACAGCGTGCCAATATACAGTAAATACAATGTATTGTACATATACATGTACAAAGTAAGTCATGCATGTAATCTTGTACCTTGGTGTACACTCATCCACGACATGTTGATATTTATATGTATTGGTCTGATAAGTAATGCAGTATACTTTTTCAATATTTATCCAAAATGTATACTCAAAACTCAGGGTTCTCACTAGGAAAATTTTAGACCCAGGATTTTTTGCGGTATTGTGACTACTTTTTTCGCAGTATCATGACTACTTCTCCCCCAAGTGAGATCAGAGATGTCCTTTTAGTATACTTTTCAACATACTTCTAAAGATTATCTTGCTATTTTCATCCCAATATTTATTTCTAAAAGGTTTCTGACTTCCTATTCTTTGTTTGTATCCAGTTTTATGTATTTTATCAAGAGTTTAACCCTGAAACTACATCAATACATGAATATATACCTTACGAGTAACATCTTGAATAAGTTTTTGCAATATAGAATATGTTATATAGCTAGACTTGCAAACATGGATTATTGTTTAGCATGTGTTTCGACTGTCCTCTCACACCTATCTGATCCAAACTTTGGTTGAGGAAATTTATAGTCCCTGCGCATTCTACCAGTATAGTATTGTTACTACACACTTGAAAAATGGGCACATTTTGACAAACTTCTGTCTGAATTGCAAAAATGAGAATTTTGAGAAAAACTGTGGACAACACTACTACTGTAATTTCAAATTACTGTAAATTTCACAATTGCATAGACTCCAACACATTAAACATATATTCTGTAGATTCAGTAACATAATTAGGCACACATCCTAGTTTTCTGCATGAGAAAAATGCAAATTTTGCGCAGAAATTCTGCATGAAAAAGCCAAATTCTGCACCAAATTCTGCATGAAATCTAAAATTCTGCACCAAATTCGGCACGGGGAAAAGTGAAATTTTGTGGTACAAGTATGTGCAAAAAGTGAAATTCTTGCTAAAATCAATAATTTTCTCCAAAAATAAACAATTCTTGAACTCCACTCATGCTGCTTTATTCGGCGATAATGGACAACTGCAGTAATAACACAAGATGCAACGTTAATTAGCGGCAAAACTTACCAAATGCTCACTTGTGAACTATCACGAAATTCGAACTATTATGAAATTCCAGATCAATATGCAGGGAATTCAGATGTCGTCTATTTATATATGACGAAGTAAAACGCAAGAAGAAGCATGATTATTTGCGTTAGAATACAATAGAATACAATATTAGACGTATTATTGCAAAACAATTACGAGGGACTGTCATTGGTTTCAAATTTCGTGATTATGTTAGACGCAGTCTTACCTCTAAGTGCAAAGGCGGAAGTTCGAGAATTTAAAACAGATTTCAGATTTCCTCTTGAAAATCTGACAAAACACAAGTATCTGACAACAAACGAGCGGAGTCTTTGGGTGTTTAGGTGAGTGACAAATATGAGATGAGTTGGTCAACTGGAAAAATCATGTTTTCTGCGAAATTCCGTGCCAAAACAAAAATTCTGCAAAAAATATGAAAATGCAAATTTCTGCGGTTTTTCTGCGGCGACACGGAATCACGGAATACTAGGATGAGTGATTAAGTACAATTACTTATATAAAGTAGAAACTGGTACTGCACTCTCCAACCTAGTTATCGAAAAGGATCCATTTCGGTAACAACGTGTCTGAGGCTCAAAGGTACAATTTTTACAATTTTTCTTGTCTCTTTATCTTAAGAGTTGAAGGCAGAATCTCCACGACAAAATCACAAATGCATGTCAGAAAAATCGTAACTTTTTTACCCAAAACCTGAAGGAGCTGCCTAGTTTTAATTATAACAACTTTGCCACTTTAACAAAGGCTAGTAAAATCAAGATTATGCTTTTTGGAGATTGTAAACTTTCAGATGAATGTAACAAAGAAATTACCAATTTATCAGCAAATCTTATTGACAAAATCATCTGATTATTTATAAAAAATTCATGATAATAAGGACAAAGTTCAACCCATCTTTCATCAATCATTATCATTCATTCCTTACATTTCCCATAAGGACCATGTAACACTTACAAAAGACAGGACACATGTTTTGAGAACCGTTATAAATATATGTTAATTTTGCAAATTTTATATAAGGGAGGCCAATAATGTAATGTTTTACCTAGGCCTTCCTAGTATGTTAACAAGTGTAAAATCTTATTGCAAATAAATAAAACTTAACCTTAAAAAAAAAACTTCAAGGTTCTGACTATTTGTTACCGAAACGGATCCGTTTGAATAGTGCAGTACCAGTGAGTAGAGGAGCTTGACTTTATTTCTTACTGTGGCTTGTATATCTACTCATATTGGAAAATAAAATGCACCTACCTGTGACATTAGTCATGCCTTGTTGTTCACAGTAACTTCCTCCAGTACAGTTAAGGCATTGGCTGATATCTTGCCTCTGTGTATCAGGTAGGAATGTCCCTCTGGGGCAGGGTAGGGGCGTGGCAGTCCCTTCTGGGCAATAATGACCCGCCCAACAGTAATCCCCATAACTTTGAGCCACTGGATTGGGATCTATTGCCCCAAGTTGACAGTAGTGCCCTACATTAATAAGAGATTTGTAAAGTTAATGAGACATATGTACAATAAAATTTGTGATATGAAACACCTCTCTAGTCTCTATGTGGCTTTGTAAGTGGACCTCTTTTCACAGTCTATGACCCACTGAGCTATTATTATTATCATTTTTTGAGACCCACTGAGCTAATGTTATTATAATGGTAATACCATTTTTCAAAATCTATGGCATATTCCACTGTACATATACAGATTTTACTGTGTATTGTATATTCTGGAAAAAATGCTCAAGTACAGTAGTGCAGGTTAACCGCTATAAACATGGTGCAGTTAAACCACAAATTATCCACTTAAATGTAGACATATTAAGAGGATATGTCATTCATTTTATTTATTTGACCTAACCTAACTTATAATTGGAGTGCTTGTTTTAAAAATTAATGATATGAAGAAAAAACAAGAATGATACATAACTGTGAGGAAATAGGATCTTCGACATTGTTTTTTGTGCTTAGATGAAGGTCATAGATTGAAAACATAAAAAAAATTCTCACATATTGTGTACTACTTTTTTTATTTTTCACTTTTGGCAGTTGCGTTGACATATAGCATTGTTACTATGTCAATACATTTTCATTAAGGATAAACAAAATAATCAGAAATACTTACCCTTTTGGCACTTGTGCTTACATATATATTATAGTGACTTTATATTTTCATTACAAATCAATGTAATAAACCAATCCATACCTGCAGTACAGTTGCCAGTGGGCGTGGTTAGTCCATCAGTCTGGCAGTACATCCCAGGGGTGCAATCCTGACACTCTGTCACATTTTCAAGTCCATAGTTATTACTGAAAGTCCCTGCAGGACATTTTGTGCCCTGGTCACTGCCTTTAGGACAGTAGTAACCTGGGAGACAAGCATAGCCTGTGCTGCCATCTGTTGGCGTTGAACTATTTGCAGCAGACACACAAGCAAATCCTGCGTCACATTGGTTGGTGGGACTTGTTTGCCCTATAATCACAATAACAGTTTTATATACCTTTTAACTGCACTTGAAATGTGTAGTGACTATACATTGATACAGGCAATAGCTTTTAGCTTTTTTTCAACTGAACCAATTATTTTTTTAATTCAATGTTTCCTGAATTCAACTTTTAAAAAAGATAAAAAATTCAAAGATTGCTAGATATCATAATTATTTACAGCTAATTTGCTAAGTAATTTGACAGTTTGGGAAGAGAGCCCCTTGTTGATCCTAAAGGGTACACCAAATTCTGAAATACCCTGTAAAACGTATGCTGAAATGGGCACATGCATTGAGCAATACCAAAATGAAATCCAGCATACTTAAAGCCACTTATCTTACCTAGACTGTCACAGTAATAGCCTCCAGTACATGGTAGACACTGGTCTTCCCTCTGCAGCAAGGTTACATTGCTGAATGTTCCTTGTGGGCAAGGGTATTGATGGGCACTCTGAGTGTTAAGAGGGCAATAGTAACCTGCTGGGCAGTCACTAGGTATCACTACTCCGTGCCCAGGAACACCATATGCTATAGATGACTCTGTTGTATCACAATACCTAAACAAACGATTCCTTGACTTAATGTAGAGAATAATGTGTTTTACAATAAAAATGCAACAATTTAGATAATATTTCGTTCATTAATCTGGTTGAGCTTTTTATGAGCCAGCATTAAGGCATCTTTATTGAGTAGTGTAAGTTTGACAACATACCTTCCTTCTGGGCAGTCCTTACACACACTGGTTGATTCTTCATTCTGATAAGTGCCATTGGGGCATGCTATGGGGAGCCCTGTTTCACCAGGGCAGTAGTGGCCAATAGTGCAGTTGTACTCCACAGGGGTGGCTGTATCCTGACCAGCAGGACAGTAATACATTGGAGCACAAGGACCTATAGTTAAGCAAAAGTTCATCAATAAAAATTTCATTTTAGAAAATGTAATTCAATATATATGGAAGCAGAAAAAGCCCTCACCCATGTGCTACCATTTTATCAGAAATGGATATCAATTTTTCAATCAGCTCCAGAAATACTTTATTTCCCTTATGGCTATGTGCTTACATATTATTTATGAAATGAATTGAAATTGAGAATAAGTGTACCTGATACATTTGTGTTGGCCGTGCCACTACAGTAATATCCTGGAGTACAAGGCTGGCAGTCAGTCACATTCACATTCCCCTCGTCATTAGAAAATGTACCCGCAGGGCATGGGGTTGGTGTTGCTGATCCACTCTCACAGTAATATCCTGGCGGACATATCTTGTCAGCTGGATTGGCTTCTGAGGCATTTCCATCACAGTAGTAGCCCGCATCACAAAGATCTGTTGGTAAGGCAAGCCCTGAAAGGAAATACGTTCAATACTTATTATTGCTTCAAAAACAGAGATCATTTAATGTATGATCAGCTAATTTCTCAATATTTAACTATGTGGGGTAGGGAGTTTAAAAAGCCATCTGTTTTTGACACTAACAAGTTTTTACTCTTCCAAGGTACGAGTACATATCTGGTTTCATTTTGAGAGATTGCAGTGATCAGTCCATGATATTTTCATCTGATTACTTATAACGTCATTTTGAAAGAGCTAATCATACCATAAGTTCCACAATATGAACCTCCATCACATGATACTGGGAAATGAGAGCCTATAGGGCAGTAGTATCCTGGGTAGCATCGACCTCCTGTGTAGTTGAGATTTGGACAGGAACAATCCGACCAATCAGATACATTAGAGCTGGCTATTGGTTGGTTCTGGAAGGAGCCTCCTGTGCAATACCAGCCTGCACTGCAGTCACCACTTGTAGCTGACATTCCATCAGCTGGAAAAATAAATCACCATATTATACTGAATCAAAACAAACTGGCTCAAATTGATAATTCTTTACCTAGTCAAGTATTCTGGAAAACTTGGTTATTTTGACAAGTTCTGACAATTCATGGACAGAATAGGTGGGGTTCAAGAAAAATCCTGAAAAGTACATTGGTTTATCAGCTTACTTTCACAATATTCTCCTGGAGGACACGCCAAGCAATCCTCAGGCCCTGTGCTCTGTGTAGCTGGATTGTAGCTGCCTTTTGGACAGGGAAACTCAAAGGAGTGTCTGGTACCCTGTGGGCAGTAGTACCCACTTGGGCACACCTGGTGTGTGTAAGTGGTAGAGTTGACAAGACAGTAGTACCCAGCAGGGCAAGCATTACACAGAGGTTGACCCTCATTTTCCCTGAAATAATAACATATCGGTAAATAAGTGTCTCACATCTGCATCTCGCTTTGAAGTTGAAAATTGAAATTAATATGTATTGTATGCTAACTTGGGTGAATAAATGTTTTATGTTCGCAATTTCTAAATGCAAATCTATGTTTTCCAACCAATGTAGATAGCTAATTTGATTGTATGTCACTTACGCATATGTCCCTGGGGCACAAGGAATAGGTTCAGTGGTGCCACCTGGGCAATAATATCCAGTGGGGCATATATCTCCAATTCCAGTGTGGCCTCCAGTGGGTGTGGCTAGATCCACTCCTGAGGTGCAATAATATCCCTGGGTACAGTTCCCGGAGACTGCGCTCAGGCCAGGGGTCAGACAATAGCTCCCACCATCACATTGAGTACACTCTGTTATGTTGTGTAGCCCAGTGATTGGGTTGTATGTGCCCGCTGGACAAGGCATGATATCAGCCCCAGTTCCAGGTGGGCAGTAGTGTCCTGTGGGGCACTCATCAGCCCGGTCTCTATTGGTACAATAAAATCCAGGAGGACATTCATAGCAAACAGATGCACCAGTGTGATTAGTATAAGTGCCATTTTCACAGAACTTGTGAATAGAGGAACCTTCAGGGCATGCTGACCCAGCTGGGCAGATATCACCAGTGGTGCCATCTGTTGGTGCTGATGTGTTACTACCACCTGTACAGTAGAATCCTGCGTCACAGGGGCCTGATACATTAGCTAGTCCACTCCCACCACAATACATACCAGCATCACAGGGATTACATGCTGTATCATCCACCATCTGCTTGTTGGGGTTGTATGTACCAGGAGGACATGCAATGGGCATATAGCTACCTTCTGGACAGAAGTACCCAGCGGGGCACTCATCTCCGTATAGCTCTCCTACTGGGTTAGCTGATTGTGACGCGTTGCTACAATAGAACCCACCAAGGCATGATCCATTGGAAGCTGATAGGCCACTCTGGGCGCAGAATTCACCAGGGGGACACAAAGTACAGTCAGACAAGCCAGGGAGCTCAGCCCTATCACCATATGTCCCTTTAGGACATGGGGTAGGCCAGTCCCAGCCTTCAGCGCAGTATGTTCCCTGGGGGCAAGGGCCACCACCCTCTGAGGCATCAGCTGGTATAGGGTTGATAGCACCTAGGACACAATAGAAACCAGGACTGCAGAGTCCAGTTGGTTCTGTAATGTTAACAGCCTCACAGTAATGGCCCTGAGGACATAACCGACATTCTGTAGCATTCTCTAACATTGTGGTGTTACTATATGTTCCAACGGGGCATGGATTAGCTCTTGCAGTTTCGGTTCCATTTGGACAGTAGAATCCAGCTGGGCAATCTTTGGGGGTCACAACACCATGAGAGGGGGCCCCAGCACCACTTTGATTCTCAGAAATTGCATCATTGCGGTCACAGTATTTCCCTGGGGGACAGGATAGACACTCCCCTTCTCCAGGGAGGGGTTGGTATTCTCCAGACTCACAGGGGTACTGCATGGGACTTCCTCTTGGGCACCTGTGCCCAGCTAAACATTGTTTTCCAGGGGGTTGAGGTGTTGTTTCACCTTCCGGACAAAACCAGCCTGAAAACATGAAAATTAGGGAATTCATTTACTAGTATCAGTCACTATACAGTTCATTTACAAGTTATAACTCTCCAAGGGATTTAAATTTTTTTTTCTTCGTAAATCTTTTCACTCAAATTTAGGTTTTGTAATACACTGTACATATTATAATGTATTGCTATTTACAGCTCACGATTTATTTGTAAATGATTTGTCCAATAATCTTTGTTCAACCTCGTTATCTTAAGTTTCAACCGATATATTCACAAATACTATTTATTAGACAGTACCAGAATGTGCTTAACGATTACATGTATTTAATAATGACCAAAGCCTACCTTCATCACATTGATCATCAGGTAGTGGTAACCCATAGCTAGAACAATACATTCCTGCCGTACACAGCAAACAATTTGACACATTCTGATTGGCGAATGCATTGCTATAGTAACCAGGATCACATGCTATAGGTGCAGAACTTTGTTCTGGGCAGTAATGACCTTTAGGGCATATATCCCCTGTTGTCTCGTCAACAGGGTTAGGTAATATAGTACTTCCATTGCAGAAATATCCAGCCTGACATGGTCCACTGACAGCATCCAATTCGTCCGTTAAACAATGAAAGCCTGGGTCACATGGCACAGGGGCGGCTGAACCAGCGGGGCAGTATTCACCAGCTACACACATGCCCCCTATTGATTGAGCCGGGCAGTTGCAAGCTGATCCAGTGTCATTACCTGGAAAGGAGAAATACATAGAATCAAGTACTATCAGATTGACCTCCCATCCTAAAAATGAAAATTAAAAGTTGCTTCCTAACCAATATTGCAAAACGTAATCTAAAATAAAGTTGAGAAGAAATACAAGATGGAATATTGAAACTGAATGTTTTTTCACTAATGTATTTAACAATATAGCTTACCTAATACACTTGGTTTGTAAGCCCATGATCCAAGAGAGCAGTAGAATCCAGGTGCACATGTACCTGCTGGTTCAGTTAGACCCTGGCCAGGGCAATATGAACCAGGAGTACACAACAAACAGTCATCAATACTGGAGCCCTTGGTGGCATTATTAAAGCTCCCATTAAAGCATGGATATTGAGTGTCAAATTCTGTTCCTAGAGAGCAGTAGTGTCCAGTGGGGCATTCAGTGATGTTACTACTTCCGCTGAGGCAATAATAGCCGGCAGGACATACGGTACAGTTTGCTTGCTGCGCTATAGGGCTGTAGGAGCCCGCGGGGCAGTATTGAGGAATACTTGAACCCTCTAAGCAGAAAGTGCCACTTGGGCATGGGCCACCTGTGGCATCAATGGTTGTTGGGTTTGAGATGTTGGATCCCAGGAAGCAATAGAACCCTGGGTCACAGAGTCCTGTTGGAAAGCTGAGGCCTGGAACGTCACAATAGTGGCCTGGGAGGCATTGCTGACACGAAGCCTCATTTACTAGACCAGTATCATTGTTAAATGTGCCTGGGGGACAAGCAGTGGGTTCACCAGTCTGTGCTTCACAATAATGCCCCATGGGACATACACCGGCATCACCAGCTGTGAGCCCAGTGGGCTGTTGAGCATCAGAGCCACTGCGACAGAAGAACCCAGGATCACATGGTCCTGTGACAGTTGTAGCATTAGTCTCAGAACAATAGAAGCCTGTAGTACACTGTGTACACTGGGAGCTATTCGCTAGGCCTACATTGGCACTAAATGTCCCAGCAGGGCAGGACTGCCAAACATGACCAGTACCCTCTGGGCAATAGAATCCTGCGGGGCAGTCTTGAGGATTGGTTCCTGTGATGCAGTAGTGCCCGGGTGTACACAATAAACACTCACTGTTAGTGTCTGTATCAGTAAAGGTACCTATAAACACAAATATCCGCAAATTATAACCAACATTATAAGTGCAATGCAATAAGAATTTACAAGCAAAGGGCTTGGCAGTGCAAAGTCTTTGGCAATGAGAATTTATAACCAATGCTTGACAATGGACCATGAAAGTTAATAGTGATATACATGTAACGGAAAACTATATTTTACCAGTTGGTAGAAATCATCAAAGAAACTTCATTTACAGGTTTTATGCTTGTATATTCCACAAATCTATATTTCCATACCTGGTTCACAAGTGATGGGTTGAGGGCTTCCTTCAGGGCAGTACAAGCCCACGGGGCATTTATCTCCTGTTATTCCATCTATTGGAGCTGATACGGAGGCATTTCCAGCACAGAAATAGCCAGCAGTACAATTGCCAGTAGGCTGAACCAATCCTGGACTCGCGCAGTACTTGCCAGGGTCACAACCTGTGCACTCAGCTGAATTACGAACACCTGTAACAAATACAATATATGTGTCAAGAAACTGTATCTTAAAGGTATCACTCTAAATTATGCTTTTTAAAGTTATTTGGAATTAATGTTTTTGTAATTCTAAAAAATGAATTCAGAAGTTTGCTTTAACACTCTCTACTCTTTGGTGCCACTTAGAATATATACCATGAATGCACTCACAAAATAAAATGTAAACTCAGTGCAGTATACATGTACAGTACAACCTGTGAGAGTGCAACATCTTCAGCACCTCAAAGTTCCACTGTTTAACAGGTGTTTAACTAAAAGAGGTGTTTAACTTCACAGGTTTTACTCTACATCAGAAGTTCAATGATGTTTCCAAGAACAATAGATTAGAGAACTCCTAGTTTAGTTTCTACATGATTACCATGATCTAGTACATGGCAAGTCTCAATATTTCCAAAACCATGTCTTACCTTCAGATGGTGTATATGTGCCTGCTGGACAGGGGGTTGGGCTGGGGGAGCCTCCCTCACAATAAGACCCTGGGGGACAAACAGACCCAGTCACATTATCCAAAGGATTCTGTATCGCTGCCCCCAGAGTACAGTAATAGCCCTCGAGACATGGTCCAGTAGGGTTGGTAAGTCCAGTTGTTTCACAGTACTGGCCACCTGTGCATGGCAGGCACTCTGCTTCAGCCTTTAACTGTGTAACATTGTTGAATGTTCCAGCAGGGCATGGGAACTCCAGAGCGAATTTAGTACCATTGGGGCAGAAGTGACCAGATGGACATTCAAGTGGGTTCTGGACACCATGACTACAGATTGTGTCATTCTGGGTGGTTGCATCACAATAGAAACCCTCTGGGCAATCCTTACAGACAGCCTGAAAAAAGGTCAATATACAAATTACCAATTTAATGTAGAGCTCTAAATAATATAATATAGTACCCCGGACAGGTTGTATGATGCAGTCGTCTTTTTACTCTATATTTGCAATAGAACAACCATTCTTATTGAAATTTTCATATTTTATTCTAGAGACAATTTCTAACATGGAAAATAAATATTTTATCAAAATTTCCAATTTTATGATTTTGACGGGCTTTTTTCAAAAACACTACACTGTCAATAAAATACAGATTTTTGCTTGAACAATTGAACTTTTAACGTCATTTCAAATATTGTCTGGCTATTGAATTTCCGGCCGCCTTAAGTCTTTCCAGATATATCTGTTGCCATATTAATAATTATGGCTGATTATCGTTATTCACTTGAGTCATATTCAATATTATTACAGTACATTAGGCCAATAAAAACGTGTTGCTCTGGGTCTCTTTTTGTGAAGCGTTCCCAAGATTGAGCCCAGGAGGTCAATCTTCTTGTCCACGGACCTGAATTCAACCCGATCGAACTGTTCAATACTGTCCAAAATGAAGTAAAACATTACGAATCTCCAATTTGAAGTATTCTTGGCATTAGATCGTTCAGAGATGTTAATATAACTGTGTCAAATTTTATCATGAAATTGTCAGGGAGACCTGACATTTAAAAAGCATGGTACAATTTACGTGCCACGTGCAATTGACATAACATTCTAAATTATAGATTTCCTCAGCCTCGATTGATGTCATATAATAATTTATCATTAAGCATTAGGACATTGATTTTCACCTATATTAATCTTCAAGTGTACTGAGAGCATAATGTACACTGTAATCCCTCACATGTCAGCTCATTCTTTCCTTTCATCATTAATTAACTAACTTAATAAGTTAAACTATTGTAAAAACTCTTTGTGACTTAAGTATAAGCTTAATATTAATGTCATCATACACTGTGCCCCAATTAGTTACTCTATTTTATTCACATCAAAGTAACTAGTTGGGAAACAGGGATCATTGCCAATGTTATGGTTTCACTAATAGGCTTCGGGAATAGAATGTTCATAAAAAAGATGGTGTAGCAGTCTGCCTTTCATATTTGGCGTAGCATTTATTGATCTTAAAAGTAAATACATTGTGAAATGTTTCCAAATCTTTTGAAGAGAGGCCACAGGACCAATGTGAACAAAACGTGCAAAAGTTCAGATTTGAAATGTTTAGTTTAAATTAAAAATCCATTGTGTATTATATGTACAATAACAATATGTCACCACTTCTGGCGGTGACATTATAATCTGATTAAGTAAAGCATTTTGGTTCCCTTTCACATCAACAAAGTTCCAAATTGAAACATTTTGAGCAAGAGGGAGAAGCTCATGTACTTAATTCCAGACTGCTAAGGAGTGAAGAGTTATCGAAAGTCCAGCTCGGTTTTAATTGCAGACTTTTATCCTGAATATTCTAAACTGAGTCATTCTTTATTCAAGATTTTGTGATTTGGTTAAACCCATTGTAGTATAAATATTATTTTATACAGGTCCAGTTACCAAATGCCCCTGCTTATATAAACAATTGCAGTTCTAAATCTCCCATTCAATTAAGGCAATCAAACGAACAAATTTGTTTTCAGAGGTGGTGGACAGATAGGCCTGGTGGATGGAAAGACAGATAGATTGAAGAGAGGGTAGATCAGGGGTTTCATAAGCTTCACTGGTTGTTTTCACAAAACAGTTGTTTTTATGATTTCTATTAATTTAGCCTGTTGTTTTCATTGATTTAGCCCGCTATGAGAAATTCAAGTGAAACCCCTGAACCCTAATTTAAATTAGAGGAATAATAGAAAAATAAATATTGTAGAATATGTTGACCATGTGTAGTAAGCTTTTAAGACTCCTGTCTATCCTTGCATGGTGAGCCCCAAAATAGGAATTCTATGATGGACATTGGTCTATGATTCATCTTAACTTATGATGGGAAGTTCAAGCCCATGACCAAAGATATGATTATTGAAACTCTATAAGTAGAACACCTTTCAGTCCTGTAAGACATTGACTTAATATTTATTGAACCTAAAGTGGAATAACTTTGTAAGTGGAACACCTTCTTACTGATGTTAATTAGATAAAATACTTTCAGAGAAATTAATGGTGTTCTACTTAGGTTCTACTGTATATGTGTACCCTATAGGAAAACTTCTCATCCTTTATAATAATAAAGTAATGTGATTAAAGTACAAAAATAGAAGAGCTTTTACTGCTTCACAAAACTAAATAATAGAAGAGCTTTTACTGCTTCACAAAACTAAATATTTAGAACATAATCACATCTAATGTAGGTGTGCTATTTGGAAAATACAGGGTGACCCAAAAATGTGACTCAGACGCACGATTGGACTGACGGACAGACGAACAGAAGGATGGATGGTCAGCTTCATTCTTTCCCCCTAAAATTTCGTTCGTTGGAAAATAATGATGATGTCACTTGCCTGATGGAAAATACTGACACCCTTAGATTCTGATTTTTCAATGATTTTGAGCAAGAGCATGTGTCATTGTTCCACACATTGTACAAAAATTCTACACAAGAAAATTCGAAAACATTAACACAATAATGGAGAGTTATTCTCAAATCAGAGGTTTGCGTTGGGGTCACCCCGTACATAATGGCACAGCTAACTAGGGCAACTGGCTATAATAGCCTTTACAAATAGAGAATAACAAAAGACGGTCAAAGCTTTACAATCAATATATGCCGAGGTAATCAATATGTGCGGAAGTATACTTAGCCACTTATTACATCTTATCCAACAAGGTATAGCATGCTGAATTGAAGGGTTTGTCGGAGTCAGGAGACGGTATCATTTCATTGCATTAATATGACTTAAGGTGACCATTCTAAATGAGAATTTACACAGTCCAACATTTTCTGGTACAAAAGCTATCATAGTAACTTTGGTTTTATAAGCTTACAACACATTTTTTGCAAAACTGTGAAACGATTATCTCTTATCTGCCTTTATACAGACAATAAAGACTAATCCAAGTTGAGATTGTGATTATAAAGTGCTGTGAAACAGTTTCAGAAAAATTCAATACAAATTATTTTCATATTTGTTAATTACATGTAAATAAATTAGACAGTCCTATTTGATAAAAATCCAGATCTTATCCCCCCAAACTTTTCACCCAGCTCTCATTCCCCAAAACTTTTCACCCAGCTCTCATTCCCCCAAACTTTTCACAGAGCTCTCATTCCCCCAAACTTTTCCCAAGTGTGAGGTAACAGAAGATCTTACAGGACTCAAGAAGTCATGAAGACAAGAACGTATAACATAAACTCCTAAAATACCTTTCCAAATTCATCCTGGTATGAGCCTGCTGGGCAAGCCAACTCTGTGGCGGATCCACTCTCACAAAAGTGTCCAGGGGTACATATAGTCTATGGGTGCACTAACATTCTGGCCCTCAGGACAGTAGTACCCTGGGTCACATAGTCCTGTTGGAGCAGGAAGTCCATTGTTGCCACAGTATGAACCTGAAATATACAGAAAATGTTTTTATCAGAAAAATTCATTATTTACGAGGCTAATATCACTGTGGCATATCTGTGGGACATCTTAAAAGATATTTTTCTGGAGAGACATTCATACTTAATAGGGTTAGTTTCCTAATACACTAAGCTGCTGTCCAGTTTATTATGAGTGCTGGCATGGAAATACTTTAAGACTTGAAAGGTTTCAACTGAAAAAACATCTGGACTGCTAGAATACAATGAAATGAAGAGAACTACATATAGGCTGGTAAACCACTTATAATGTTCTCATGCCACACCCAGAGGCCAAAATAATTGAAGGATACATGATTCATTTTAAATACTGTAATAGTAGTGGTTTGATAAATCTTTGTTTGATGATGTAATCTATTTTAAGTGAGTCAAGTCAATCATCTCAAAAGAGTAAGTGAACTGGCAAGCATGTTAACTTACTAAAAATATATATAGATTATCCTATATGAGGTTCAGGATATTGGGATCATCCCAAAGCTAATATAATATATCTACCGAGGTCTGTAGGTCTGTGTATATATATATATAAGTATTTAATATAGGTATTTAATATTTCAAAACACCATTTTTTATTTCATATTTACTATGGGTAATTTGCTAGGGGTGAGCATATTTTCTAAAAGATAAATTGCCCATATGGCATGCATTGTTTCTACAACAAGTTGAAAATATTGCAGGACCACTTAAACGTCACTCACAGACTTCAATTACAAGTAAATCCATAGCCAAAATATTGGTTCAACGGATATAAATTTAAAATGGGTGCTTTGTTCTCAAGATATGTTATAATCAATTGGTTCCTTCACATTTCTAGAAAGTTCCTTAACAAATCTAGAAAATATTATTCATGCTTATGAAAGTTTACAATTTTCTATAATTTCAGTTTTGGTATGGTATGGGCACGTTCTTGTTGCTTCAAACTCAAAAAGCTTAAGAGAAAAAAGATTTCATTCAATATACAATATGTATGTATGATGTAGTTCATTATACCAATTAGACAATGCCCTTCACAGGAAATTATGAATTTCATAATTTTCAGAAAAATGAGAGTTCGAAACATTTGCTTTCAAGAGTATAATGAGAATCAAACGGCTATGAAGATAATTCCCTTCTGTGACTGCCCTTTGGTGTAAATATAATTGTCTCAAAAAGTTATGTGTATCTCTTACATGGGTTATTCTATTTTCATAAATTCCCTAAATATCTGAACAAGTGATATTCTCTAAGACTTCAAATTGGTCTGACTTTATACTGTGAGACAAGAAATTCTCAATAATTTTGTTTCTGGATACTGTTAATATGCAGTACATCTTCAACATATGTGATACCACACAGAAAACATAGATGAGATATTGTTGGGAAATTGATATTTTCGCCAATAATCAATCAATGGCTTATGTAATATTCCCTAATTACCCAACTGTATAAGCTTCAAATTGCATGCACACATACATATACAATTCCATATCATTGATATTGATTTCTTTCTGAAAGATGGGGTCCATATAAATGATTTAGTTGATAAACATAACAAAATGAGCAGTCATTGGAGAATCAGATGAGCCAATCGAATAATTTATTCTTGATTCAAACATGACCGTGCTCTATTCGAATTTTTCAACCAATCAGAATGCAGCATAGCCAATATAGAACGTTCTCTAATTCTCCATAGATGCACGACCATGCTCTATTCAATCTGCAATTTGCATTGTTTTGAGTGACGTCACATCTCAGCTGCACATCTGGGGCTCTGTCCGGGGATAGCTGTTATTTTTTACTCCCTCCGTAACTACTGTAACTATTTAACTATGGCTGACTTCAAGTTTGCAGTCGCATACACCGTATAAAATCTAAAACGGGGAGTAAAATAGAACAGCCCAAACAAATTCTAAAATTTTTCCGGCCGACTTCAGAATCTTGACAGCATGCGCATTCTTCCTTCATGCCCGTTCCACAGACACGGCTTTTACTAATTTTATGTTTGAATCGGAATAAATAATGATAGGCCATTCAATATGGTGAAATTCAGCACTCGTTGGACAGAATGTTAGTACAAATGCACTAGTGCTTGCAACGGTAATGGATCTCACTGCCGGTAAATTTCACCTCCATTACCTTACCGTTACCGATAATCGTTGATACTGATAATGTTCCTAAAATCCCGGGGAAAAACCTGAAAGTGAAACTAAAATATTTCGAAAAATCCTTAACGAAGCCGATTTCTCAGCTTGATTTCCCGCTCACATCAACTACAGTGGATATATTGTATCATCGTGTATCTCGTGTGTGATTGTGTATTGTTAGGAAGTCTTTGAATGATAATATAGAGTGAATTCGATCAAAATTGATCAAACTATTTGTTTTTGTTTTTACTTCACCGAAATATCACGTCACGTGATTTGTTAATCTCGCGGCATGGGAGATGATTGACAGAAGTGGGTGGGGTTTTGCTTATCCTCCCGCCTTTTACGAATCCTTTGCAGTTGATTGACAGATTAGCTCTTCTAATGTGGAGATTGAAATATACATGATTGATAAAATATTCTTAAACGAACATTGTTTCGTAAATTTGACAATGGATCGCAATGCCAATCATCATGTTGCAGCAGCACGGCGATTATCGGCAATGGATTTTATTACCGGCAATTGAGAGTATCTACTGCCGCTGCCGACAACCCGGCATTACCGTAAGGCACTAAAATGCACTCACCTTCGGTTCGTGCTTTGTACAACATTCTGTCCAACTCGTGCTGAATTTCACCATATTGAATGGCCTATCATTATTTATTCCTTAATCAAACTGTATCTAGCACAGATCACAAATCACAGCTATTCTTAAGATAATCTCACTTTTAAAAATGTCTGTGATAGATGAAGAATATGACAATTGCCAGAACATTTACTTTCAAATAATTCATTATGAAAGATATGTTATATTTAATGGTAATCAAGGCCTGAAAACCCAAACATTGAGTAATACATTTATATAATTTTTGAAAACAACAAAAAACTTCTTCGAGGGTTGATCATAAAGTTCTCATAATATCTCTCTAATTTCTTTATTTTTCAATATATTCTAATGAAATTTTCACAGAATGTGCAACATAGAATGTCTTATTAATTCAGCAAGAAATATCTAGTTTAACAGAAATATTAAATAAGAAATGGTTGCCATAGTAACGGGAAATCAGGGCACCCGGGGCAATTAAAAGTAATTGAGAAAATGGCTCTAATTAACCATGTTAACACACATAATTACCTCTCATAAATTACCAAACATGTTAAAATGTTAACTTGAATATGTTGTTAAGTGCTTTTACAATTGAAAAAATGATCAAGTGGATTGTGTGATGTCATAGGGGATGTTTACATGCTTCATTAGATGTGATACCAGACTCCGAGACTCAAAGCTAATGATCAGAAATGACTGAGTAAGAGAATGCAATAGATGCAGAGATCTTCAGAAAAATAAAATTCATACTGATAAAATGTTATGTTAAGTTTGTAAGATCCTTTGGTCAGACTAAACATGATCTAAAACAAATATATTGCTAAGATATCAACAAAATTACACCCTGTGTGTGGTTTTACATGTTAAAAATGAACTAAAGGGGCAAAATCCATTTTCCTCAGGATATTTGACGAAACAGTCATGTGGTCTAACAGTCACTTCTAATGAAGCATAACAATCATCCATTATAAGATCACACAATTCACATGACCATTAAAATAGTTCACAACAGTCAAGAGCACATATTATTTGACAATTTAATGTGTTTGATAGCTTATTTGACAACTTATAATGTATTTAAACATGGTTAATGGGGGCTATTCTAGCTAGTTTTTTTATTTGCCCCCGGTGCCTTGATTTCAAGTTACTATAGCAACCATTTCTTATATAATGTTTCTGTTATTCTAAATATTTTTGCTGGATTAATAGAACATTCCATGCTGCACTTTCTGTGAAAATTTCATAGGAAAATATTGAAAAATAAAGAAATTAGAGAGATATTATGAGAACTTTATGATCAACCCTCGTATATTCATAAAAAATGAAAAACCTGATATCAATGAACAACTTTTTAAAACTAATATGTTGGTTGCTCAAGTTGCTTTGTACAATTCAGTTGTCAAATTATTTTATCAAACATTTTCATCAGATGGTCAATGGAAAATGGGCATCAAAAAGAAATTGCATATATTTGTATAAAGTGTAAAGTAACTGTAGATACCAAACTAAACCAAGGTTTTACATTCAACTAATCCAATCCACTCATTTCCAAACCCCACCCTATTAAAAACAATCCCCTCTGTTTCTATTAGTAATGTTCAATATTAAACACGATTGAACCATTTTTCATTTGAATGGATTTCTACTAATCAGCTTATGAATTTTGCATGTAGGAATTACAGATTGTTGTGACTTTTCTAAAAATTATAAAATATGTTATTTTTAAAGTTAAACGGATTTCTGTGTTGTAATCTAGGTTGCACTTTTAGATATGGAAAAACATATCTCCACCATTAATAAAGAACTGTATCACCCCAAATGAATGAAACGGACATCATCATATGACGAAAATGAAAGAGGCTAGGCAAGGAATAAAGAACATCACCATGAGAAATCCAGTACAATGCAAATGCAGTACAATGAAAATGCAGTACAATGAAAACGCAGTACAATGAAAACCCAGTACAATATTTGTGTACATGTAAATGTATCACACGGTTACAAATTGAAAATTTGAAGGCAACACCCTCAATATGCCTCATGACTACATTTTTAACCTGCCCTAAGAATGGCATAATAAGGGTGGATTCGAGTATTCATGTAAAATGGAAAAATAAACTATTGTATGGCTACCAACAAACACCACCAGTTGACAATAGTATATTGACATATCCCCTGTAATCCTCTACCATATTTATATAACAAATGAGAACATGAATTCCTGTTGCTAAGTATGTGTCATGTACATGTACATACCAAGCTGAAATATTCATAAATCTCAAACACATCTCATGGGTTTTCCATTACATGTAATTGATGCTAAATATTTGTTCTATTAGTATGATAAATCAAAGAAGTTGACCACTACCTTTTATGTCAACAAAATCAAATGTTCCTTCAGAATGAAGTGGTCAAGAACTTTTGAATTGGTCCATTTCATTATTCATACAAAGATGTTAAGATTGTATTAGCAACAAGCAACTGTTTCTATTGTTCCTTTATTGAACCAAATGTCAGGTATGATTATCTTAAAGGCCCTATGCAAAGTTTTAAAAAATTGTTCAATCATCCAAATATTATTTTTTGTGACTTAAAAATTGTTTGAGACATATATAAACCACTAAGTTGTGCAAACTTTCTTTGGGGCTTTTTAAATATTTTTGCATAATTAAACACGCATTTGTTATATATTTCAACAATACAGTAAAATTACATCTTTAAGTAAATTCAAAATTTTGTGAACAAAAAGACCTTAAAACAATTTAAAATTAAAAACAATTTCATGTGTCACATTTTGATAATACTGGCTATGACTACAACATAAGTCAAAATATGTCAAATTGGTTTAAACTTTACATGGGGCCTTTAAAAGAAAGCTTTCAAGAATTTCAGGCTGTATAAGCTTCAATGATTGGACGGAAAGGCTGTATGTAAAACTTACCAATATTTGATATTCAGCAAAGCACACAAACGAAACCTTGTCGTTATAACTTCCACATGTAATACATTACACTGAAGACAGGATATTCAAATAACCAAAGTGAACGATTATGGGAAGTACGATGAACTAGGATAATAATTAATAATTAATTAAAAAGAAAACTAGCTAAGAGCCAGAAGTCATAAAATATTATGATGCTATTATAAATATACATACTCTTTGGTTGCTAAAAGAAAAAATTTAACAGTAACAACAGAATGAAAATTAGAGAAGTTAATGCACTACTTCTGCAATTACTACTTGGGTTAACTGCAGCGTTTCTAGTGGTGATGATATGGTACACCTCAAACACCAGCAGCTACATTCCATCTGGATATATAAAACCACCATATGAATATCATAAACTTAGGAGAGATGTCAGCCAGATGTCAGATATCGATATCAGTCAGTCACCAGATGTAAGGACTTCTTTCTTGACACGGACACTCTTCAAAAAATACAACGAAACAATGGAAAAAATTGTCACTTCAATGTTTGATGAATACCATCCGCTGACAAGGAATAACACCTTACCTTTCATGAAGGCCCCACTGCAGAATGTTGATCAAATTACAACATTGGAAAATGAAACAAAGAAAGGTGACCTAATCGAGAAAAATGATACAAAGAAGGAACCACAAAAACCTCCAGTTGGACAAACTGATCAAAAGATATCTCAACAAGAATATTTAGATACACCCAGACCTGACGATAAGCCTCGAAGAATATATTTAGAACATGGCACAGGACGGCTTGGAAACAAACTTTTTCACATTGCAGCTGCATATTCTATAGCAATGGCCAACAACTTGACCCTTTATGTACCTTATGACACCGAGGTGATACGGATATTTAATGTAACACAATTTAAAACATACACAGCAAAAGATTATGCTGATTTCGCCAAATCTGGAGCAAAAATACAACCAATAAAGCATATCAGCTATAACAGCTCATTTATGAACCTAACGTGGAAGTACCACGTTAAGTTACATAAAGGGGGTGTACAGACATACATGTACTTCTGGACGAAATACCAGCCACATATAAGGAGCTTGTACGTCTTTAACAAATTCATACAATATCAAGTAAATGCATTTTTGCATGGACTGCAGCAAAAATATTCAAAGCTTGGTAATGTGACTTACGTTGGGATTCATTGTCGTAGAGGAGACCGTGCATATGATCCTGCAGTTATTAATGCTGGTTATAAAGCCACACCAAAGGCTTACTTCCAAAAGGCTATAGATTTAACACTAACAAGATATAAGACCCCAATTATATATGTTGTAGCCACTGATGACCGAGGGTGGACTACAGAAAATTTACGACCTCCAGGAAAAAATACATTTATAGAACATACACCTTATGGATTAACTGCTGAATATGACATGGGTATTTTATCCAGTATGAACCACACAATTATGTCAACTGGATCATTTGGATGGTGGTGTTCCTATTTAGCAGGGGGAGATGTTATATACTATAACAATCCATTTGTGCCTAAAACGACACGTGGGAAATCATGGAAAAGGTACTTCAAAAATGAAATGTATCCCAAAGAAAAAAATTGGATCTCAATGGGGTAAAAAACGTCCAAACTCCTCAAACAAGGCCATGTTTCAAGCAGAATATTTAAAGATACCATGTTAAAAACCTTTTATAATTTTCTTAATATAATTTTACCTCAAAATACCTCTTTAAATTTGTACTATCATCATTAGTAGTTGAAAATAATTATGTATTGATCATTTTGCCATATTTGGAAACTCTTGTAGCAAATTCCTATACTACTGTTAATAAAACTAATAATGGCTATGGCCTATTGCATTGATGAAAGTATAGTATATGTGTGTACTAGGGGTGATTCAAAAGTATTACACAACAAAAGCGTAAAGGTAAACTTCAAATCATTCAATTGTGAGATTAAGTCTATGTCAATCAATCAATATAATAATCATCAATCAATATCTCATTGTGCATAAATAATCCAAACGAATGCATTAAACTTCTCATTTTCTCGAGACCATATTCAACATAAAAGTCGCATGTGCACTCATTAGAACTATGCACTCATTAGAGAGAATATGGTAGGTTCAATTGAATTCCTAATCAGAAATGACAAAAAATATTCAAGACAACAAAAAGTGACTTCAAACTATACATCCCCTAGTAACCATATTTAAGCATTACTCACTGGTGATCCACTCGATTACGCTGGTTACCAAAACGAACCGTTTTGGTAACAAAATGTCGGAACGTCGAAGGCACGATTTTTCTTTTTTCCTTATTTCACGCATTGTAGGCGGAATCCCCACGACGTTTTTTTTCTCACAACGTGCATCAGTATCATATGTTTTAGAAAAAGTATATGTTTGCGAAAAAATAGCTCAGAGGACAACAGAATCGTCGATTTACTTCCTCACTTAAGTTACATAAACGGTTTTTCGAAAAACAGTTAAGAGCTGCACTTTTAACCCAAACCGTTTATGTAACTTAAGTGAGGAAGTAAATCGACGATTCTGTTGTCTTCTGAACTATTTGTTCGCAAATATGTACAATTTCTTAAACATATAATACTATTACACGTTTGTGTTAAAAAATGTCGTGGGAATTCTGCCTACAACGTGTAAAATAAGGAAACGAGAAAATCGTACCTTCCGGATGTTCCGACATTTTGTTACCAAAACGGTTCGTTTTGGTAACCAGCGTAATCGAGTGGATCACCAGTGATTACTGGAGCGATATTCAATCAAATTAGTAATTGAATAATCTAACCTGTAAGGAAAAATTAGACCAATTGGTTAATATTTATAACTTATATTATGTCCATTACTTTTGGATCACCCCTCATATCTTTATTTTCCAAATATAACATTTAAGCATTATAATATAGAACATTAACATTGACAATTATTAATTACATAATACTTTACTAACATGTTTATTATGAGGGATTGTGACATTGTAATATTTGGTTCAAAAAATCTGTAGGATAAAATTGAAAATATAAGTGTAATATAATTGATTTAAAATTGAAGCATGTTTTATAACTATTTCTAGTTTCTACACTGAATCAAATATTGGTGTCTAGTTTTTCAATATTTTTGATCATATAGATCTTTACCCAGCAGTTATTTATGAAAGGGGTATTCCAAAAATTTTAATAACCAATACTTGTGACATATTCAGTTTAATTTCAAACAATTACTATGTTGCAAATAGTTCTGGATAGTATCTTAAATAAATGATTACTCATTTGGAGGGAGTCATTTTCTAGAGTACAAAGCGAACAAAATGTAGCGATCTGTAACAAAATGTGTTGGCTAGAGACGCCATTTAGTGTCTCACAGCTATTTTGGAATCTATGTATGTTTTTGTATGTTCCTTAAACTCTATTTATACATCAGAGGTGAATCGCAATATGTAGAATATGTAGTTACCATGGCAAAAAAATAAAGATACTACAAGTGGTATCAAGCATACACTTTTTTGTTAAGTATCTTCTAAAAAGGACCCATGGTCCTGTGCTCACACAGTATAGAACCTTCATATTTACAGAAAATTTGACTTTTCGACGTCAAAATCAGCAATTTCTCTGAAACCCGGCGAACTTGGGAAATGGAGAAGATAGGTCAAATAGGCATTATGGATATGCATAAAATGAATGTGGATATGACTCAATCCGAATAGCAGTTTTAATTTGTGCGGCCAATGTTGATAAACGGACAGACGGATGGACCAACCAACGATCTGATGCCTGCTCACTGTGTGAGCCAATTAATCAAGTCACCCTTTATGTTTCTATTGTTTTTCTCTATTATTTTGTTCATCAACTTGAAAATTGCAACTAGAATTTTTAAAATGAATATTTTTAAGAATATTTATCAAGGTTACATACATGTATTAATAGAAAGTTCATTATGTTTGACTGGATTATAACTGGACAATATGCTCCTATATTTATACATTGAGACATGTGACACCTAATTAAGGTATATATAGTCATATTAACTCACCAGCTGTACAAAGTTTGCAATCACTAAAGTCTGTGTTTCTGGTAGCCCCAGTGAAGTAACCACTAGGACATGGCTCAGGTATCCCTGTTCCCTCGGGGCAATAGTGTCCCTGGGGACAGTCCCCACCCGTTGTGTCATTCTGGGGGTCAGGACGAGAGGCACCCTCCGTGCAATAGTAACCAGCAGCACAGGGTCCTGACACAACTGAAAGCCCAGGGGAGTCACAGTAGAAACCTGAAAAAGATTCACAGATTGAGAATCTTGAATTTAATTTTTTTCTTAAATGATTAATCATATACAAGCTCATTTAGTAAGAAAGGCAGGGCTAAAACATGCATGACATACATCATCTTCAGAATAATTCTACTTTGTATCAAAATCAAAATTAGACACAAGTATAATGATTCCCATTGACACCAACATGAAATTCGGAATTTCTTGTTCTAAACACGAAACTCTGAAGCTGAAGTAGACTAACAAGCGCTTGTTTTGTACATGTGCCATACATTGCAATATTGATTCATATACTTTCTGTTCACCGTTGCATTGTGAAAAACATTGCTCGCTTAAACTCTCCAATTTCTAAGATATCCTGGAAACAATCATTTTTTATTGATAACATGCTACCAATAAATTTTTTAATTTTTGATCTCATATTTTATTCGTGAAAGGGCACCCACCTGAAGTGCAAGGTGTAGGTTGATTGGAGCCTACGGGGCAGAACTGTCCTGGTTGACATTCACCTCCAGTGCCATTCAACGCACAGTAACAATTACTAGAGCTAGTATTCCCAAAATCTGTAGGCATAGAAGCCGAGGCTCCCCTAACACAATACCAGCCAGCGGAACAGTTGCCCTTAGGTGCACTCAGCCCAGTCTCATCGCAGTACGTTCCAGGGTCACATGGTTTACAGTCGCTAGGCAGTTGTTTTCCCATGTAGTCATTGTATGTTCCCATTGGGCAGGGGTAGGCTGTATCAAATGGGGTACCAGCTGGACAATAATGGCCTGTAGGGCAGGATTTATCACTGGAACAATTCAAAAGTTTTATATGCACAGTAAATCCAATACATTTCGTAGATTTATTTGTCTTCATGGTTTGAAGAATTTCAAAAAGCAGTAACTTAGATACCAGTAGAACAGTTCCTTGAAATGACATATTCCGAAAAAATAAATTATCAACTTGGTTAACTAATTTTAAAAACAAGTTTTAGAAATACATCTAAATTTTAATGTAGGTGTTCAATGTTGTATATGAGTATATGTATTTAAGGAATAAATAATGATAGGCCATTCAATATGGTGAAATTCAGCACGAGTTGGACAGAATGTTGTACAAAGCACGAACCGAAGGTGAGTGCATTTGTACTAACATTCTGTCCAACGAGTGCTGAATTTCACCATATTGAATGGCCTATCATTATTTATTCCGATTCAAACATAAAAATTAGTAAAAGCCGTGTCTGTGGAACGGGTATGAAGGAAGAATACGCATGCTGTCAAGATTCTGAAGAACAGCTATCCCCGGACAGAGCCCCAGATGTGCAGCTGAGATGTGACGTCACTCAAAACAATGCAAATTGCAGATTGAATAGAGCATGGTCGTGCATCTATGGAGAATTAGAGAACGTTCTATATTGGCTATGCTGCATTCTGATTGGTTGAGAAATTCGAATAGAGCACGGTCATGTTTGAATTCTTTATAGCTACCATGCCTGATCATCATATATTATATATTCAACAATTTATTTGATTTGACTTTTTGGATAGTAATCATGCAAATCAAGATTTCTTCTGGCAATTTTATTACGTAAACAGGAAAACAAATTTTAGAAGAAAATAATTATGGTAAAACTTAGACCAATTGTTCAAATCACTACAACAACTATGACACAGAACATACAGTTATATTTCACATAAGAACACAGATGCATGAATGTCAAAAATGAACATATGTTACAAAATAAAAATAAAATACGTGTGGGTAATTTAGCATGTATGAAACAATTCTCTTCAACAAACCATTACACTTCAAACTTCAAGTGCTGAATAATATGTGCAATTTAGAAATGCATTAATCATTATATATAATATATATTATATATAATTATAATCATGCATCAAGTAATTGTGTAATGTCTACCCCTCTTTTACAAGATACATTTTGTGTGAGGAGACTTGATGCATGACTATATAGTGCAGAGGCAGATCTAACTGAATGTTGAGAAGGGAGGGGCCAAAAATTTGGGAGCCTTTTTGAAAACTGGGGCCAATGTTTCAAAAGATTGAGGCATATTTTTCGCAAATTTAGGGCTAGGGGGCCTTCTTGAAAATTAGGGCCTTTGGATCAAAAAATTGAGGCATATTTTCTGCAAACTAAGAAGTAAGGGATGAAGGGGTGCATAGGTGACCTATAGTACAATTCAGCTTGTATAGGGATATAACACAGAAATTCTCCCTCCTTAGAGGCCTATTTTTCCAAAAAGGCTTTTTTTCTCAAAATGAAGCCTATAAAAATTTGCCAGATCTGCCAGTGAGGTGCAACTGTTCAGGGACTCACCCTTCTTCTATAGTGAGATTTTTGCAAAGGTTTCTGAATAGAATTAAGATATGCTATGTTACTAAGGGGAGTGGTGGTCTTGCTCAATAAAGCACAGGGGCATTGGACTATACATAGCCAGAATTTTCTGATGCATAAATTTGATACAGTATTTCTACCTACTCCAAAATACATTTCACTTGAGTACAAATTCCAGCTTTAATTTTAGTAGCCAATTTTGATTTTACTAGGCCTGGATCAAAAACTATAGCTCACAAATAAAGCGAAAATTCCCATTTTTTCTATTATTTTCTATGTGCAACCAATGAAAGTATGTAACATTATTCTGGTCTGAAATGAAAACAAAAAATCAGAAAAAATCTTGGTATTTTTGAACCAATGGCCTTTGAGTGTAAAATCTTTACCATGACAATGTATCTTTCCTGACAAATTGGCCCCCTTGTATCTGAGATAATTGCTTCAGAGGGCTCATAGAATGACAGAAGGAGGGCTTCTTGTATCCCTACAGAACTTCATTCAATTGGGATTAAGTTACTTTACAAGTGATATATTGAGCATACATTGAAGAACAAAGAACAATAGCAGTTCTGATGCACTGTGAATACAACAATTGATTGTACATGTACATTTTACAAGTGTGTAGACATACTGCCACAGCCTGTGATTAAACGTGTACAGTATACGGACTCAATAACAACTTCCTGCATTCTACATTTATACACACTGTGTCACATAAGAAAAATTTATGAAAAACAAGAGAAACATACAGTAGACAGTGATGAATCTATGATGTGAAAGAGTAGCAATAACCCCAAATAAAAAGAGTACCATCGGTACTTTTCCTCACACAGTGATAAATTGCAGCTATTTTCAAAATTTTCAAGAATTTTAGATGTAAAACTGAAAACAGCAATAAAATTGCTGGCCTTTTTGAAAACAGACAAAACTTTAACATAGTAATAGGTAATACATTTTTTTTTGATAATTAAGTGATTTTTATACAAGTGAGTAAGTACAGTAGCTCACAATGTGAGCTAAAAACATAAAGTAATTCTTTAAAAGTCTTCTTAAGAAATATAGTTTCAATAAATAGTTACCTGTACATAGTTGAGTTTTCTGGGCAATAGTATCCAGCTTGACATGTGACACACTCAGACATTCCAGTGCTGCTTGTGTATGTTCCAGCAGGACACCCGAGAGGGTATGCTGTCCCATTTGGGCAATAATGTCCAATAGGACAAGGGCCTCCAGTTGAGTCAACACTTGGGTTATTTGGAACTTCAGCCCCTGAGGTGCAATAAAACCCGCCATAACAGTCACCAGATGGCTCTGTAAGTCCTGTCGAGCCACAATATTTCCCAGGAGCACATGGTGTGCACTCAGAAGAATTAGTCAGGTGGGTTTCATTGCTGAATGTCCCAAGTGGGCAATCTTCAGGTGTGGTGGTGCCCTCGGGGCAATAGGAGCCTGGGGGACAGGGTCCAGCTGTTCCTTTATATCCTGTATCTGGGGTTGGGGTGTCGGAGCCCTCAGTGCAGTAATAACCAGCAGAGCATGGAGCTGAAAGGGAAGAGAGGACTTTGTAACCTAGTTAATCCAACAGAAGAGTGACTCTTTTGAATGGATGAATACCTGAAACCAATTAGGCCAAGCAAATGGGCTCATAAAAGGCCTAAACATCCCAAAAATTGCAACAGTTTTTAAATTAGTCTTATATTATGTATTAATATCAGTTGAAAAACATATCAAAAATATAGAAAAATGTATGCAGTGGACAAATATGAAATTTCACTTCCTAGGTACCCCCTACAACCCTACCCCAAAATTGAGTATTGGTTGGAAGCAATTTTTTCTTCCCAAATGGAATACTTTAGTCAAGTATTCAAGCTTTATTATGATAGATCACATATTCACAAATAATTAAAATATTATTTTAATCAATTTTGAGACCAGTAATTGGTCATTTGACCCCAAAGTATAACAAAATAGGCCACACAACAGGCATGTTATCACATATCTATTTAGATATTTTAGGATCAGTTTGTCAGAAAAGCATGAAAAAAATCATGGTGTTACATATTTATATGAACTTCATATTTGGTGAGTGTCAGAATTCTAAGGTGTATACTTAGGAAGAAAAAAATGATTTCATTTTCATAGTTTTGCCCCGCCCACTATAGGGGAGACTATAGTTTTGATGATTAACTCCCACAATGCATCACATTTGTATTAGAGTTGACATCTAAATCATTTATATAGGCTTGTCATCATCTAAAATACAAGTTTTGTGAAGGTTTATACCCTATTAGTATGAAAAATAGGAATTATTAGTTGCACCAGGTGAAATGTTAAGGTGACCTCACTTTTATTTGATGAATAATTACATATCATCACTCTGATATTAGGGTATTTGATAACTGCTCTATACTAGGCTTATCTAAATAATGTAAGTTGTAGTTTTTGTGGAATTTAATATTGTTTAAATTATTAATTACAATCCGCAATTACAAAATTTGCATATATTTAAATTCATCAGATAAATAAATCATTACATAAGAGTACATTACTATGGAACTATCAATTGGATGTATAATGCTGTAGAAACGAATTTATGGTTATTAAACGGAATTTAAACTGACAGACAACATTAAAATCTCAGATATCTGGGGAGTCTTTCATTAATATAATTTCAGTGCATAGGAATGATGGTAATTCTGTCTGTCAGGTTGGAAAACATTGAGTGTACATGTGCTGCATTCTGAATCGGATGCAGATATCGTGATTGTGAAAACTGCAATCCAAAGTGTCCAAACCTCAAATACAGTACTCATACAGATCTCCTTATGCTTCTCATTTATCATGCACAAAACACAAACTTCAACATTTTCTTCAAACCTGAACCAAAAGCAGCCAAGAAACAAAATGTTGGAATATAGATGAAATAAGATTGTCTTTGGGAAAAGTGGTCTGTGACAATATTTTGTTTCTTTTCTGGTGTGTGACATCGCATTCAGGTTATATATGGCATAGACAAGAGGCTATCATTGAGGCAGATAAAAAAGAGTGAGTTCTTGAGAAAACAAGCGGTTGCCTTTTAAATTACCAAAAGCACTGGTGATCCGCTCGATTACGCTTGTCGTTTCGGTAACAAAATGTCTAAACTTCGAAAGTACGATATTTCTTTTTTCCTTTTTCACGCGTTGTAGGCAGAATCCCCACGATGTTTTTTTCTCACAGAATTGTTGATTTAATTCCTTACTTAAGTTAAATAAACAGTGTGGGTTAAAAGTGCAGATCTTAATTGTTTATCGAAATACCGTTTATGTAACTTAATTGAGGAATTAAATCGAAGATTCTGTTGTCTTCTGAACTATTTGTTCGCAAATATGTACATTTTTTAAACATATAATACTGATACATGTTTGTGATAACAATGTTGTGGGAATTCTGCCTACAATGTGTGAAATAGAGAAAAAAGAAAAATCAAACCTTCGATGTTCCGACATTTTGTTACAACGTAAACAAGTAGAAAACCAGTAAAATGCAAGCAACTCTGTCATTGCAGAGGAACATGCTCTTTTGTCAATTTATGGTGGAAAAATGGTGAAACCCTAAAAGATCTTAGGCTTCTAAAATTCTATTAAAAGAGAGCAGCAAGATCTGAATTATTGCAGCCCCGTGTTCTTCCTCCATTTTCTGATGCTGCGGAATACCACAGTTACAGAGTGTACCATCAGATCCAGGAGTGGGAGGGAAATAAGCAACGAAACTATGTACCAATTGCCTAAATGCAGCTCCCCTTTCTCAGAGATCATCCATTGTGTGTGTAAGGCAGATTGTATTTCTATGAGATGTTCTTGTAGAAAAATGAAATAACTGTTCTTTGACATGTAAGGTATGCAAAGGCATTTGTGCAAATACCTCCATTACTGATCATGAAAATAATGATGACTAAATAATGAACACTGGCAGATCTGGGCCCTTCCAACCCCCTTGGGCGGGCCCAGAAAAAAAATTGGGCCCAAAAAAGGCCTTAAGGCCCCGAAAAGTGGGCATTTTTGGTCATAAATGAGCCTTTTAATGCCTTATTTTTTAATTGAAGAAAATGGGTCTCAATTTTTCAAAATTTGGGCCCACTTCAGGGTTTTAGGGGCCCAACATTTTTTCCGCGGAAGTTTTTTTCTCAGACCTGACATTTGCCCCCCCCCCTTGTTGGTTCCCATATCCGCCCCTGATGAAGGCTGGTGATAGACACGGTTGTAACTGATTGTTGTTACAACATAATAGTATTAAGCTTATTTAATCAGCATTCTTTTTTGCTCTCTATAAGTAAGACACATATATGAAGGTTAAGATTACAAAATTAAGGCAGCATTTTTGATAATGAACATAACATAATCGAACCAGGCCCTGTATAAAGAGATTTACTTTGCGTTACACTAGTTAACTCAGGAGGATTTATTAATGTAGAAACCCTTTCCTCATTTTTTATTGAATTTCATCTTGAAATCGAACATTCTTCAGTTGAACTTCTTCATTTCATTTCTCAATATCACTGTGTGATTAAGAACACCATAGTCAAAAGTAACAATTTTTCCTTAATACAGGGCGAGCCAAAAAGGTAACCCAAACAAATCTTAATAATCCAGTCCAATCATCCTGCATGGATTTAGTGTCATATTTGGCAGAATTGAGTCTTGGTCAATGTATTATCAATCTACCCAGTCTCAGTGGTCTCTAGTGGTCACGATTTTATGGCCATTTTATACCATGCCATGAAATATGGGTGTCATGCCTGGAGGCCAATTTGAACATATCGTGCGTTGTTGTTCAAATCAGGAGCATAAAAATCATGTGTTATGACTCTCATCTTCATTCTTATCTCTTGTTTTAATGTTTCAAGTGTTGTTAGTTTCGAAAAAAGGTCCACAGATAAAAAAAAAATGGTGGTATTGATGTCCAGTCAGTTAGGCACATTTCGATATTTTGAGCACATTTTGTAAATGGCCATAAAATCGTGACTATTAAGGATAGATCAATGACACTTCGTAGAATGAAAGAACATTGAACAAGGTAATTGTGCCAAATATGATGTCAAACCCATGCTGAATGACTGGGTTATTAACAAACATTTGGTTAGGTTACCTTTTTTGGCTCATATTAATAAACTGATGTCAGGGACAGGGATATTTATTCATTTTGTTGCCTTTTCAAGGACATTTTTTGACCACTGATTGTAACAAATCGTTCTCTGTTTTACCAGAAAAGGTATATTATATATCAAATTGAATTTAAAAGGAAAAAACATTTGATAATTTAACAGTTATTAACTAAAAGTAGGGCTTCCCCTATATTTCACCTGGCATTTGCTGTTTTTCTACTTTTTTTTACATAATCCTTTCCTGAAAACCTCAAAAAACTGTTTCCAGGACAAAATAAGCCTTTACAAATAATTAAGTTGTGCTATTGAGTTCAAATATGACATATCTTAGAAGTAATTAAACAAAAGTAAGGTCACCCCAAAAGTGGGTGTGGTAAAATATTGAAATTTCAAATATTATTTTCACGCTCAATATTCACTTAATGACCCTGATACTTATCAAAGACAATCTTCAGGTGTACAATACCCTCCTTGATATTTTTCATGCAATTCTGATGAATTGATACAGAAATAAATACATTGTTATATTAAATTCAGGCTATTTGATGGCCTATTTTCAGATATTTGGCGCTAGAAATGCCAATTATTGCACTCAAATAGTTGGTTAACAATTTTTAGTTGCTGTTATGTCAGTAAACTATCATAATATTACTCGTTTAGTTGACAAGAGAATTCCATTTTGAAATAAAAAAATATTTACAATCCCATACTCAAATTTGGAGGGGGGTACCTGGAATGTGACATTTCATATTTGTCCACTGCATATATTTTTCTATATTTTTGATATGTTTTTCAACTGGTATCAATATACAATATAAGCCTAATTTAAAAACTGTTGCAATTTTTGGGATGTTAAACTTCCATTTGCCTAGCCTAAATGTATATTTTGTTGTTACAATTGCCCCTAATGTTTATTTATCAAACTTGGCAATTCTACAGGTATCTGATGTATGCTATTACTGATTATAAGAAATAAACTTGTATATTGTGGAAAAAAATTTCAAAACTTTCCCAACACATCTCTATCCACTCTACTTCCTTTAGTTCAATGCTTTGTCATATCCAACAGAATCAAATTCTTACCAAGTTCTGCACATAAGCATTTACCTGTAACAGAAGTTGCATTCTCACTTGCACAATAGTTTCCACCTGTACACTGTGTGCACTGGGAAACCTCAAAAAGACCTGGGTTGTTGCTGAATGTTCCAGTGGGACAACTCTCCCAGACTTGGCCTGTACCCTCGGGACAGTAGTAACCAGCAGGGCACGTGTCTGGTGTTAGACCAGTTATACAGTAATGACCTGAAATATGTATACAATATAGAAGATTTTGTGTACAATATAAATGTGATTAGATTTGGTTAGTTTCAATTTCAGCATGTATGGAAACTACCAATAGTCATGTCAATAGTAAACCAATCCAAAAGGCATTTCATCAGTACAGTCTTAAACCAAAAGGCATTTCATCAGTACAGTCTTAAACCAAAATGGCATTTCATCAGTACAGTCTTAAACCAAAATGGCATTTCATCAGTACAGTCTTAAACCAAAAGGCATTTCATCAGTACAGTCTTAAACCAAAATGGCATTTCATCAGTACAGTCTTAAACCAAAATGGCATTTCATCAGTAGTCTTAAAAAAAAGGCATTTCATCAGTACAGTCTGAAACCAAAATGGCATTCCTGCTGTACAGTTATTTTGACCAAAATGGCATACCTGCAGTACAGTTAATTTGACCAAAATGGCATACCTGCAGTACAGTTAATTTGACCAAAACGGCATACCTGCAGTACAGTTCCAGCACTCATCAGCCCCAGTTTTTGTCATGTATTTTCCATCTGGGCAGGGAATAGGAACTGCAGTACCTTCCTCACAGTAATGACCTACGGTGCATGGGTCTCCTGTGGCTCCCCCATCATTGGGTGTAGGAGTAGTGGCATTGATACTACAGTAATACCTATGAAAAAGCAAAGTACAGTATAAGTGCATGAAGACCTGATGAGGTTACAAGTCCAGTTTTAGTTCAGAAGTGATGGAACTAACAGTCTAACTTAGGCTCTGAATTTACTTGTTTTTTGGTATCTACCCTGGTTGGCAAGATCTTACCTTGGTTCACAAGGTCCTGATGGTGCTGTGAGGCCAGTACCATTACAATAGAACCCTCCAGTACAAAGAGTACAGTCTAAAGCTGCTGCTAATCCTGAAAAACATAAACAAGTTTGATGGAAAATGCCTCAAATCATAAGCTTGGCACTAGTCAAATGAAACTCATATATATCAAATTCATGTTTTTGTGTATATGTTTCGATTTTTACATCATGTCAATGGTCATGACAGAAGGAGCCGATTACTTTCTTTTAAATGCCAGTATATCTTACCTGTACTACTTGACCAACTTCCTAGTGGACATGGAAGGGGTACAGGAGTTCCTGTTGGGCAATAATGCCCCTCAGGGCACAACTCTCCAGTAGTTCCATCAATAGGTGTCGCTGTCTCTGCTGCATTCTTACACCAGTGTGATGCACCGCAATCTCCTGTTACTGCCGACTTGCCGGTGCCTGAGCAATATTTTCCAGCATCACAGTTCAGACATTGAGATTCCATCTCGAGTTTAGTGGATGGGTTGTATGTGCCAGCAGGACAGCCATACTGGGTGTCCCATTTGGTTCCATTGGGGCAATAATAGCCAGTAGGACATGGGTAGATGCTGTAGTCGATCATGGGTTCATTGGAGCGGTCACAATAGTGTCCAGCCACACATTCCTTGCATGCTCCTTGCCCTATCTCATCCTGGTAGGTACCTGAGTCACATGCTGTCATATTGAAGCTACCCACCTCACAATAATAGCCAGGATCACAGGGGAATGGATTAGATACATTTTGTCCTGGGGGACAAAAGTAGCCCTCAGCGCAGGGTCCAGTTGGTTCAGTCAAGCCAGGAGACTCACAATAGTAACCCTGTGTGCATGGTGTACAATCATCAACCACCTGGTTTTCTGTTCTGTTGGAGTAAGTCCCAAATGGACACCTTGGGAGATCAGAACCAGTGCCAACACCTGCAATGCAACAAACAGATGAGGATTGGAAAGAACAAGTTCATTTCACTTTTTAGAAATTGTATGAATTTCAGAATGTTTGTAGCTCATAGCATTCCTTGTCTTGGCTACTTTATTCAAGTTCAAACCATATCAAAATAATACATATTTTAGAGCATTTGCCTGTGCTTTTATATTGTGTTGTGAAGCAATGAAGCCAAGATTTCAGGAATCAAATACCTTAATTTTTTCAACTGCACATGTATTTCCTTTGATTTCATTGCACGCAAAACTAATATCTGTTATCATGTAATTCAAAAAACCTACCACAGTATCTTCCTGGCTGGCAAACATCTCCAGTCACTCCATCTGTGGGGTCAGGTCTATGTGCTCCTTGACGACAGTAGAAGCCAGCATTACACTGTGCAGTAGGTGTTGATAGTCCTGGAGTTGCACAGTATTCACCTTCCGTACAAGGTACAGGATTATCAGAGCCTTGGGGACAGTAGAACCCAGGTTGGCATTCCCCGCCTGTGGCATTAGCTGGGCAGAGACAGTCCCCAGTTGTGTAGTTATCATAGTCATTTGGTTGATTGAACCATGCACCACTAACACAGAACCAACCAGCGTCACATTCTCCTGTTGGACTCTCAAGACCTTCTGAGCCACAGAAGTATCCACCAGGACATGGGAAACAATCGTTGATGCTTTCACCATTTGTGTAGTTACGATAATACCCCTTAGGACATTTATACTCATCAGCGGCTGTTGTTCCTGATGGGCAGTACATTCCAACGGGGCATGGGAAATCTTCATACGTTGTCGTTCCTTCAGGGCAGTAATAGCCAGTCTGACATGGAGTGCATACTGACTGTCCAGTTCTGTTAGCATAGAACCCCTTATCACAGTCTAGTGGTACAGCAGTGCCACCTGGACAGTATTTGCCACGGGGACATGGGCCTCCTGTCTCTGGGATATCACCTGGCAAATACAAAATGTTAAATGCAGAAATCATCATAGACAAGTAACTGTTATTTGTATATTATCGGTAATTTCACATGTGATTTGTTTCTCACATCCTGTCCTTTGTTTCTTTATACAAGGTATTTAAGGAATATCAGTAGATTGAAAAAAATACTTTGAGTCAAGCAGCAGATTGAAAAACATACCACAAGCACTACCAGTTCGAACATAAACAGTACATGTACATTTTAATGCTGCCCTTTGTGTTTTGTTGTAACAGGAATTTCAGTAGATCTGACCAATCTATATTGCAAGATAAAAAACAACATACCAGTAGGATTTGGCACTGCGCTACCATTGAGACAGAAGAAACCAGGATCACATTCTCCAGAAGGTGCAGTGAGGTTCTCTGCGGCACAGAAATATCCAGGTGTACAAGCCTCACAGTCTGAAGCCTTCTCACCCATTTCTGTGGCCCTAAATGTACCATTGGGGCAGGGTATGGGGTCCTCTGTCTGTACAGGACAGTAGCTACCAGGAGGACATGGTCCCCCTATACCACTAGTTGTTCCCTCAGTTGGTGTACTCACATTAACACCTGGAAAGAAATATGACAATTTATTAGTAATAAATGTAACATTAAATTAGTATATCTGAAATTAATGTGCACAATTTCCATTCCATCTTTGATTTTTTTTCAATTTATCTTATTGTCATTTCAAATCGGAAAGACTCCAAACTGAAATGAAAATGTTGATACAAAACGTGTATATTCCCTATCCCTTGTGTTTAAAGGTCTTGTGTATAATAGCGATAATGAGCCCCTTATTCATTTAATTGTTCTTTTCTCATAATGATCAGACAATAAAGGATAACTTGGAAATTCATGTAAGTACAGTGTCATTTTTTCATTAAATTATTCCATGCTTACAGGGTGTCCATATTAAGCACAGAACAGATGTCTCAGACTTGCGTTATGCACCATAGTAAAGATCATTCATTGAAATATTGAAATGGGGAATTTTCTGAAGAGAGAACTAAGTTACATACCTAGCTTACAGTAGTACCCTGGAGAACATTCACCAGTTCCTGTTCCGTTTACACTAAAGTCAAAGTTCACTGCACCAAGTGCATAACAGTAAAATCCTCCAGTACATGGTCGACAGTCAGCCTCAGCATAGAGACCAAGGTCAGGATTGTATGTACCTATTTGTGAAAGCAAAATAGAGCAATTCAGAACAGTGGATAGTATTAACAGGACAAAATATCAATTCTGGTTGTCAGTTGGTGTTACCCACCAGCCAAGAAAATTACATTTTCAATAAAAAATATGTTCAATGAGCTTACATTTCTGGGTTTTTTTTCAGAAAATTGGATACTTTTTAGTAAAATATGGATGAACTCTTCTCACTGGAACTATAATGTTTTTGATAAAATGAACTCAACATTGATGGGAATACAAAATTAATGAAAAATGTTTGATCATAATGAATGGTATTTTAAAATTCTAGGTACCTCTGGGACACTTGGGTATTTCTGCGGTAGTGTTTCCGGGGCAGTAGTGGCCCTTAGGGCAGAGTAAAGGCTCCTCAGCACTATCGCCAGCCACGCAGTAGTAACCGGCTGGGCATGGGAAACAACTTGCCATTCCAGAGATATTCATGAATGATCCAGGTTCACAAGGCTTGGGCTCACCTTAAAGTAAATAATGAAATTCATTGTTTAAATTATGCTTAAAGAATAACAAGAATTGGTCATGTGGCACCGGCCCACCCCATTTGTGCAAGACAATGACAATATAAGCACTTTTTTAAAGTTAAGCTAACTAATCTGAATTTCCATTCATTGTAATACAACTGTTTCTTTGCAAAAACTGAGCAGATATGAGCAATTACCTGTCCCCTCTGGGCAGTAATGACCTTTGGGGCAAAGGTCACCAGTAGTGCCGCCATCTTTAGGCTTATCAGTGTATGCTTTTCCTCTGCAGAAGTAACCAGGGGCACAAACCCCATTGGGCTCCAGTAAGGCTGCAAAGAACAAAAAATATATGAAATATATTAACAATAACAGTATCATGACAACTGGATAATTTGAACAAATCTCATTCTTTCAGTTAGTAAATAGGTTTCTTCAGTAAATTATTTAACAAAGGATGTAAATAAGTAAAAAGTTTGGAGCAAAATTACAAATCCCTCTCACCTGTTCCTCCGCAAACTTTGCCAGGGTCACAATCATGGCAGTCATCTGCAGACTGAGCCCCTGAGTAGTTACCATATGTGCCATTCTCACATGGTGTTGTGCTGTAGTCCCCAGTGCCAACAGGACAGTAATAGCCAGGAGGGCATCTTCCACCCATCCCATCACCATCTATGGGCTGCGTTGTGTTACTCCCGGATATACAGTAATAGCCAGCATCACAGTCATTGCTAGGGAGCTCTAGGCCTACTGATTCACAAGCCTTCCCTGGACTACACGGGTCACAATGACTTTCTTCATATTTGCCGACTGCATCCAGGAATGTTCCTCTTAGACAGACAGTTGGTTCATCACTTCCCAATGGGCAGTAGTGTCCCTTGGGACAAAGTATGGCTGTCACAGTTCCTACAAAGATACAATAAAATTTATTTTATTTTTTGTTACGTGGCAACAGGCCATAATATAAAAAAAATGTAAGTTGTATTTTGTGCACCCTGAATTTTAACCTTGACTTTTGAGAAACCCTTAATGTATAGCTTGTTTACATTTGAGGGCAAGTTTATTCTAAACTAGACCTACAGGTCACCCTGTATTCTTAGCTAAACCAATGGGGTACCCTATATGATAAACTTGACTTTTGGGACACCCAGTGCTTGACCAATGGATTCACCTACCTGTTCCATTGCAATAATAACCCTGTGGGCAAATAAGACATTTTTCTGATTTTTCAGCTGGCTGGTACTCTCCCCTTGGACATGGTTCTGCCTTGTAGGCTCCCTTAGCTGAATAGTGACCTTTAGGGGTTGAATTCTGTGTGGGTATTCCTGAGCCCCCTGTACAATAGTAACCAGCTGCACACTCCTGAGTGGCTGAAGAACTACTAGAGCCAGCGCAATAATAACCAGGCTCACAAGGTATGCAATCAAATTCTGTTTTTGCACCAGCTGATGGGCTGTATTTTCCAACTGGGCAGGGTGTGCCTACTGCTGACTTGGCTGGGCAATAGCCTCCCACAGGACAAAGCCCTCCAGTTGGCCCTTCAGGCGGTGCTGATGTATATGCCTTTTCCCGACAGTAGAAACCAGCATCACATACCTGTGAGCATAAGCATGTATAAGCATACATATATTTAAAAGGAATTGATCCATCGTAATAACTTGAAAGTAAATGTTTAATATATTTTATATACATGTGTACATGAATCAAGTTCTGCATGCTCACCATGTTACCAGCCAGTTCCTTGATATTTTCTCATTGTAAAATTGTTTTGAAATACAAACTGCCACACTATATGGTATAATATAACTGCAGATTATTTTACTAACAAGTCAGCATAAAGAGAAAGTCAATACTTACATCTGTCGGTTCTGTTCGTCCTATACCATCGCAATAGTAGCCTCCAGGACATGGCGTACAGTCAGTACTACGTCGTAGATTTGTTGAGTTGCCATATGTACCTAGTGGGCAAGGTGAAGGTCGTGTGCTGCCACTAACACAAAAATAACCTGGGGGACAATCCTTAGGGAATCCTAGACCCTCTTCATCACAATAGAACCCTGAGATGCACTCTGTACAATCCTGGAACGATTCTTTTGCAGAACCGTTGCGGTAGAATCCCACAGGGCATGGGAAAGTGTAGGGTTCAGCTGTGCCCAATGGGCAGTAGTATCCAGCAGGGCAGGGGCCAGCAGGGTTGATCAGACCTTCAGGGATACAGTAGTAGCCTGGAGTACAGGCTTGGCACTCAGATACCTGTATGAAGCAAACATTAGGTTTTAAATAAATAGCTATAACAAATTGTTATCAAGATTTCATGTAGAATACACCAAAAGAATATAATGGTAAACACTAGATGTAGTTATAAGATGAGATGTTGGCATAGGACAAGTATAGAGTTATTCATATGTATTGCCAAGCAACAACTCAAGATATTTAAGACTGGTAACAGCATGTTAAAACTGCTCCTGGGGGGCTGCTGCTATATGCATTGGTCTTGATAGTGAAATATCAAATAATATGGCCATAATCCAAATATAAATATAGAACACACATATGAACCTACGGAATTAAGATTATCATTATATCAAAGTACCATTCTTACCTGTTTTAATCCATAGAGAACATTAAATGTGCCATTGGGACATGGGACCGGCCATGGGTTGATATCTCCCCTTGGACAATAACTCCCTTGTCTACATTTATCATTCACCAAATCTGGAGCTCTGTCCATGCCATACGGGCACTCCAATCCTGCGGGACAAATCCTTTCTGTCATCATGAATTCATAACTCGTGGCGTTCTGGTCGCAATAATGTCCAGGTTCGCAGAGCTGACAAGAGGCCCAGCCATGGTCTGAGTAGTTTCCCTTTCCACAAGGTAGAGGGGATGCTAGTCCCTCCTCAGGGCAATAGTAACCTGCCTTACAAGGCAAACACATTGTGATGTTCTCAGCTTTGCCTTCTTCAGAGTATTTGGCTCTGGAATATTAAACATTGAATATATATACAGGGTGTTCCAAAAAGTGAACACTGTAAACAAACAGGTTACCCTGTTACTGTCAACTATTCAATTGAAACTGCAAAAAGACAATGCTCTTAATCGATTGTGGGCAACTTCAGGCCACGCCAAATTAGTGATCCATCACCAAATCTTCAAAATTAAACTGTATTTATAAGGAGAAATAATTGCATTGTGCATTCATTACAAAGACAACACTGTCTGTGCATATCATATAACTTCAACAGCTTTTACATTATTTTCTACAATCTGACATTCCTAGATTTCATACATGTACAGATACTTACACCGGACAAGGGCTTGGGAGTATAGACCCTTCAGGACAATAATGTCCCTCCCAACATGGTTTGCACATCTCCCATGCACTGATACCTGTAAGGTTATTGTAGCTACCAGCGTGACACGGGTAACTGTTCCCCATGGGTGTACTCTCAGGGCACCAGTGGCCCTGGAAACAGAGCCCTGTGGGTTCAGAGGAGCCTTCCAGACAGTATTCACCTCTAGGACACGGGAAGCATTCATCTTGGGCTTTCAAATTTGTCCTAAAAAGCATTCATTTCATTGATTTTAACATACATGTATTACTACAATATATCAAATAACAAGCAGCTACATACCTAATTTTCTTTTCTTTGGTCACATTTAGAGGTTAAAGTTATTTGGAGGCTAATGTCATCTCATTCAAAAAATGAATATATTTAAATACATGAGAGGGGCCTTTTGATTATATTGCAATTTGTTTATGATAATCATCTCTAATTACAAGAACTAAAAGTACATTTGCCCTGATATTACAGACCTGTTTGTGTATGACCCAGCTGCACATGGATATTGGGTTGGTGTAGCAGTTCCATGTGGGCAATAATGTCCCTTAGCACATGCAACAGGAGGTTTCTGTTTGCCTCCAGTTCCAACAAGACAGGCTGTTGTCTCTGGGCATAAATCACATTGCTCGGGTGCAGTTAGGTTATTATTGTCAGTGAAATAACCAGGTGGACACGCATATTCTGTCTGATTTGGCCTGTAGTTCCCTCCGGGACAGTAGTACCCGGGTGAGCATTTGTAATCTGGTTTTGAGAGCCCATAGTTTGTACAGCTCTCACCCGCGGTACATGGTGCACACGATGTGATATTTGACTGGCTGTTCATTGGGTTAAATGTTCCAGGTTCACATGGGGTTGGTGTATCTGTGCCTGAAGCACACCAGTGTCCAGTAGGACATGCCTTGCAGAACTCCAGTCCTGTACTACCACGCTCCTCTGTGAACATACCTGCCGGGCAAGGTGTGGGGGACCCTGAGCTTGGGGGACAATAATGGCCTCTGGGGCAGGAACATGTATCACATTTAGGATCAGGGGTACCAGCAGGGCAAGAGTAACCTTCAGGACAAGCTAGACATTCACTCTGTAAATACAATAGTTAAAATAAATTAAGATATGTATACATATGGGAGATGTCATTATAATATTGATGTCATAAGCATGATGGTGGTGTCATAAGCATTATGGTGATGTCATAAGCATGAGCTTTTGTGAATGTTATTCTCTCCATTAATATTCTGACCCAATCAATACATTGAGTTTTATTTATCATAACAAACTGTATACAAAACATGCAACATGTCACAATCTAAGACACCACAATGGCATATATATCATGTGCTAGAAAAAAGAGTCTTCTAAAATAAAATAAATAAAATAAAAAAAGAAAATGTAAGACTAGAATCTGTATGCTGTAAACATGGTACAATATTGCAATAAGTTTTGCAATTATTTGGAAATGGATATACTTTTTTCCAATCATTAACCAAAATAGTGAGAAACATAAGACGTGTGCATGTATCGCTGCGTTGAAATTCCCCTTACATACCTGATCTACAGCACCTAGTCCACCAAACCAGGTTCCTGGAGAACATGGAGTGTCCTTATAATCCCCCGTTTCTGCGGGGCAGTAGTGACCCTGGGGACATATGAGATTAGACTTCTGGTTAGGGTGACCTGGTGTACCCTCAGGGCAGTAAAATGATTGTGGACACTGGGTACATTCCGTCTCATCAGTAAGGCCTAAAACAAAACCAGGACTTTTTGAAATGTCAATATATTTCCTTTCTATTTAAAAATCCATATTAATTTTATTCATTTCAAACCCAGCTGTACTGTAGTAGAATGTGAAAGAATACTCATACAAGATACCATATAATATGGCATGTATGTTTAAATAAACTATTTGGTATTCCTTTATTGTTGATTATTGTTTGGTAAAACCTCTGAATCTTTATTCTAATACTATAACACGAGGCTACTAGCTACTAGCTTAAGTTAGGTGCTATTATAGTGAATTGCTACATGTATACTGGTTCATCATAGAAGTATATCCACAATCAAACATACCTCTAACTGCTCCGTAAAATCCTGCAGGACAAGGCAATTCCTGTTGACCATCAGTGCAGTAATATCCCAGTTTACAGATACCGCTTTCTGGCTTGTTGGAGGTGCTGCCCTCTTTACAGGCATATCCAGGCTCACACGGTTCACATACAGTCACTGAACTGTTACTGAATGTACCTGAAGGGAAACTCTGATAATCATCATATTGATCAAAAGTTCTGCAGGAACCTAGTTTTTAACTGTCATTGTCTTCTATTGAATCACTCACAGTATTCATTTCATATTCATGCATATGCATAGTCTGCTTTTAAATAAGTGTCTGCATCTCAGAAAGTGAGAGGGCTTGATCTATACACTATACATATTAATTGCTATTCATACACTATTCAGTATTCATAGCAAATATACTAATCTCCAGCAAAATGTCTGAAAATTACATAATATGAGATAATAAAGATTTTCAGCATCAAAACTGTATTTGTGATTCTCAGGATTGAATTTAACTGGGCTTCAGGGCATTTCATACCTGATGGACAGATTTGCTTGTCTAGTTCAGGAGAGGCACAAAAGAATCCTGCGGGGCATGGTATGCACTGCACAGCGCCCCCTAGGCTATAGTGAGCAGTGGGACAGTCTAGTCCTTCTGCATCATTCACTGGACAGTACTTCCCAGCTTCACACGGTGTACAGAATTCAGCTTCATCGAGTGAGTATGTTCCTGCGGGGCAGGGTTGTACCAGATCGGAATATTTGGATGGGCAAGCATAACCAGCAGGACATTGTTCACATGCTGCTTTCCCACCTGTAAGCAGATTTTATTAATTTTACAATATCCTATCATTTTTATTATGTCACCACCACCAAAAGTGGTGACATATTGTTATGGTCTCCGTTTTTTTTGCGACGGCGGTTGGTGGTTGGCGTCCGGCGTCTGGCGTCCGGCGTCTGTAACAATTTCTTACAACTTCCTATAACTTAACAAATACTGTTTAGACTGACTTCAATTTTTTTCTAAATCATCTACATGTTCTCAGAAGTTCAAATCTGACTTTAGATTTTACATTTGACCTTCAATGACCTTCTCAAGGTCAAAAAGGTCTTTTTTCAACTTGCTTCACATTGACTAAATTTTTTTTCAAAATCATCTACATGTTCTCAGAAATTCAAATCTGACTTTAGATTTGACTTTAGATTTGACATTTGACCTTCAAATCTGACTTTAGATTTGACCTTCAATGACCTTCTCAAGGTCAAAAAGGTCAAAAAGGTCTGTTTTCAACTTGCTTCAAATTGACTAAATTTTTTTTTCAAAATCATCTACGTGTTCTCAGAAATTCAAATCTGACTTAAGATTTGACTTAAGATTTGACATTTGACCTTCAATGACCTTCTCAAGGTCAAAAAAGGTCAAAAAGGTCTGTTTTCAACTTGCTTCAAATTGACTAAAAAAAATTTCCAAAATCATCTACGTGTTCTCAGAAATTCAAATCTGACTTTAGATTTGACTTAAGATTTGACATTTGACCTTCAATGACCTTCTCAAAGTCAAAAAAGGTCAAAAAGGTCTTTTTTCAACTTGCTTCAAATTGACTAATTTTTTTTTTCAAAATCATCTACATGTTCTCAGAAATTCAAATCTGACTTTAGATTTGACATTTGACCTTCAATGACCTTCTCAATGTCAAAAAAGGTCAAAAAGGTATTTTTTCATCTTGCTTCAAATTGACCAAATTTTTTTTTCAAAATCATCTACATGTTCTCAGAAATTCAGATATGACTTTAGATTTGACGTTAGATTTGACATTTGACCTTCAATGACCTTCTCAAGGTCAAAAAAGGTCTTCTTTCAACTTGCTTCAAATTGACTAATTTTTTTTTTCAAAATCATCTACATGTTCTCAGAAATTCAAATCTGACTTTAGATTTGACATTTGACCTTTAATGACCTTCTCAAGGTCAAAAAAGGTCAAAAAGGTCTGTTTTCAGAAATTCAAATCTGACTTTAGATTTGACATTTGACCTTCAAAATCATCTACGTGTTCTCAGAAATTCAAATCTGACTTCAGATTTGACTTAAGATTTGACATTTGACCTTCAAAGACCTTCTCAAAGTCAAAAAAAGGTCAAAAAGGTCTTTTTTCAACTTGCTTCAAATTGACTAATTTTTTTTTTCAAAATCATCTACATGTTCTCAGAAATTCAAATCTGACTTTAGATTTGACATTTGGCCTTCAATGACCTTCTCAATGTCAAAAAAGGTCAAAAAGGTATTTTTTCATCTTGCTTCAAATTGACTAAATTTTTTTTTCAAAATCATCTACATGTTCTCAGAAATTCAAATATGACTTTAGATTTGACATTTGACCTTCAATGACCTTCTCAAGGTCAAAAAAGGTCAAAAAGGTCTTTTTTCAACTTGCTTCAAATTGACTAATTTTTTTTTCAAAATCATCTACATGTTCTCAGAAATTCAAATCTGATTTTAGATTTGACATTTGACCTTTAATGACCTTCTCAAGGTCAAAAAAGGTCAAAAAGGTCTGTTTTCAACTTGCTTCAAATTGACCAAATTTTTTTTCAAAATTATCTACATCTTTTCAGAAGTTCAAATTTGACTTTACAAGTTCTCAGAAGTTCAAATCTGACTTTAGATTTGACCTTTGACCTTCAATGACCTTCTCAAGGTCAAAAAGGTCTTTTTTCAACTTGCTTCAAATTGACTAATTTTTTTTTCAAAATCATCTACATGTTCTCAGAAGTTCTTCTTAAGGTCAAAAGGTATTTTCTAACTTGCTTTAAATTGACCAAATTGTTTTAGGTGGTGACATTTTGTCATGTTAATGCCTTGTTAGTCATAGAATTATCATAAAAGAGTCAACATCAAATATCTAAAGTTCTACACGAGTGAGAGAAGTGAATGAGTGATCATTAAATAGAAAAAATGGTTGATATCAGATTGATCTCAACAATTTGATTTGTATGTTTTTACTTAACTCAGCATCCAACAAAACAAAAAAAAACTGATCTACTTTCAAAAAATCATTTGGCACAAAATTCAATTTTGTTTATACAAATAAATATGCAGCTGATATATGATGTTTTTGATTCTGCCATTAATTCCCATGTTAAAAAAAACATAACATAAAAAGATGAATTTTGGTAATTTACCAATAACCTACCTCCAGAATAATACCCAGTGGCACAGTCAGCAATAACTGAGTCATCAGTCTTTGAAGGACACTCCTTTCCAGCAGGACAACGGGTACAAGATTGCTGCCCACCAATTGAGTATTCTCCCGCGATACAAGTAGTCTGTAAGTCTGAGTTCCTGTATGGACAGGCTACTCCAGTGGGACACTCTGTACATTCTGTTGCATTACCTGAATACAAACATTATTCTCATTAGCAGTAAAGAATCCTGTTTTAATTTCAGATTAAGTGCTAATTGCAAGGAATATGAAATTTCTCACAAATAAAATAAATCTCCAAACTGAACTTTCATTTTGTGATTTTTAAAAGACTCTCTGCTTTAATACATCAAAATTATTCCTGAATACAAACCCTCAAGACTGCTCTGATTTGAGCTTGTTAATAAGGCATCTCATATACGTTACAAGTTTGACAACACCGTCATCATTTTTCTGGCGTGTATACGGGACTGTAATAATGTTATTCTTTACCTGTTGAGAAATATCCTGCAATACATGGTGCATTTGCTGAACCATCAGTGTTAGGGCACTGCCAGCCTGCTGGGCAGCTTGTACAAGATGCTGCTCCACCATATGAGTAAAAGCCTGCTGTACAATCTATCTCAGTGCCTGAGGTGACATCTGGACACATCTTTCCTTCTGTACACACCGTACAGGAACTCTGATTGCCAATGGAGTACCCCCCTAAAACAAAGACAGTAGATATATATACAGGATGTTCAAAAACTACTGATAAATAAATACTCCCCTGTAACAGAGTCAATAGCCTTAATACAGGGTGTTCAAAAACTACTAATAAATAAATACTCCCCTGTAACAGAGACAAGAGCCTTATATACAGGGTGTTGAAAAACTATTGATTAATATATATTCCCCTAAAGCAGAGTCAATACCCTTAATACAGGGTGTTCATAAACTACCAATAAAAATTTGTATTTGTTATAAAATGGTTTCAATTAATTTCATTTCTTCTGCAGTTATTTTTTGCAATTTCAAATTGTGAATCGAAACAATCTAAACACTCTGTTTAATGGCTGCTTGAAAGGATTTTATAATTATTGAATACATGCACCTGATAAACCTGTCTCTGTCTAAAGTATAAAATGCTACAAGACGTTTTTATTTCACATTGAGACTCTGACTAAACTAAAGCTAAAAACATATTCACCCCTATGAGACATACTAGAATGAACTTATTACCACTTAAAACTTGTCAAATCCAAACAAAATTGAAATAGAGAAAGTGTTCACATTGAGAGGTATACTAATTAGTAGGGGTGAGACAACAACCCGATGAGTCGAGGACTCGCGGGTTTGGGGCTTCGAGTCGAGTCGAATCGAGTCGAAGTTGATGAATCGAATCAATTTCGAGTTGAGAAAAAATTCGAAAAAATAAAAAAATTCAGAAAAATACTGTCAATATGCATGTTTTTACTCGATATTGCGTTGAATATATAAGTTTCAATGACTTGGATATGCTTGTATTAAATTATTATATTGTATGTACACATAAATGAAAGAATATATGTAATAAAATCAGAATAAACTTACGACGAATTGTGTTTGTTTATATTTCCGGCTTTCCACCATTGACGCATTAAAAATACGAACGGTCAAAAGCGATGTTGTTCGCACTTCGCGCGACTCGAAACGGATTCGAAACTCGAATCGTCATTTTCTGACTCGAATCGGATTCGACTCGAATCGAACTTTTTCGACTCGTCTCACCCCTACTAAATAGAGACACTACATCTCCTTTGTATCTCCTTTATATAAAGGGCAATAAATATATACATACATACAGGTTTTACTGCATTACTCTCTATAGAAACATGCCAAGTATGCAAGATTTACTGAAGATGAGCATACTGTACCTGGCAAACATGCATATTTAACTGTGGGATCAGTCTGTGATGGACATGCCTCTCCAGCAGGACACCCAGTGCAAGATGTAGATCCCGCAGTGGCGTATGTTCCCAGAGAACAAGGGATTGGAGAGTCTGTTGTCGTTGGACACTCATACCCAGCTGGACATGTAATGCATCCTGGGTAATTTGCCTTTGAGTATTCGCCTGGTGCGCACACTACTGGAGGTGACCTGTAATAATAGTATGATAGTTTAAATTGTATGCTAGTTGACACTAAAATCCTTTATAGCCATAACCCATGTTTAAATGCCATTCAAAATTTTTTCAAAAATTCTCAATCTCACATTAGTTCAGTTTCAACTAAAATATATGCAGTTTTTGAAGACAAAAATCAAAATTCCGCAAGCAAAAAAAAGGAAAGTAGAATTCTGTGATATGTTCATCCCAAAAGTTCCCATTAATTCCAGACAAGCATTTTTTCACAATAATAAATCTAACTTACGTTGGATCTGGGCAAGACTCTCCGGGAGGACAAGGGTCGCAGGATGTGGCCCCTGTAGTTCCATTAGTAGTTGTTCCTGTTGGGCAAGGTACTGGGGGTGCATTATTAAGGGCACAGTAATATCCAGCAGGGCATGGTGTGCATCCAGCCTCCCCTATAAGACTGTAGTCTCCAGAGCCACAGTCAACCAAGGGATCTTCTGCTGGTGTAGCACACTGCTTGCCTGCTGGACATGGTGAACACAAGGCTTCACCCTGGAAAAATACAATAACACACGTTTTTAAATATGAAATCTTGAGTACATTTTTAGAAACAACAAATCAGGTGATAAAGAGTATGACATGAGAGTGCATTTAAATTTCAATAATTCTACAGGGCGACCCATAAGTAATGGTAATTATGAATTATGGTCTAAAATTTTAACAGGGAAAGAATCTGAAATCCACAATGGAAGAATTGCAAGCTTGATGCAGATTGCAAGATTTATTTTGCCATAGTATGGTTATCACTTTACGCAAAATTAGTAATGAATGATTGAAATGATTACTCCTGACATTTGCTTTGATAGGCATTTTAAAATGCATTGCTAACAATGGTACACTTACAATATATGTGTGATTCACATAGTGGTTAAGTTACTTCAAGACTACTCTTCAGTGCTACATGCCACATACTAGAGGTGTCAAGTATTAACCGGTTAACCGGTTAACCGCCGATAATGCCTTGAGCGGTCTGTGTTTTTATGGGCGGTTAGTTGACCGTGTATAATTCTGTTATTTCCCGCGCTTTTTTTGCATGCTAATCCGTTTGGTTTTATGGTGTCAGTTTCACGTAAGCTACTCATACATGTCATAAGTCCGAAAACTCCTTACAAACATCCAATCAGCAACTTTAATCCCTGCCACATTGCCTTCCCGCGCTTACTTTGCATTTTAATCTGTTTGTTTTTCAAGTGTCAGTTTCATGTGAGCTACTCATACATGTGATAGGTCCGATAATTCCTTACAAACATCCAATCAGCAACTTTAATCCCTGCCACATTGCTTTCCCGCGCTTACTTTGCATGTTAATCTGTTTGTTTTTCAAGTGTAGGCCATGTGTAATCAACTCATAGGCCAGATAATTCCTTACAAACATGTAAACATCCAATCAGATCAGCATATACATGTATAATCCCCAAAAAGCATTTCCCTCCAAAAAGTGTTGGGAAGTTAGTTCATGCCGAGTTTATTTGAGTTAGTTAGGAGTTAGGACCATCATGAAAACACCAGGCAAGAAAGCAAATGTTTGGAAGCATTTTACCTTGACGGGCGATAAGGCCGTTTGCAATACTTGTCAAAAATCGTATTCCTATACAGGAAGCACGTCTACATTGAACTACCATTTAAGAAATCACCAGGACATACCATTACATATACCAAGTTCCCCGTCAAGGTGCCAAACGCTAATAAGTGATTTTGAAAAAGCCCCCAAATTAACTCCAGCTAGGATTGAACAAATAACTCAAAAAATACTCAATGTTATTGTCCAGGATATTAGACCTATTTTAATCGTAGAGGATATTGGCTTCACTGAACTAGTAAACTTCTTTGAACCAAATTACAAATTCCCTTCAAGAGCTACATTTACTACACGCATGGAATCAAAATTCGAACATTTGAAAGAGATTGTTTTCAGTGTACTCCGGAATCAGCCTCATATTGCAATAACAACTGATCATTGGACGAGCATTGCACAACAGTCTTATGTCACTGTTACATTCCATTACATAGAAGATTGGAATATGGTATCGGGTAAGACAATTAATTTACAATAATTTTTTCGAGGATTACAATAATTTTCCCATGAAACCACATCCGCTGAGAACAAATTCATGAACACATTCAAACGTTACATATTGTATTTTCTAGGTGTTTTGACGACTGAACACTTCGAACAGCAACACACAGGAAAGAATATTGCCAAGCACATTGAAACGTTGGCTGAATCTTTAGATTTAACTGAGGCAATTGAGGCGTCTGTACATGATAATGCTTCAAACATGAGATTATGTGAAAAACTCACACCTCATTGGGTGGACATTTATTGCTGTGCTCACACTCTACAGTTGGTGGTTAAAGATTCTATTGACAAACTAACTCCGACTGCAAAGAATTCCATCAAATCAGTCAGAGACATTGTTACGTTTTTCAAACACAGCAATATGGCGTCTGGGCTTCTACATTCTAAGCAAAAGGCTCTCGGAGTTTCTGTCTCGGAATGCCTCGGCTTAACATCTGATGTTTCCACTCGATGGAATAGCACGTATCTAATGCTTGAACGAGCACTGAAACTAAGGAGATATATAAGTAAGTAATTATTCAATAATACTCTCCTCAATACCCGGTCGAACGCTTAAAAAATGTTCGTGTTGCAATGTATTTTACATTATTTAGACTATTCCTTTTTATATCTAGGTATGGTACTGGATGACATGCATTGAGAGGGAATGGACATTTCGGATGCTCAATGGTTGATGCTAGCAGACCTATGTAAAGTCTTAAAACCTCTTGCGTGTGCAACGACTTACCTAGGAGCAGATGAAAATGTGTCTATATCGTGTGTTTATCCATTACTCAACCAACTTGCTACGAATTTTCTTTCACTAGATGAGGACGTTGATTCTTTGCTTGTAGTTGGGTTTAAGCAGAATGTGAAACGAGGTTTGATAAAGAGGTGGAAATTAAATGACATTTCAATATGCTCATCGCATCCGGTAACCGCGAGTGCCCTCGATCCAAGGTTCAAGGAACTTACCTTTTTAAATTCAGAGCAAAAGATTGAATGTAAACAACACATAGTCAATATTTTTGAGTCAATGTCAAAAAAGAGAAAGGCTGCTTGTGATACAGAAAATGATGGTCCTCCATTAAAACGGCGAAAAACAGAATCTTGCACGTCAACATCAACTGCCTTTCTTTTTGGGGATGAGAACAAAGATACTCCCCCTATGAACGAGCTTGACTTATTTTACAACGAGCCAGTCTTGCTGAAGTCGTCAAATCCACTGACTTGGTACAAAACCAATCAAGCTAAATATCCAATCTTATCAAAATTAGCCAAAAAATATATGTGTATCCCAGCAACATCAACACCATCAGAGAGAATTTTTAGTTTAACAGGCCACATACTTAACAAAAAAAGATCCCAACTCACTCCAAAACATGTAAATGCAATTGTCTTCCTTAATAAAAACGAAAAATTTCATCGTTAGTCTAATATACCTGGTTTTGTACCAAGACAGTGGATTTGCCGACTTCAAGCTGACAAGTAGTCCTCAGAATCTGGCGCAGTTTTATTCATAAATTTTACACATTTATTTTAGTTTTAGATATTTATTCTATTTATTAATTTTACATATTGCAAAACAATTTCATTAATAAATTATACCTAAATTATATGCATTTTTAAATTCGTCAGTTTTGTTATTATTGTTGTCTATCAACGTCACCAAAATGTCAAAGGTCAAAGCCTCGCTTTGGTAGTGAGAAAATTAAAATTAAAATAAACATAACCAGCTGCAATATTCTCGTTGTTATGGTGCGTTCGTTGAGATTCCAAGGGTAAACCAGTGTGGTAAGTAATTTAAAGGTACCGGTAGTCAGGTAGTGTATGAATAGAATAGAGTAAAGCTTGACGAACGTAAAAAATAAACGCCGATATATCATTTTTCCAATTTTTTTCAACTTTCAAGATCGAAGATGAAGATTTAATTTGAAATTATCAGTTCAAATTTCCCGCCGGTTAACCGACTTTAACCGGTAAAAACACCCGGTTAACCGGTTAATGCTCAAGCGGTTAATTGACACCACTACCACATACTATACATAACACATGTGAAAACCTACAAGTGACCCATCTGTATCTGAGAGTGATATGATTAAGAATCAATAATAGATATATCTATATAACTTACCTCAAGACTGTACTCTCCAGCGCTGCATGCCACAGGTGCAGCAGATGGGTCCAAACAGGAAGATCCTGCGGGACATGGACCACATGTGGTGTTACTACCCCCAGAATATGTTCCAGAGGGACAGATGACTGGGTTGATGGCAGGATTGCTACATTCATAGCCAGCAGGACAACTAGTGCAGGCAGTTACCTAAATGAAGAATTCACCAGAAGTGTACTACAAAATACTATTTGTTTGGACATGACACATCTAAATGCTTTAATTTTTGTATCTGAATACAATGGATTTATCTTGGTCTCATCATCAGTAAATTAATTTTGACCTGTCTAACAAAGAAATCATCAAAATTAATACCAGATGAAAATTATGTCAGTTCTAAAACATGTCAACATACTGATAGACTCACTTAAAAATCAAAATGTGTTGGGAGGTTAAATTAGATTTTCATTAATTTTTTGTTATATTCTTAGTTGTACTTACAATGCCTCCAAGACTGTAATAGCCAGAGTTACAAGCTACAGGTGACGCAGTTGGATCATTACATGAACTTCCTGCAGGACAGTTAGAGCAAAGTGTGGCTTTTGTACCAGAATAGGAGCCTAAAACATAAAATACAGAGTTACTTAATGGTACATTACTGTAAAATCATCATTTATTGAACCCAATAATACATAATAAATGTACAAGGGCTGTTCTATAAATCCTATAATACAAACCCTCATTTTCATGTTTATCAAGGAACAACCCTCGTATAAGTTCAGTCTGCTCAGACACAACTGGTACTAAAAAACAATTTACAGGATGCCTGGAAAAGCTATCAGTAGAATTATGCCCTAATAATTATTCAAATATACTAGCAGTACTGCCAGTGTAGTGATGGCTATATTTTGCATTTACGTGACAAGCATCAAAATAAAAAATAAATATTTCACAAAAGAAATTTCAAAATATATTTTATGGAAATTACCTTGAGGACATGGGCTGCATGTACTTTCCCCAAATGCACTTTTGTAGCCAGGATCGCAATCAGTGGGTGTTATATAATTGCTTCCATCAAAACACTTTTGACCAGCAGGGCACTCAAGACAAGACCCCGACCCAGCTGTACTGTAGAAGCCTTCAGAGCAGAGCTAGAATATACATGTAACCGTTTATAAGTTATAATGGGCTGGGTATTGAAAAAACTATATGTTAGAAAAATATGGAATATTATCAAGCTCTTACAAGTGACATTGTTTCTTTTGTTACAAGATTATTGTTTCTACCACTGCTAATCAAAAAGCACTGATTTATCATATTCAACCATGTTTCAAAAAATAACAAAGGAAAACAAAAAAGTTAGGCAGCTTGTCTAAATTCTACTGCACAATTTTTGAACATTGCAGTTTTTTTTAATAAGACTACATTTACTGGTATTCTTTAACAGAGCTTTAAGGAAATCCTTTCCTGAGGGATGATTATCATCTTGTATAGGACTTTTAATTCATAATTCCTTTAATCTATTCTTACACTAGAAATAACTTACCGAGCATCCCATACTAGCACTAGGACTAAACCAGCCTGCATCACAATCACTTGGAGTGGCAGCCTTATCAGTACAGTTTTTTCCTGAGGGGCAATCCATACAAATAGCTTGGCCTGGCTGGTCTTGGTACTGGCCATCAGGACAAGGCTGTCGCCCAACTGTTGGATCAAGGCAAGCATATCCAGGTTCACAATCTGTGCAAACACCACCACTAGGGTATTGACCAACCTAAATAATTCAAAATAATCTTCAATTATTAACTCATGAACATATGTACAAGTTACAGCATGATACACATTGAGACATCAAAACGATACATTTAATGAAACATGAATTACTGAACGAAATACTATATAATTCACCATCATTTAATTTTAGAGTTTTGAAGAAAGGTAAACGAGGAAACCTGAACTCAAGTCTGTTTATGGATTCAATTATGGCAAGTGCACTTACAGAGCAGGACACGGGTGTACCCCCACTGCAGATCTGCCCAGCTGGACAACCTTGGCAATAGGTGGAGCCAGCTGATGAGAACTCATCGGCCCCACAGGCAACAGGTGAAGCAGTTGGGTCGACACATTTGGAGCCTGATGGACACTCTGTGCAGATTGAAGCTCCCGTACCAGTCACATACCATCCTCCAGGACACTGGAATTATTGAATTATTCATCCAAACTTCAAAATTATCATTTAAGACCCCGAAGCTATCATTTAAAACCTGAAAATTGTCATTCACTTCCCCAAAAAGTTATCAATCCAAAAATATATCACATTATAACAAACATATGCGCCCATTCAGGGGCCCCTACTTAAATATGCATGTATTTTACCAATCAATGTACTATAGTTATGAAGGACATATAACTATCCCTTTAAACATATTGCAATATTTTCCCCCAGAATTTAAACATGAATCCATGAAAAAAGAAAGAAAACATTTTCTTTGAGTCTTAAAATTGAAGACAGGGGAAACTAAAACTTAGTCTGTTTTTCAATAAATATAGACATTTGGATGGCTCGTACTTACATCAAGACAGGAAGTCATGCCATTAGCTGGTTGGTACTGGCCTGCAGAACATGCTGTGGGTCCACTGGTTGTACTCGGGCACTTGTTTCCTGGAAATATAGAAACATTAACATTTACATGTATGATACAAGGACATTGTTCAGTTCATGTCTTACTAATACATACCATAATATTAGTGTGACAAGACTGCCAGAAATGATGTCAAACTGAAATAATATGACCAATTTGTAACAAATGATGTCACATTGAAATAATATGACAAAGCTGGAACAAATGATATCATACTGAAATAGTGTGCCAAAACTGTGACAAATAAAGTCACATTGAAATAGTGTTAAAAGACTGGAACAAATGATGTCCCACTGAAATACATGCAGATTGACAAGACTGCAACAAACGATGTCAGAATAAAATAGTGTGAAAAGACTGCAACAATGACTTACCAGCAGTACACTCTGTACAGCCTGTTCCCCCAGTTCCAACATAGTACCAGCCTGCTGCACAAGCCTGGGGCTCAGATAAGCCGTTAGTAGAACACTGGTGACCTGCAGGACACGTTGTACATGTGATACTCCCGTTGTTGGCATAGTTACCAGCTGTACACTCCACTGGGTTTGTTGTTTTATCCGAGCACTCATGACCCCCAGGACATAGATAGCAACTCTCTTGACCCCCAAGAGAGTATGTACCATCAGGGCATGTCGTCTCTGTGGATCCATCGCAATATGAACCCGCAGAGCATGCTGTACATGCACTAGCCCCTGGACTGCTTGCGATGAAGCCTGTAAAAAAGACACCATAAATCATGGTAATTATGGTATTGATTATAAAGGCAGAAATAATGTAATATTCAAATAATGATTTCAAATTAGTTAGCATTGATATACCTGGTGCACAAGGAGTACACGCTGCTACACCAGCTGGACTGTAAGTTCCTGCTAAGCAATTTGAGGGTGTGGTATCGGTCTGATCAGTGCAGTCTTTACCCCCAGGGCAGGGGGTACAGGACCCAGACCCGGCACCACTGTATTCACCTGTGTATAGAATAAACATGATGAATTAAAATGGGAATAATTGTTCAGTATTTTGGTATCAGAAAGGAGCAAAATCTGATAAGCAAAAACATGCATGAAAACTTAAAATCATTCTCATAAGAAAAGTATTTTGAAAATAGGATCGCAAACAAAGCTAAATGGTTAGTAATATCAAAACTTGATTATGAGCCAAGAACAGTTTGGCGATGACCATTCATCTTGACAGTTCAAACAAAGAGGTTTTTGAGAGTAAGCATATCCAGATAAAAGTAAATTCAAGATGTAAAGATATAATGAATAAAATTGTGTGACCCTTATGAACAGATCTGCAGTTTGATTAACTCTTTGTCAAAAAAAAACTAGATAACACCAGTTTATAGATATAAAAAATATATTTCATCAGTTATTTTATAACAGATTCATTGATATAATTCCCAGTCCTTAGTAGAGACCTATAACATTTCCGAATACTTACAGTTCCATGAAATGGAACTAATTACACAAAGGAGTGCATATATTTAGAGAGAAAATGAGTTGGTAATAACCTGCAGGACATGGAGTACACCCCCCTAGTGAGCTATAGGTGCCTGCCCCACAATCTGGTGGTGATATTGTTTGGTCACTACAGTCTTGTCCAGCATTACATTGAGTACATGTTGTACTTTGTGCTGAACTCCAATATCCTGTGGCACAACTAGTACATGTGGTTTCCCCAAGTGCACTGTATGTTCCAGCTGGACATGGATACTTGCTACTTGAAGTGCAGGAGTACCCAGCATCACATGATGTGCAACTACTAGATCCAGGGCTTAGAGAATAGGTGCCTAGAAAAGTGTTATAAATTTGAAGCATCACACAAGTTAATATTGTTAGTAACTTAAGTATCAGTTGAAATGATTATTCAAAAGGGCTCTAGATCTGTCTCTATGTTTATTCGTACCAGCCTGAAGAAACAATCATCCAACTTTGATACAAAGCTTCTTCCTGGAAATACCAAGTCTTCCAAAAAATTCCTCACCTTCCAAGCAACATGACATGAAAAATTATAAGGGGTGCTCCATTTATAATTTCTAAAAAGCAATTATTTCATCTTTGAGAGTAATCTTTTTCAAGATTTACAGAAAAAAGATTCAAAAAAATCAAAGTCTATCAATAGTGAAATACAATGGTTATTCTGTTTTTATGGTTATTCTGTTGTTTTTTCGAAATTTTGTTTTGTTATATTTTAGAATCAGAAATAGACATTGATCTCCTTTAAGGAATGATTTCATATTATTTTGACAGAAAGGGTGCAATTTGCATTATAATCTTTGTCATCAAAAATAAAAACATATTTTATCTTCCAAATTGTTTAAAAAACTGTTCAACTTAACACAGTGAGATCACTAGTCAGACAATCAATAGTCAGAAGGATTCCAAACCTGAATAAACAACTCAAGTTGTGATTACACAAACATCGCTTGATATGAAGCAACAACTGAAGAACTAACTTGAATCCTTCTATAGAAACTCCGAAACTAAAGAGTTTTTTATTTGAGGTCCTCATTGTGAAGTATTTTATTTTGTAAAGACTGCATGTTGATTTTAAAATGACTACAAGGTCAGACAACAATTTATTCAAAAGAACCAATTATCGATTTGTCAAAGTAAGCAATACAGTTCTTTTATATCAATGAAAAAAGCAGTGTTTTCCCATTTGACTAAATATACTTTCAACGAGAAATTTCCGAAATTCAGCAGCAACAATAAGCAAAAATAAAACACAGAGAATTAAAGGAAAAGTATCAGAAAGGCACACTTGAAAGAACTTAAAATAAAAATCAATTGTCAGACAGTTAGTAAAACGACGATACATCTACATGTAATGTTTATGTATCCTGTACACGTTCTTGGAATTTTTCTGGGTAAAAACAATCAATTTCTAGGCTCTTCTTTTCAAAGAAACACAAAACAGTATTTTCTTTATTGGTCTCTACCTGAAACACAACTTGTACAAGCTGCATCCCCAGCATTACTATAAGTCCCTGCCCCACAATTCGGTGGTGATTTGGTCTGATCGCTACAATCTTGCCCAGCATTACACCGAGTACAAGTTGTACTTTGTGCTGAACTCCAATATCCTGTGGCACAACTAATGCAAGTAGTTTCTCCTAAGGCACTAAATGTTCCAGCTAGACATGATGTTTTAGTAGTTGATGTACAAGAAAAGCCAGCGTCACACACTGTACAATTACTAGAGCCAGGGTTTAATGAATACCTTCCTAGAAAAGTTAGAGGCATCTAAGGTAACACATCTAGTAAAACAACACAAATTAGATAACTATATACGGGGTGAGCTAAAAAAGGCAACCCAAATAAAGGTTAATAACTCAGTTTCATTGGTCTACTTTCAATGGTCACAATATTATGGCCATTTTACAAAACATGCTCAAATGACGAAACATGCCATTCTCACACGATATAAACCCTCACACTATTATCTTAATTCAAAGAAAATGTCTATACTAACAACCCTAGAAGCATCGGTTTAAACAAAACTTTGGAAGGAAGATGAGAGCCATTATACAAGATATTTATGAGTGTGAAGTCAGAATTACTTCACACAATGCGCTCAAGTTTGTGTCCAGAGACGAGACTGGTATTCTGAGCATGTTGTGTAAAATGGCCATAAATTGTGACCATTTGTGTTAGACCAATGAAACTTAATTGTGATTTAACTGTGCAAAATGTGACCTTAAACCCATGCAAAGAACTGAGATATTTAAACAAATCTCAAGCATTGCTTCATAAGAACTTAAAAAAGTTATGGTTGGCTAGAGAGATAGAAAAGAATAAATGTTTTATGATGCAATTCGAACCTGAAGCACAACTGGTACATGCTGCATCCCCAGCATTGCTAAAAGTCCCTGCCCCACAATCTGGTGGTGATATTGTTTGGTCACTACAGTCTTGTCCAGCATTACATTTAGTACATGTTGTACTCTGTGCTGAACTCCAATATCCTGTGGCACAACTAGTACATGTGGTTTGTCCAAGTGCACTGTATGTTCCAGCTGGACATGGAGACTTGCTACTTGAAGTGCAGGAGTACCCGGCATCACATGATGTGCAACTACTAGAGCCAGGGTTTAGAGAATAAGTACCTAGAAAAGCGGGCCAAGTGGTCCATATTTAAAGCATCTAATATGTTAGTTTACAAATAGTGCCTGCCATTGAATAAAATAGTGCAAAATATTTTTCCCAAGGGAATATCCTGTTAGGCGATCAGCCTGGGGGGTTGGTGGGGTACCAAATCAGGGGAATAATGGCCATGGTGATTTTTGGGAAGGTCTAGACCCCTAGAGTAAGAAAATATGTGATAGCATTGCAGAAGTGGTAGCTTAATAGGTGTTATCACCTATTTTTCAAAATGGCCGCCGGTGCGCTTGCTACCAAATAAAAGAAGTTATGTCTAAGCATACTGAGAAGCAAAATCAGTAATTTTAGGGTCTAATTCTGGGTTTTAGGGGTCAATGATTTGAGTTATGCCTAAATCCAAGTCATCAAAACATTAATTCATATGAAAATCCAAGATGGCCGCCAAATTTGGTTAAAAAACAAATATGTACTAATGATACAAGCTCAAAAACGTTTCAACATGATTTTGAAGAGTTTTAGAAGAGGTTTTAGAGTCTATAAGATTTTATTCATGTGTAAAGCTATGTCATCAAAGGATTACTTTATATTGAAATCCAAGATGGCCGCAAAATAGGTGCCAAAACGAATATGTTATTACAGTATTGATATACACGTAAGCTCAAGGAACAGATAAAAAGCAATTATGTAGACAGTGAAACGGTTTAGCGGTCAAGGATTTCATTTATGCCTCATTTAAGTCTAAGTCAGCAAAGAATTGCTTTATTTTGAAATCCAAGATGGCCACCGAAATGAAAATGTAACTACATGTATTGATACAAGCTCAGACAACAGATAAAAATTAATTTTGTAGACCATGAAAGTGTTAGAGGATTAATGATTTTATTGTCTTAGTCATCAAAGAATAACTTGATGTGGAAATCGAAGATGGCTGCCAAAATGAATATGTAACTATTAATATATGTTCAAAGTGATTTTGGAGACCATATCTAAAACTTAGTCATCAAATAATTCTTTTATTTGGATATTCAGGATGGCAACAAAAATGGCTGCCAAAAGAATAAGTAATTTTGGAATACATTTATTTGAATATCCAAGATGGCCCTGATGGGATGTACCATCTCAATTGTTCCCTCTTCATCGCAGCAATGAACTGGATTGTGAAAGCAGAAGAGTCCAAGTAAAGAGGTCTCAAAGTGAATGATGACACAAAACATCCTTCTTGCCAAGCCTTTATGGACATCATCACTGTTATGACCTAGTCATTCCCCGGAGCACAACATATTATAAGCTGCCTCTAGATGATGGCCAATTGTGCATGTATTTAGTCCAATCCAAGGAATCTTTTCAGCTGAGTGGTATACAAAGGAAGCTAATGCGTAATTATTCATACTATCCATGATGAGAGAATTGAATATCTAGGGAAATATTTTGATGAGTTTCTTAAAGATATCAACAGCATCTGTGAGAACTAGAAAAATTAATGAAAGCTATTGACCTTAGCCATGTAGGGAGTTGGTTCAAAGTTTCATGCTTTCAGTTTGGTGCTATTCTCCTATGACTTTTCCAACTATGTAACTTCCATTACAACAACAGAGGCTGAGGAGAAAGAGCAACATCAACAGAGTAAGAAGGGGTGAGTTGCAAAGGTTACCTTGGAGTAGATAGGCAACTTTGGTTCTAATAATCTCAAACAAACACACACCCAAAAAAGTATTTTAGCACTCTGGGAATCAGCTCTTGACAATGGACCAAGTTAAATTTTGGTGTATCCCGAAAGCTCTAATATAATTGACTCTAATTCCAAGAAAAAAGAAAAAGAGAAAAACAAATAAAATAAAAAAACAAAGACAACATAAATGAGAAAACACAAATAAAACAAGAAAATTGAAAGGCAGCAAAGAAAACAGAAGAGAGAAAACAAAAAACAAAGACAAAAATGAAAACAACGAAGAACACTGAAAAATATAGAGGTTACAACAGATAAAGAGAGAAATAAGCTAGAAAATAGGAAAAAAAACTTAACCAACAGCCAATTTGGCTAACAGTGTCAAGATCACTGGGGATGAACTGGAAACGAGGGAGGTTTTGCCTCGTATCAAAATGGCGGCGTGTGAAAAAATTTCATTCGGTAAGATTTTTGTTTTTTACAATTTTCGTGCTTTTATCCTTCAAATTAAAACTTAATATTTGGCAAGTAAATAGTTCATAAGTTCCGGTTTTATAATATGATTACAAATTAGAAATCAATACTGGCATTGCTGAGATATTTACATATCAATTCTCTCACTTAGGAAACGAGGCATGTTTCTCAAGGAAACGAGGCAGCTATATAGCATTCTTAAGAATGAAACGAGGCAACCATATTTAATTAAAAATGTTTTGTTTTTATTACAGAACGGGGCCTACAAAAAGAAGCATCCCTGTTCAAATGCTATTTCTGTAACAGGAAACGACAACGTTGCTGATATTGTTATGTTGAAGCTTCCTAAAAAGCAAAAATGTCATGTTGAATAGGGAAGCAGATATAGACAGTTGTGAACAAAGCTTGCTTTTATTCTACCTTGAAACATCATTTATTTTAATTCACGATAGCGACATCATAATATTTATGCCATCGACCATTAACATTTTTCATATGGCTAATAATCTAGAAAATTTATGAATATTTCATTTACAAATGCATTACCATTTCTAGCATTTAAGAAAATACAAGGCATTAACATATGACACGTGTTGTAACTTATAGTAATAACAAATAAGTCCATTTATCTGCTACCATGGTAACATATGTTCTAAGAAAAACTTGAAAGTCATAATAAGTTTATAATTGTTCACAGTAAAATATGATGTCAGTCTAAACGGTACGCATTTGTTCAGTTTTTGAAAGTTGCTAAAATTGCTAAAGAATTTGCGATTGACGCAAAACGCCAGACGCCGAACTCCAGACGTCAGACGCCGAACATTTCCACATTTCGTTGGACTATATGCAGAATAACATAATTGATAGTGACATAATAAGGAACATACAGACATTAAAGAATACAAACAGTAAAATCCAATGTACACCAATGAGACAATGCCAGTGTGCTCCTTGACTCTGCTATTTTTGTAATATAGGCGAGTCATTTAATTATTACCATGGTCATTCTTTTTTTATCGTATCTGGAATTATATTCTATCAAATATAGCCATCTCGAGCAACAACAATGCCCCATTTGCGTACGAGTAGTAGGGAGGTTTAACGACACATGTTTTAAAGAGAAGTGTACGTAAACGTGTAAAATTGCAATCTTCAGAGAACTAGTTCTTGTCTTCAACGTATTTATTTGCATGAATGATTACAAAGGTATCAGTTAAACTGTTTTAATTGGGTCTTTGTATAAGTCAATCCAGAACGGAACTATAGTTCCCAGGGGTCATTTCACGTTTACGTTCGCCATTTCTAAAATACGTGTAGCTTAAGCTCCCTATTAAAATAGCACTTCTTTGAACGAGATTTTTCTTATTTGAGAGAACATTTTGACGATATATGCGCTACCATTGATAGCTCGGTTAGCTGGCTCGTTTATTGGAATTGACACTCAAAACAATGCTATTTAACGTTTTCGAAATATTTAGGTACGAAAAATTTCGAACGGAATGCGTGACATATACGTAATTCGCGTGAAAAGTCCGAACGAAATGCGTACGTTTTTTTTCGGCGTTTTGGACAGTATACATCACAAAGGAACTTATCGTGTCACTTGTCCATTGTGATGTCATAGAGACAATTAGAAAAATTGAAGAATTTGAAGAAAAATAGCCATCCAAAGACACTTACACCTGCTAATTGCCATTTTACAAAGAGTTTATTCAAGCAAGAAAACTGTTTGGAAAAACGTAAATTCGGGTTGAACATGGTACCCACCACTCTGGTTACCATAGCAACCATATCTCAAGAACCAATCAAAATTGAGGTCCCAAATTTTACCATATAATGTATAAATATATAACACATATGTGTACCAAGTTTCATTGCAATAATACTATTTTCCTTGAAGTTATGACATCAAATGCAAAACTTTTTGAACCACCTAAGTATATCGTGTAAAACGTAATCGGTCGTATGTGACCAGAACGGTGGAAATAAGATCATTAAATGTAGACACTATCACAGAAAGAATAGTTGCCTCGTTGCAAGTCAAACATTGCCTCGTTTCATTGTTACAAAATGTAGACAGGTGCCTCGTTTCCTAAGTGAGAGAATTGATATGTAAATATCTCAGCAATGCCAGTATTGATTTCTAATTTGTAATCATATTATAAAACCGGAACTTATGAACTATTTACTTGCCAAATATTAAGTTTTAATTTGAAGGATAAAAGCACGAAAATTGTAAAAAACAAAAATCTTACCGAATGAAATTTTTTCACGCGCCGCCATTTTGATACGAGACAAAACCTCCCTCGTTTCCAGTTCATCCCCAGTGAAGATATAGGGACAGAAAATATTCTAGCATAGTAAGAGCATTCAATATACAGTTAGCAAGTGTAACACAGGCCTTGAGTTTATTGATTTTCTCCCTCTATCATGACATGTATAAATTTGGCAGCGATTTTGGCAGCCATCTTTGATTTTCATCAAGACAACAATTTAACAATTAAAGTAAAAAGAAAAAATTTCAATGATAACTGAAATCCTCAATCCCTAGATCCTAGTTAACTAAGTCAAAGATACCACAACCACTTGCCAATATCTTCTGTTAATGCTTATAGATATACTTAACCAACCATGTAAATATTCATTTTGGCACCCATTTTGGTAACCATTTTGGAGTTTAATATGAGGAAAGGTTAAGATGACTTTGGTAAAGGCTAAATTGAAACCATTTCCCCCTGAAACCTAGTTTCAGATATCTATTACGTACATTACTTTTCTAACTTTTCTATGTGCGTATAAATTCATTTTACCAGCCATATGTTTGGCCATCTTGGCAGCCATTTCAAAATATAAAGGTATTCTTTAATCACTTAGATTTATCCATGGATGGAATCTGTATTAACCTCTAAAACCCTATCATGGTCTGCAAAAGCACTTTTTAACTGTTCTTTGAGTTTATATAAATAGTTTACATATTCATTTTGGCACTCATTTTGGTGGCCATCTTGGAATTTCATATAAAGGATATCTATTATTTCTTAAATTTATACACAAATAAAATCCTTAGCCTCTAAAACCTATTCATGGTCTCCAAAGTCACTTTTTAACCGTTCTTTGAGCTTTTTAGCTTATATCAATAGTAACATATTTGTTTTGAGACCCATTTTGGTGGCCATCTTGGATTTCCATATAAAGCAATTTGTTGATGACTTAGATTTTGACATAAATGAAATCCTTGACCACTAAAACCCAGAAATAGACTTCTAAATCACTGTTTTTGCCTCTCATTATACTAAAATATGATTTCTTTTATTTGGTAAAAAGCGCAATAGCAGCCATTTTGAAAAATGGGCGATAACACCCATAAGCTACCATTCCTGCAATGCTATCACATATTTTCTTACTCTGGAGGTATTTACCATGCCAAAAATCACTATGAGCATTATTCCCCTAACTTGGTACTGATAAGCTAAATTTTGAGGTGAAGCTGATGGCCTATGTCCACTGTCATGTTCCCGAGGCTGCAGGCCCGAGGGGAAAATATTTACACTATTTCCCGAAAATGTGGCAGTTACTATTTGTTTTATTATATACCCCATATGTACTCAGTAAACAAAAAACAAAAACAAGTCTTTTAATTTCAACATTTAATGCTTACAGGTTCTTATTAGCATTTAAAGGCATTTTGCCATTCAACTCATATAAATCACAGCTAGCAGGGAAGATAAAATGTACTAATGACTGGTCAGTTGACCTAACTGGTGATTAGTAAGTATATTTCATCTTCCCTGTTAGCAGGGATTTAGTTCATCTATTTCAAATCATGTGACCATGAAATAACCAATGAGCATCTAGAATACATATGGGGTATATAATAATCTTAACTAATGCACCTCACTCACACTACTGAAGAACTAATACTATTCTAGTATATAAGCTACAAATTATACTATGTTTAAAATAAATACATGTTGGTGAAAAACTGAACTTCAGTTCTCCAAGAATGGAAAATTTAATGACACCACAATGAAGTGGTTACATAAAAAACTTGGGAATAAAATATTTTCTGAAATGCCATTCGAACCTGAAGCACAACTTGTACAAGCTGCATCCCCAGCATTGCTAAAAGTCCCTGCCCCACAATCTGGTGGTGATATTGTTTGGTCACTACAATCTTGTCCAGCATTACATTGAGTACATGTTGTACTTTGTGCTGAACTCCAATATCCTGTGGCACAACTAGTACATGTCATTTCTCTGAGTGCACTGTATGTTCCAGCTGGACATGGAGACTTGCTACTTGAAGTGCAGGAGTACCCAGCATCACAATTTGTGCAACTACTAGAGCCAGGGTTTAGAGAATAAGTACCTAGAAAAGCGGGCCAAGCGGTCCATATTAAATGCATCTAATATGTTAGTCTTAACTAATGCATCTCACTCACACTACTGAAGAACTAATACTATTCTAGAATATAATATAAGCTACAAATTATACTATGTTTAAAATAAATACATGTTAACGAAAAACTGAACTTCAGTTCTCCGAGAATGGAAAATTCAATGACACCACAATGAAGTGGTTACATAAAAAACTTGGGAATAAAATATATTCTGAAATGCAATTCGAACCTGAAGCACAACTTGTACAAGCTGCATCCCCAGCATTGCTAAAAGTCCCTGCCCCACAATCTGGTGGTGATATTGTTTGGTCACTACAGTCTTGTCCAGCATTACATTGAGTACATGTTGTACTTTGTGCTGAACTCCAGTATCCTGTGGCACAACTAGTACATGTGGTTTCCGCAAGTGCACTGTATGTTCCAGCTGGACATGGAGACTTGCTACTTGAAGTGCAGGAGTACCCGGCATCACATGATGTGCAACTACTAGAGCCAGGGTTTAGAGAATAAGTACCTAGAAAAGCGGGCCAAGCGGTCCATATTAAATGCATCTAATATGTTAGTCTTAACTAATGCACCTCACTCATACTACTGAAGAACTAATACTATACTAGTATATAATATAAGCTACAAATTATACTATGTTTAAAATAGATACATGTTAGCGAAAAAACTGATCTTCAGTTCTAAAGGAATGGAGAATTTAATGGCATCACCACGAAGTAGAAACATAATATTTCGGAAATAAAATAAATTCTGAAATGCAATTCGAACCTGAAGCACAACTGGTACAAGCTGCATCCCCAGCATTACTAAAAGTCCCTGCCCCACAATCTGGTGGTAATATTGTTTGGTCACTACAGTCTTGTCCAGCATTACATTGAGCACATGTTGTACTTTGTGCTGAACTCCAATATCCTGTGGCACAACTAGTACATGTCATTTCTCTGAGTGCACTGTATGTTCCAGCTGGACATGGAGACTTGCTACTTGAAGTGCAGGAATACCCGGCATCGCATGATGTGCAACTACTAGAGCCAGGGTTTAGAGAATAAGTACCTAGAAAAGCGGGCCAAGTGGTCCATATTTAAAGCATCTAATATGTTAGTCTTAACTATAATACATCTCACACACACTACTAAAGCACTAATATAGATTTATAAGCTACAAATTATGTTTAAAAATGAATCAATTTCAGAAGGTAAGCAGTTGTGTCACTCCGGGGCAATATCCTCTAAGGCCAAGATACCTCATCAGAATAGCTATAGTACTAAGCCTCTGGTTCAAAATGAGGGGTTATACTATCCATAAAGCCAGATGTGAAAAACTATACAAATCCTGAATTTGGTTATACCAATGGTACTAATGTTAGGAGTGCATGTATAGTATAATTTGAGGAAATAATTCCCTTAGATCTTGAATCTACTCACCTGAGGGACAACTGGTACAAGCTGCATCCCCAGCATTACTAAAAGTCCCTGCCCCACAATCTGGTGGTGATTTGGTCTGATCGCTACAGTCTTCTCCAGCATTACACTGAGTGCAACTTGTGCTTTGTGCTGAACTCCAATACCCAGCAGCACAATTTGTGCATGTTGCTGCTCCTAATGCACTGTATGTTCCAGCCAGACATGGGGTTTTAGCAGTTGATGTACAGGAGTAACCAGCATCACATTGGGTGCAGGACTCTGCACCAGCTGCAGAATATTCACCTATAAAAGCGGAAACATAAATAATATTTTATGGTCCATTTCAAGACATGTTTCTTTTCAGATTTTTTCAGGAATCTCATAAAATGAGAGCCGTGTAATGTTGAAATGTAAGACTAAGATAGAGAGGTAAACAAGTTTTTATGTCATTAATCTATGCTAAAAAAAGTCAATTTTCTTGACATCTAATTTTTCCCTCTAATTATTAACGTTTGCATAGTAAAACCTACCTGTAGGACAAGCTGTACATGTGATACTATTAGCTGCAGCATATGTTCCAGCCACACACTCAGTCTCAGTGGTTTTATCGGAGCATTCATACCCAGCACTACATGGTGAACAACTTGTCCGTCCTGTATTAGCCTGGAACTCCCCATCTGGACATGCAGTGGGAGCTGACATCTGTGCATTTGGACACTTAGAACCTAAAATGTATAGATCAAGGTAAAATTCCATCTGGTTTAGAATATAACCATACAATATGAATGATAATAAAAAAAATTAATGTTATTAATATATGCTTCATTATAAATAAAAGTGACTTAGTACATGTGTTTGCTGTATAAGTTAGTTCTACAAAGAACAAATGCTGTACTTTTACATTATTTGTTTGTTTGTTTTATTTATTTCCTAAATTCCAAATAATACAAGTACAATCGCAATAGTCGAAGACACCCCAAGGGGCATATAATCCATGTTATACATACAAAGTACAAGTGTACAAGTGTGCATATGTATAGTATAAAATGGATTTAGGTGTTCTAATGTGACTTTCCATAAAATGTTATATGAATATTGACTGAGTACAAGTAAACATAAACCAAGTACCTGCAGGGCACGTTTGACATGTGGAGTCTGAATCCCCTCTATAGTTGCCAGTACCACAGTTCTGGCACGCACTCTGAGCACCATTTGGGACCTGACCAGCAGGACATGCCTAGAAATAAACATACAATTGTTGACTGACCCAGAGACTATCTCTTCTCTAAAGTGAGACTACTGTTGACCAGCAGGATATGCCTAAAAATAAACATACAATTGTTGACTGACCCAGAAACTATCTCTTCTCTAAAGTGAGACTACTGTTGACCAGCAGGATATGCCTAAAAATAAACATACAATTGTTGACTGACCCAGAGACTATCTCTTCTCTAAATTGAGACTACTGTTGACCAGCAGGATATGCCTAAAAATAAACATACAATTGTTGACTGACCCAGAGACTATCTGTTCTCTAAAGTGAGACTACTGTTGACCAGCAGGATATGCCTAAAAATAAACATACAATTGTTGACTGACCCAGAGACTATCTCTTCTCTAAATTGAAACTACTGTTGACCAGCAGGACATGCCTTCAAATAAACATTATGCAATTGTTAACTGATCCAGAGGTTGACTGAGCAAACTGTCTACCTCTTCTATAAACTGAGACTACAGTTGATCTGTAGGACATGCCTTCAAATAAACATAAAACTTCATTGCATGCAATTGCTGGCATGGCAAAATATCCACCTCTATTATAACTACTGTTGGCAGACAACATCATATAGCTTCTACGGACCAATCATATTTGATTTAGACTGGGATGTTCACAATTATTACGCCAAGTTCTATCAATTTCAGTAAAAATAGACTAGTCAAAAAAGGTTGAAAATTGGATTGATACCATACTGTCAAAATGATGAAATATTGAGATATTTTGATCAAAATAGGTAAAAATCAGGGTATATGTAGCACCCCATTGAGAATAAACTTGAGAGGTCCTGAGCATTGCTAAATGAATTATTTCAAGCTCAATTAAAATGTTTCATCATGGTCTTTCTTTATCAGTTGATGGAACAACTCACTTATTTCATGCAGAACACTACATGTATAGCAATAGAAGAGGTTGAATACTTCAAGATATAATGACAGGGAAGATTGAGAGGCATAAATATTGAATGATGTTGATCAGAGAAACAGTGAATTATACAGGGTGTCAAATAAGTCCCGTCCCCCCTGCTACAGCTAAAACCTTAACAGACAGTACCTAGTGTGATATACCATTGGAAAGATCATCCAAAGTTATGTTAACTCACCAACTCTCAAGTATTTTGGATGAAATTTACTTATATTTTAATGATGTCTTTTATAGTTAACGTGCCCTCCTTTAAGTAGCTTTTTTGCGTCAAAATGACAAGGATATGATCTCAGAAATACGTCAAAAAGTTAATCTTTTTCGCATTCCACTTGTTACAAAAAGGTTTTCACCACTTTCCTTGCACCTCTATTTTCTACACATCTAACCCTATCCAGAAATTGGTTAAATTCATCGCCATAAACATATTTAGTCATCTTTTGGTCCCTTGACCTTTCTTATACCCGATTCTTAAAATCCTGCCAAATACGCCAAATTGCCATGTTTCTAGGCATATGGTCACCTCAATTAATACAATGTAAAAATTTGTGAAATTGATTGGCATGTGTCAGATATATGCCAATCAATGTAACTTTGGAAGACCTTTCCAATGATATATCACACTTGGTACCAAATGTCTTGGTTTTGGCTGTAGAGGGGGGGACGGGACTTATTTGACACCCTGTATATTACCAAACTCTATGTGAGATACAGTAATTGACCTTATAATTAAATCACACATAGTCAGGTGATTGATTAAATCAATGAGAAAAGATTTGTTTATATCAGGAAATATTACTCAAATTGTATTATTACTATGGATAGGAAATTTTATTTAATTTTACTTTCTGTATACTCTTACATATGGTAGTTTGTAACATGTATATTAATTAAATAATTCTTGAAAATGAAATGATCATTTTTGTATTATATTTAATAAGCTCTGAAAATCAGATATGATTAAGAGATAACAAAAAGCAGTAAAATAAAAGCATTTATTATGCACCTCATTAAAATACTCAAATCTGATTGGTTCTTAGTTGCTTGTAATTTGGCAATACTCTGCTCTTTTCTGAAAACTGCCGGATATTTTTTTAATATCTGACCCTTTCGAGAAAAAGGGTCGGATATTTTTTTCAATGTTTTTGCAACATTCCCACTTCAGAGTTTTATTTCTTAATAACTGGAGTACTACTTAAAGCTTACATCTGAAACTGGCGGAAAATAGAAGAAAAAAATGCACTTAATCAATCACAATTACCCTTATCATTCAAAAGTTACATATAATTCTGCAAGAACGTCTCGAATAGATAAAAATTAAATTCCCGGGGCAAATATTTTCGTCAAGTGGAGCAAATAAACTGGCCGGAAATCGTCTGAGTTTTGAAAGAAAAAATAAATAAATGTCAAAATAATGTCAACTAAACGACAGTTTAAGCCTGTACTCCAGTAAGTACTCCACTTAACTTTGATTGGGAGGTGCATAATAAAACAAATACTGGATGATCAGGAGCTGGATATGGCCAGAATACCTATCCTCGAAAAAATATTGGGCTCGGCTGCCGCCTCGCCCAATATTTTTTCTCGAATAGGTATTCTGCCATATCCAGCTCCTGATCATCCAGTATTTGTTTAATATGCTTGCTATTTTATTCACAAGGTGTGGTTTAAAATGACAATGAATTCTAGAATTACAATTTTAGAATTCTCAATGACCCCAAAATGCTGTGTTGTATACATACACAGTACACACACTAAGGTAGATAAGGTTCCTATTAGCTTATCATGTCTGAACATTAACATCTACAATTTCTGATATGTATGTAACATACACTAGCACCAATTTCAGGTTTTGCACTTGAATTAAGATTACATCATTCTTTAGTATGACAGTATTTCCTAACGATACCAAGCTGATCATGGCACTTATACACTTTAGTCATTTAAGTTATTGTAATAAAAAATATTTTGGATTTAAATGTAATTAATTTGATCAATTTGATTAAATTGCCACCTGCAATTATTACAATTTGAAAAGTGCTCCATTGATCTTTAATGCCAATTTATTGTATTTCCTGAATTTTCTTATATCGAAAAACATATGCGACAATAACACAAAGTTCAAGTACTATTATCTTAAAACCTGATAGAACCAAAGACTAAATGACATTAACATTGCATAGGGCACAATTATACAATTCTAGTAGAACAATATGTTCAAATAGAAATAGTTTGCTCTTATGAAAGTCATTATTGAATTCAATTTAGAAATACTTCAGTGTTGAGGATGTGCACTTCACTGGTGTTTGGCTTTGGAGTGCCCGAAACTTATCATTTTGTGATTCTATTAGTGAGTGGTATTGTCTCCACCATAGAGTGTATTGTGTATTCCATACTAAGCTTTCATAATTTTTTTTATTCTCATCATACGATCGAAAAACATTCAATCTTTTGCTTCTGAAAGAATAATAGATACATTCCTATCAAACGTTTTTTAAAGTTTTTAAGTTTTACAGTAAATAGGGTTTTACTTAATCAAACTTTAGGAATGGTACTTTCACAACTGCATTTTTCAGATCTTTCAGGCCTAAGATTTTTGTAAATTGTTTCTTTTAGATTACATATTCATTTATCTAATTTATTTAACTTGTACTTATCAGCAAGAGCCACATAATTATTAAATTTAGTATAAAAGTCCATAATAATGAAAGGCAAACAAGTGCCATTAGTGAAAGTGTGATCCGATGTTATAAAATCCACGAAAAGACCTAAAACATATCCATGGAATAAATCTACAAGTTAAACCAGAATTGGAGCTATAATTCCAAGACATAGACTAATTTACGATATTTATCCCCAAAAATAAAATATCATCTAGGTCTATAAAATATAATATATCAAAGAAGAGGTTGGCAAGTAATCTTACACCATAGCAAAACATTCCCACCAGTCCTGAAGAAATGCAAGAAACATTGTTTTTCAGTCACACTTAAAGAAAATTATACAGGAATTAATAACAGTGTAAACACATCAAGAGAAAAACATAAAGATGTCCAATAACCTGAATATCTCAACATTTTATATATTAACAGAATATTACTGGAAATCTAAAGCATCTAGCAGTGAGTTATTGAGCACTTTGCCGTAATCATGGTAACTGGCTAATAGAAACACTAACCTTAACCTGTCACTACAATGGATAATCTGGATAAACCGATAATTTGCAAATTAGATCAATGCTACAATAACAAGATTCACCATCAGTGAATTATGCTTTGAAATTATCATTGACAATGGTCAAGCAAATATTTGAATAATATAAAGGTGGTCAATAATACAATTGTAGGATTTCATCATTTTCATTGATATTATTTGTTGATGTGTTGCCATAGTCACAAGAATCACCTAGAAACTCAACATTATACATGAGACAGATAAGTACCCTTACAAAATATAAAGTCAGATTTTATTATAACACAAAGAATGAGAGTGCTTCATAAACGAGAATTATACAATATCTTGTAATTTACAATTGATGGGTCATTTTACAATACGGCTCATTCACTACAAATCGGTCTCCAAGGCTCCAACTGTAATGTGTTGATTAAACAAGTAAAACATGCAATATATATTTTCTAAAAGATCTCAAGGGTAGAAAACAAGATATATTACAGTAATTGAACCTGAGCATGCATCTCAGATGTTACGAGGAAATAGCAAAGATTTTGAATAGAATTCAACATAACATGGAGCACAATGGGATTGAGTAGATGTTTCCAAGTGATGATGTTAAGTAAATCGTAAAACATTTAGTAATACTTTCACAATGTATAACTTCACTGTTTACCATTACCTTTGTCTATAGGTGCGACTTGGGATTACATATTCATAACATTTGACAAATAAAAACTGAATAAAATTGAAATGAGACAATTCCCAATTTTTTTATATTCTAAAAGTAAAAGCTCACCACCTCACTAGCGACTCTAAGGAGCCCATAAAAAATATGTTTAAAATGAACTTACTTGTTTATATGTTTGATCTGGACATATGCTATCCGAGGGGCAAGTGTTGCAGTTCATATCTCCTTCTACAGAGTATTCATTTGCACTACATGCATTCATAGTGTTTGGCTGGACGCATGAGGAACCAGCTGGACATGCCCTAGAAATCAAAAATGTATCATAAATATCTCTATCACTGATATGTCCTCTAACAGGCATTTAGTGCCCATCATGGAACAATGCATTTTTAAAAAATTTTCAAATAGCTCAAGATTACCACTTCATACAGCCCTCATTCATTTTTATATATCATATGATTTTGTAACTTTTTGAAAGTTCTATTTCTACTGATCAAATAGTGATATTCAAATCTATTTGTAAGAAAATCATCTACAGTGATATTGCTACATATGCTATTACAAATCAAGATATTTTTCCAATAGCACTATGACTAAGATAGTACTTTACACAACCGAATAGGGGTGAGTCTAAAAAGTGACAAAATCAGCCTTGTATAATATATTGTAATGTACCTGCATGCAGCTTTTCCAGCATCACTGATCTGATTGGCACTACAGGATACACAGGCCCCAGATGCACTGGATCCTGGGTTAGGGTTTGCTGTGCCAGGACTACATGCTGTTGGGGCTGATGAACCTCCTGTACAACTGAAATACACAACAATCAAGTGAAGTTAACTATTATCTAAAATACTGAGTAGACTTACATCAAGTCCCTGCCACTTTCCCCCCATAGGTAGATAGGAGGAGTGATATAAGACTTTAGCATATATTATAGCATATACAAATCAGAATGTACCCCATTTATAAAGACATAATGTTTGTTTCTAATATACCTCATCTACACATGTACATTGACTCGCATATTTTGAGCATGTAAAATTAGCATTTGTTTTAGATTATAATTTCGAATAATAAGCTTTTTCCTCTTATCCTTCAGAAAAACTAGATTTTAATTCTTGAACTAACCTTAGTAAGAATCAAATTAGTCTTCCAAATATGAGAGAGGGGGAATTCCTTGAATGACAATGATTGGCGTTTATTTGGCATGTGGATGTGTTAACAATACCTATATATGGAAAAATACAGATCGTGACCACACCTATTATCAGATATTTCACAGAAATCACAATCAATTGATCTGAGCCAATCATGTACTTTTGAATTCAACGTGGAAAACAAGAACTTAAAACGAAATGATTTACATCATAATCCAATTTTCCATACAATGGCCCATTTCCAATCCTTTTATACCGTTGTTGAACTAATCTACTGTTGAATTCAATAAATGGTCAAGAAATATATAAATATTTACAGTGCTACTGTAGAAATAGTAACAGTACAAAGTTCTTGTCTTATATATAAATACAAAACAAATGTTCAGAAAAATTGGATTTATATTTGAATCTCTCCTTGTTTTAGATTCTGGCTATTACAAAAAATATTAAACACAGAACATGTTTTATTTTCAACAGGATGCAAAAGTTGAACTTTAAATTGAATAAGAAATGTGCAAAATATACGTCATCAAAATATCCCTATTGTTCTAGATTTTCTCAATTCTCAATACTGGGGTAACCACTGTATGTATAAGCTCATTAGCTCCAAACAGAAGGATACATTTCAGCTATTCGTGCTAAAACAATGGATTTTAAATCAAGAAAGGTGTTACTTAAAATTGAGATATATAAGAATTGAAAGTTCAGATTCAGTTTTAAGTTTCATTTCCAGAAACTGAATTTTGTTCTTTTTAATACAACATTAGCTTACAGGACCTCATGATAAAATTAACAATGGAGAAATTCTCTTTCTTTTGAGCGCTATGAAAATATAAATGGAGGTCTATTTTGCAGGACCATGGAGACAAAAACTAAATATTGCCACAGATTATTTACATAAGGTCACCAGTCTATTCAATCTGGACGAACTCTTGTAATCTTATCCCAATATCCGATACAAAAGAAATTTCTTGAGTTGCGTAATTTCATCGGATAAAGTAATATATAATTAAAACAACTGGGATGAGATGGATGCATTGTGAACAAGCAAGCGGAAAATTATAGAAAATAAAGAAATTATTTTTGAAGCATGAATAAAAAATCAGAATACCCTCAACTGACCTTGGACTTGTTAAGTTTGAATTGATTTTGAAGGGCTATTCAATGCAAAAAAAGCAGAGAAGAGAACAACAGTGCAAATATGGGAACAAATACTATTCATAGATTCTGGTAGAGTCAATATTGAATGATGGTGATTGAAGATTTACAAAACTATCAAAGAATAACAGGGGGACATTGAACTAGTAGTAAAATGGATGCCTTATCAATACCTTTATTTTATTCTGCTGAAATGATTTTATTCATTTTTAATGGCTTTTTCATCCAGAGCTTCAAAAGTCAAACACAAACATTACAGATTTTGGTACCTTCATTTTGAAGCATTTTGACAAAAAGCCTTGGAACAAAAGATTTTTTGCCTATGTAACAACTTTGCCTTCATTAAAGGGGCCCTCCATTAGAAATACAAATGCAATTTACTAGAAAATTCAGCAGGTAAAATCCCAATGAAGCTTTTATGTGGCATTGAGCAGGGAGCTGATATTGAAACAGACTGGTGCTGTCATTATTGAGATGGGTTTCCCCATTACTCAATTCCATCATGCTAAAGTCTTGATAGTCAATTTCAAAAATAATATTCATACATTTCAAACACATTGTTTCAAAGATAAAAACAAGATAATTTACAGACATAGAGTGCATGTTTTTAAGGTATCAAATAAGTTGCACTTGATGGTATCATTTTTGAAGAACATGTAGATATTTGTTCAACAGGGTTTTCTTAAAATAAGAGTATGTGTATAACTGTATATATACATGTACCAAGCAAATGTGCCAATTTGTGTTTTCATGAAACTCGAAGAAGTCCAGGCCCTACTTGCGATTTCCTGTTCTATTTATTTTGAGGTATTTTTCAGTCAGATCTGGGTATTAAGCCACTTAATCTAATATTGAAAGAGAATTTTACAATGTTGACTAATTTGTCATTATAGACTTATATGATTAAACTAAAATATATGAAAATTAACATATTTAATTTAGGCAATTAGTTCATAAGCAGCAGCCCAATAGAAGGTTTAATTGTAACAAAACTTCAGAACTCATATGATGGCTGGTAAAACTTGTAAAATTACAAATCAATACAACTGTATATAATTTTGAATATAGGTATTGGGTTATTGTAACACAGGTAAACTGTACTTTAACAGAGGGTCGATTAATTCATTTGCTTTCCAATACAAGAAATGGGTATGGAATTTGATTACAAGAATGTATTTGATATAAATTGTCTCGAAAGAAGAATCAAAATTTTGCATTGCATTAAGACAATTTTAGATTAAGTGGCTAAATACCTATTTCTGACTAGAAAATACCTCAAAATAAAGAACAAGAAATGGCAAATAGGGCCTGGAATTGTTCTATGAGAAACCTTTTAGAGTTCCACTTTTACTCCAGCAATGTGAACAACTGAACTGATCAATGGAATTCTACATACTACAGTATTTGAGGCCTATATTGACAGTTTGAGGGATGGAGGACTATATCCCTACTTTTACAATGAAAATATAACATGAACCCCAATCAGTTGATGAATAAGATGATTAAGACATTATATTTCCATGAAGTAAAATGTGTTTCCTAGTATCCTACCTTACTATACCTCAATATCAATAATTAATTAAGGAGGTTGATTGCTCTGTAAATTGGCAAACAATTCACTGTAAGACTATAGACTTTCTTTTAATCAAATAGGATTGAAATAATATAATAATATAATATAATAAAGTAGTCGGGGCAGAACAAGTCACACACATCTTTTTTATTTATAATTAACAAAAAAGCCAGAATTCTAATCTCCAGATTTGTAAATTACAACTAGAAATACATGCTTCATGGTATCAGTTGACTTTTCATTGAGTTATATTCTATTTCTAGATACACTATTGTTTAAATAATTGGCTTATAATATTACAAGAGTACCTGAAAGTGCTGGCCATACAAATTGATAGACTTAATGGAAATGCCTTTCAATGTCAATCTGGATATACCCAGATATTAATTGAAAATGTATTTGCTTCAAGTCCCAATCAAATATAAGTCAAATATACAAAGGCTGAAATCGAGATTGGAGAACACAGATTTTATGCCTATAAATCTTTCTTCAAACACGTTCTTCTGGTCAGTATTTGAATAGAGATAAGTGGTCAAATATATGAAACTACCAAAGTTGAGGACGAGGAGCTGATCCAAATGAATCTTCGGTAAATCATTTATTTATTGCTAAATGCACAGAATCCTAAACAAAGGAGGAAAAGGAGACTTGGACATACCAGAGGTCATATAGATCCCACCATCTAATGGTCAAAAAAGAAATTTCTAATTCAAATGAGACTTCAAAGGATTAGAATAAAGACGAGAGTCTAGGCTATCGTAACTAAAAATAATATATGTCCAGATAGTGCATGTGCATTAATGCATTTCCATTTGCAGAACAGCCCTAATTTTAGGCATACCCTGTAATATAGCATAAAAAGTATAGACTGAAACTTACTAGTATCCAGGGAGACAGGATGTGCAAGTTGAACCGGTGGCATCCCAATATTGCCCCGCGGCACAGCTTGTTACACAATCTGTCGAACAATCACATACTCCCTCTGTTGTATCTGTAATAGAAAAACCAATGATATTTGTCTGGGGTTTCATTAGCAGAGGCATGGGAAATTTTTTCATACCATTCTCACTTTTTGTTCTGAGGAATTTCCGAAAGATTATTTCATGGTAATTTCTGAAAATTACATGTAGGTACTCTATAGAGGTCCCTTATTTATTAAGATATTCTTGATCAACCAATTACACTGTTGAAACATCTCACTGGATTAACATCGATTTCCCCTGAAATTCAGATCAAGACGTGAAAAAGGTGGTACAAGACGAGTACATACTACACGGAGGAATGTTATTTATGTCTCTAAAATATGCCAAAAATATGATTTGTAAATATAAAGCATTATCCTTTTGGAAGTATCGAACAGTGAGCACTGCCCTATTGTATAATCACAAAACTGTTAATGGACTGAAAGTCTTGAGAAAATGATTTTAAATTCTGTTTTTTTAAGCCAGTTTCCATTTGGTCATATTCATTTACATTTCGGGGGATAACCCTTACACCAGATAGATACACCATGTATAACAGGGTATGTGTTTCTTAATACCCGGTGCTGTATTCTTTTTATGTAGTTGAATCTCTTATCATATGAGTTCATTATCAGAAGAGGACATTTTCCTCTTTCATCGAGAAAGATCACACCTCTTTTCAAGATGGCACTTAGGTTTTAAAAGGGGATCATTCGAACCCAACTATTGACATCCAGGTGCTGGTATTGAAATAAGTTAAATAACACGCAAAAACTGTAATTAAAAATGAAAATTTCCTCCTTTTGCTGATAAACCCATACGATTGGGATTCAACGACATAAAAGGAATACTGGATTTTATTGAGGTAAGTATTGTAAGAGGCATGGAGTATTCTCCCATGTTGTAATAATAGTGGCAAAAGGTTGGGACATTCTCACGACTATAGTACTGGGATAACCTGATACTGTTGTTAGACCTCATCATTCCTATACTTATAGTTAGACCATGGGCTTTCTTTATAGACTAAGGGTTTAACAAAATAGTGATTTGGACTGCAGATCTAATTGTTATTGGAAAAAATCAAGTCGATTCTTCCATTTGAAGCTTACCTATACACAGCCATGATGAAATGTAAAGTAATAATAGTAATTTAGATAACCGACCAGCAGTCATCTTTCTAAATACATGAAGTAATCCAATGATTTTGTAAAGTTGCACAACTTCGAAAAGCGGCAGGTGCGATGAAATTCATATCTTTCTTTCCATCACATTTTGTCATAGTAAAATCCACTACATCTTCGTAGAAACTGTGCTGTATAATCCTTTCAATAAACGCCTTTCTGTTTATATATAGTTATGTTTAGTTTAAAGTGGCGTTCTGTGTAAAAATCTTACAAAACTTTAAATAGCTTATTTTCCAACTTCACAGGAATCAATATGGCCGACCAATCATGTGCATTAAAAATGACGTCACGGCATCATATTGCTGGGCAACATTCGCGGGAAATTTAAATTTTGACAAAATAAATATTCGAACTTACGAGACATCTATTATTCAGCACAAACTTTATTTTCAGCATGCATGACATTTATCAAGATTGCCTGAATTCTGCATTATCAATGTACTCACTGTATACCTCTTTCAAAGGAAAGGTAAACTCACTGTATGTTATTAGAGGAAAACATATCAGCGAGTTCTCCAAGGTCAGAGTTTCCAGTTAAGCCAGTATTCCCAGGGCAGTATTTCCCCTTGGACAGGGGTCGTTAGAGTCCTTGCCCGGGGTCCTTGTTGACACAATAATAGAGTGGTATGCGCATATGAAATAGATTTCCTTTATCAGACAAGTTCATCATTTCATTATTTATTCAGATGTCATGCTGTCAATTAATTTGTTTGGATCAATTTGTTATACAGGTGTATAGAATTTCTATAAGGGAGTTATTTTTGTTACATGATAGTTTACAGTATGTCACACTGCCCTATGCGCACTTGAAACTCATCAAACAAACTGAAAAGGTAAATATGACAAACAAACTCCCCAGAACAACATTTCTAGTTCGATTCTTAGAAGTCAGGTGCTGCCAATGTAATTGTTATGTGTATTTTGTTTGAAAGGATAGCAAAAAAGTAATTTACTTCTGAGAACCACTAGGTCAATTCTGAAAATTCTGTTGTGAGGTAAGCATAGTGAGTGTTTCTTCAATTTTTCTAATTTATTGTCATCATCATCATTTGTGTTCACATGAGGCCTATTAAAGATATGAAATACCATACTTGCAGGTGATGAAAAGGAAAATTGAGGCCATGATGTGCTATATGTGTATACTTCTCCTTATGTTGGTTGCTGTTGTCACGGTGATGCATGCTACTGATGCTGCATCAAATGGGATTCAAAATACACCACATCGACTCGCAAAACATCACAGAACTGACACTGATAGCAAAGAAGTTTCAAGAAAGTCACGTTTACCAACATTTTGCCATTGTAAAGGCAAGACTAAAATAGTTTGCTTATGCCGTGCAAAAACAAAAAATGACCAAATACCACTGGCAGATATCCTAAAACACATGAATAAAAACTACACTGCTACTTTAAGGTTTGACAATTTTAAGTTTGAAACTTTGATAAATGGTACTTTTAATGGATTTGTTAAACTATCATCACTGGATTTGTCTAACTGCAGCATCAAAAATATTGAAGTTGATGCCTTTAAAAGCATTAGTCTGTACAATCCTCATACGTTCAAACTGAAAATACAAATTAACCCAATTCAGCATATTGAACCTGGAACCTTTGCTGCAATAAACTCATGGAAACAACTGTCATTGAATCATAATAGAAATCTGGGGGCAAAAGGCATCCAAACTGTGATTAATGACTTAAGAAATAAAACAGTTCATAGTTTGGAAATAAAATCATGCGGAATATTCCTGGATGAATTAACCAATTCTTTTTTTGAACCTCTACGTTATTCCGATGTTGGAAGGTTGAATATAGAAGGCAATGCTATTGGAATTGTGAAATCAGATGCATTTGAACCGTTGAAAGAATCACTAACTGATTTAACATTGTGGAACTTCATGTATGTAGAAAAAGAAACATTCCAAATATTTAGGGAATTGAGACTTTTGAACATAGGTGGGTTTATCCCATCAAGGAGCTTGTATGACCTTAACATACACCTTCAGAATATAACAGCGTTGAAAAGTCTAACAATCAATATGAGAGGAGTTGATGTGATATCAATGCACATTTCTGATTTGCCAAATTTGCATGACTTGCATCTGACATCTGGAGGTGTTGAATTTCAGGTCCATCGATATCAGTTGATTGCACTGTTGGATAATGTTAAAACATTAAAACAGTTAGATTTGTCTGGGAACCTTTTATTTAAATATACGGATGATCAGCTTTGTCAGTTATTTGAGAATCGTAGCAATTTTATATTTTTATCCCTCCACAGTAACTACTTGTCACATCTTCCTCAATGCATGTTTAAAGGAATGTATGAGTTGGATACATTACTCCTTAATAAAAACAGGCTTACATATATCCAAAAGGACCTTTTCAAGGATTTGCATGTTCTAAATAAGTTGGATTTATCCAGGAATGCACTTACATTCATTCACTCAAGCAACTTGGAAATAATGTCACATTTACGATTACGTGGACTGTCAATTTATGGAAACAAGTTTGAGTGCAATTGTCAACTTAAAGGCCTTCGTAACTGGCTCGCGGAGAAAATGATGAAGAGGACAAAAAAATTCATTGTTGAGAATTGTTCAATGCCTTCCTACAAAGACATAGAATATGTCCACAATTTCACAATGACTTGGTTGGAGTGTAATACCATTCCATTTATGATTGGTACAACAGTAAGTGGAGGTTTAATCATATTCCTGATAGTTGTGACCCTTCTGCTACTGAGATATTTCTGGAAGGACATAGAGTACAGAAGAATGATCTTCCTCGCCAGGAATCACGAGCGTGATGGAAACAAGGATGGTCCACTCATAGAAAATGATGCTTTTGTTAGTTACCACAGTGAAAAACAATTATGGGTTGACAGAGATTTGTGTCAAGAGCTTGAGAATGGAGAGGACATTAAGTTTAGATTGATGTTTGATGATCGAATAATGCCAGGTGGTTCCTTATTCACATCATTGGGGCAAGCCATACACACCAGCAGGAAAATTATATTTGTGGTGAGTCGTGGTTGGGTGAAAGATGCCATGAATCAGTTTGAGGTTGATATGGCCCTTGTTAAACTCCTAGATGACTACAGAGACATGATTATTGTTCTACTCATGGAGCATATTCCTAAACACGAGATGCCTGACAAAGTGAAGATGATTATAAAGCACAATAACTGTCTAAGATGGAGTAATAAAGAAAAGAAACAAGCAAAGTTCTGGAGAGACCTCAAACTCGAACTTGGCAAACATCATTTTCAGCCACCAGACGAAAACAATGTTGAAATCTAGTGATTCAAATTGAGTCAATAGATATGTAAATGACCATGAACATATGAAGTTTATCACATTTATTGCAAAATATACCGAAAACATCAACAATTGCCCAACTTTCCACTGAGTAGACCAATGAATGTATAAAACAATATTTTTGAGGATCGAATGACAATAGTATGAACCATCCATAATCAATAACAGAGTAAGATCAAATAATAAAAAAAGATCAAATCTTCATTTTTATATATTGAAGTAACACCTGTTTCAAGGTTCTCTTGTGTGGAAATTATTGAATTGACCTAATATTCAAGGTAAATGCTCATTTTGAGCTGTGCATATATAAAAACCTATGTTTGATATACCTACATGTATAGTATTACAATTATACTCCTAGTGTTTTAACTTTGAGCTGTATATAAATGCATGCAACTGCACTTTAACAGGTATGACAACACACAACTTTTATTGTAAAAATTTGCTGGGAATATACACTTTTTTTAAGTGTCACCCACTCATGCTTTGTATATTTGTGTGAATTTAACTGTTTAAAAAAGGAAATAAACATAAACATAAAGCATGTGTGTCATCATATGAATGTCACTTTACTTTAGGCCATCTGTTGTAATTTTGAGCTGTCTAGAAGTGATTTTGCGCAACTTTCTAACCCTGTTATGGCCAATATTATAAAAGTTCACAATCATTGATATCATTTCCTGTGTAGAATCTTAAAAGATGAAAGCCTATTGGCCAGACAGTTGGCAGGCTGGAAAAAAGTACTGCCTTTGAAATGATTAATAGTGACCAATTGGATTGGTTTTGACTGTAGAGGGGGGGAGGGGGGGGGGGGGTGTAGTACTTATTTGACATCCTGAATAAATGGTCATAGCTACATGTACACATCAAGAAGGAAACCGAATTGATAAAATACACCTTTCACATACAAACTTTAAATAAACCCACAAAAGTAATACTTAGTAAACAAAGTAAACAATAATCTATTTCAATTTTCAATGATGATCATCACAAAAATCTGATGTACATGTAAAAACAATACAATACAAGTAACATGGTTTATATTTAGTACAAATCTTCAATTACATCATCAAGATTACATTGAATAGATTATTTATATTGTGGGGTTTAACATTGTGAGGTGGTTCAGTGTCATGTTTAACATTACTAAAATTAACATGTGAACTGAAACTCTCATAACTATGAGAAGTGTGAGAGCCACCTTTGTGTGAATTAACATTGGGTGACAAACAATTATTTGTGTGATCCACTCCAGGTGTCTTTAACCAAGATATGTTAGGGGTATGATTATTTTCTGCACGTTCAAACTTGTAAGTATTCATGTTCACACTATCACCAGGATAATTATTTTCTGGTTGCTCAATGCTATCATCATCTTCATCATCATTGTCATCATCCGAGGGATTTGCTTGCTCTGTGAACATAGCCCACTTACTCGAGCTAACAACCTGTGGTTTTGATGTTAATGTCTTCTTCTTATTATACGGCTTATTTATGTTGTTTTTCAAACTGGAACTTTCTGTCAATTTGTTGCTGACTCCCTTCATTGGGTTCTCATCTTGGAGTTGATTGTTTCTTAGCTTTTGATTGTCTGCTGTGTTTTTAATATCATTTCTAGTAACTTTGACATATTCGGCACCAACGGGCAAATGTTGAGTCCTCATGGGAGGTATGGGAGCACCAAATGTGTTTGTAATGTTTATGGGAGCTTGTTGTGTCTCTTTATTGTATTGTTTATTGTATGGTTTAGTCTTACTATAAGGGGCTGTTCGATTAAAGCATTGGCTCCTGGGGGCCTCTACATCTTGGTTTTGTTGGCTTTTATACCTGTAATGTAAAAGTGATGATTAAGATTTTCACATTCAATAAAAATGGGTTTGAAAATGTCCAAATGATATCATAAATGAGGAGGATTAGTTTGGTATGTACACATTAGTCTAAAATCAGATTGAAATAGAAATATTTAAACATATTGATATTCAATTTTCTCCAAATAAGAATCTGAAGAGAAACATTGTGTAGATAATTTAGATACAAATTGTTGTGGAAATTGATAATTAAGGCAATTTAAAAAGTGTCACAGGTTATCCCAACCTAAAAGGAGGGACAAAACAACACACATTTGAACTGCCATCTATACTAGTAACAAGAAATAGTTTTTTAGCAACACAATTGCAAACTATCAGCCATCAAGAGTGGTTGACTGAAAATCAGGTTTAAGAACTTGTATCAGATGAATCTTGTTACCAACAAGACAAGAAAGCACAAGAAACTAAATAATTTTGAACTCTGAAATCCCAGTTTTTGGTTGTCGAGGTATCATAAAATTTCATTTGTCGAGGTATATAGAGATATTGATCAGTTGCAATCAACGACATGGCATATTAGATGGTAATCTTTACATCTTAACCAAACTTTGTTGGGATAGAAAATTGTATGAGACCTGTTCTTTTTGTCCTTCCAAACTTCTTTCTTGGCCTGGTTAAAAGCATTTCTGTCAGTTGTGTAGTGTGAAACATCATGTTCAGCCATGTCATCATGTCCATCTTCTTTTTCAATAAAGGTTTCCCATTTACTTGCACTTTGGAAATTGGTAGGTTGGTCTTCGTTGGTCACCTGTAATAGTGTTACATGTACTGTGATTCAATGCACATGTACTGTGATTCAATGCACATGTCCCATATTCTTCACCCATGGAACACACATCATGTATTTCTCAACTGAATTCAAAATTATAGTTTTAGAAAAGTTCTCACTAATGATGTCAATTTTCTATAAAATGTACCACTTAAGCTAGCTTTCATTAAATTTTTATTAAGATTACATACATGTTAGATTAAATGTGAAGATCTATAATCTCAAAACTTACACGGTGCATATCAATGTATGACTGACTTTGAACTGGGGGTTGTGTTGTTTCCTCGGACTCTTGAGCTGATCCCCGAATCATGTTCAGTTTCTGTACATGCTTCCTACAGTCTGCTCCAGTCCCACAACCAAATACCTAAAATTTATAATCTGTAAAATAGATTCTCTGGGTTTTCTCTAAAAGGGTATATCATACACATTTGTTTGTGTGTGCATGTACTTTATGTATGGAAATTCATACTAGATGATATTGCCAAATTTCACCATATTTTTAGCTGTTTCACAACAATATGTACATGTACTATAGGCTACTAAAATCATAGAATACACATAGATTTTCTAAATTTCCTCAAATCACACATTGTAAAATAAGATTCCAAACTGAAACATGGGGACCAACTTTTAAAATATGTTTAGTTTACAATGATGGATACGGGAAGAGGGGGGGGATGAAGAATGGGTGTTTTGAAAATATGGGCATTGACCACCCAGTTCACTCAACACATAATACTTATGATACATTTTATTCTTAAAAACACAAACAATACCTTGATGATTGACTGCTTTTCACCACATACTTTGCAGTTCCATTTCTTCACTTTCTTCACCTGGTGAACTTGGAATAGTTTACAAGAATAGCATTGTAAAACCTGGAACTCTTGAGGCATCTTGTGATTGGCCGATATTCAAGGATGGAAATAAGGTTATTGCTGAAAAACATGCAGATACTAAAGTGACAATCAAACATGCTTTAATCTTTCAGTGACATTCATAAATGAACCCAAAGAAGCACACATCATATATTTTTTATTCAGTATTTTTGTTTATAAATGAGAATTGTTGTATCAAAAAGATAAAACTGATACCAATGCAGTGCAAAACAGCAACTGAAATCCAAGAAAGAAGCAAACCCCGGGAACCGAAAACATTTTCCCAATATACAGATGACCTGTTTTTGTTATCTGAAATAACCTTCCTGTAGCATTACTTTAAAATGTTTTGTTGTTAAAAAGTTCAAAATCAAGCATGCTTTGGTTGGTCCATTTCTATCCACCATTTCTATTACCTGCAAATGCGCTAATCACAATTCAGTGACCGACAGTTCAATATTTCTGGAAATCACTGATGACTGTGATCAATTGAAGAATCTAATAATTTGACTGACTTTTGAAGACGTGACAAGCCTTCTGTATTTAATAATCTTTACCAATCATGCGACAATATATTCAAGGACCAAAAAAAAATTTATGCCAGTCTGAAGATAATTCTAGCATCAATTTTTACACTGAAGTCCATGTACATGGTGTATGCCTGCATTCATGTCCATACACGAAGTGACATCAAAATTATTAATTGACATAAAAACAGGTGTATTTTTCAATTATTGGAGATTGATAATATTTTTTTTCATTTCTTCCGTCCTAGTAGAAATCAACAGATTGCAGAAAGTTCCCAAGGTGGCCCCACATCGGGTATGCAGTTAACTTGCATCTGCTGTAGAGTTTTGATGAGAAATTTGAAAATAGTTTTTGAGTTGGGTTTTCAGTCATATATCTTTGCTGTAAACACAATACAATACTATACTGTTTGATCTTTATGGCGCAGGACCATCTTGCATCCTCCTTTGTATCTGAAAAAAGTACTCCCTCCGTAGGGAGACAGTGCAGTGACCGTGCACCACAATTTAAAAGGCCGCTCGGCAACCACATCAACAGAATTCAAAATTTGCTGTGCAGTTGCCATAGGAACCACAATTTAAAAGGCCACTTGGCAACCACATCAACAGAATTCAAAATTTGCTGTGCGGTTGCCGTAGGAATGTGACTGCAAAAGTATTGTCTGCAGAAATTGTAAAGCAAGCATAGAAATGCTACTGACTGCATAAATGATACGGCCCATCTGTAGTGGCTAAAGCCTTTATGGCTCAGTTGGTACAGTATAGCATCAGTCTTTGGATCCAAGGGTCTTACATGTAGGTTCGATTCCTACACGACAGCATTGAATTTAGCATGCATTCTCTCAATTTTCTTTATCTGGCTTGTTACACTATGCTCGTTAGTTAGTATCCTAAGTAAGTAAGACTCCTAATCAATAGCTTACTCTTATATATTTCAAATTCTAGCAACGCACAGGCCATGAAAAAAATAGTACAGTACAGTTGGGGACAAAAATAAATGACAGGTCGATTTTCAATCACCATTTCCTAATTATGGTGGTCTGAAAGCCCATAATTTCCAATATTGTCTAGATACATATCCATTAAAATTTATTTATTTTACATTTTGTATAATCTCATCCACTGATTTATGGCCTCTTGTAAATTCTCTTATTTTTAACATGGGAAATCCTCACTTCAGCAAATCCACCTGTCATTTATTTATGTCCCCAACTGTAGTCATTCCCCTGAAGTGCCCTCGGGTCATTACAACTGTATAGTTTAGCCTATACACAGGGAGGGCTCTACCATATTTATATGAAGAATAAGACAGCAGAATCAAAATCTGAAATTATTTATCTTTTAAAAAAAAAGAAAAATGAAAATAAAAAAGCGGGAAGAGGAATACGTGGTAAGAAAGAAAGAATACATCGTATTTAAAAAGTATTCGCCATCGATTATTGAGGATGTAAAAATATTATTTTACTAGTGTAGCTTAAAATAAAGTTCAAGAGAAAACTGGCGCAAAAAACAATAAATAAGGTAGGTAAAATAATTTCAAATTTCTTACCGGATGTGACATTTTTACTTCCGGTTATTAACTTCCGGTAGAGAAAGTTGTGAAATATTTTTCTGTATTTATCGTCCTACTTTGTTTATTCATGTGAGGAAAATGACAAAAACCCTTGATAATCTTTCAATACCAGTCAAAGGAGTCGATGGGAAGGAAAATGGATCAAAACCGGCATTGGTGAGTCGTGTTTGAGCTTTCAGATTTTATTGGCAACTGAACTTTCATGTTCCTTTTCATACACGGACATCTAATACGTTCTTCGAACGGGAATGATATCAATAACAGGACTGGCATCCAGATCCAAGTATTTTTCAAGACCGCCGACTCTCGTTGGGCTATTTATCCCTATTGACTCAGTTGTTCATATAAATTTACCAAAGTCAGCACTATCAATGGTATACTCTACCTTTAGATATAATCCTAAAAGTTCAAAAGCTTTTTGCCATTTTGTTTCACAACTGCGGTATGGTATAACTCCACCTTTTTGTTTTGTTTTGTATTTGTATTTATTAAAAGTTTGTGATTATTATACAATTCTCTCTTTGTATTGCATTCCTTTTTTTATATTTAAAATTTTTTTTTATTTCAGATAATTCAAAAAAGATTACATAAATTTAAAAATTTGTTTACATAAGTTACCTGTTGCATTACATGATAATATTTCTCTTGGAGAGCTCTAATTTAAAATTATAGTACAAGACTCCACCATTGTTTTGCCGTTTCACTACTTGCCACAATCAGCCTCACTGCCAGCATATCAAACCAGGCCCATTTTCCATCAAACTACTATCAGGTGGATGTCCTTCAAAAATCAAGTTGGCATGGTTACCAAAGCCTAATAGTTGCCATGGCAACCGTAGAAATGGGGTAAAAAATGGGAGCAAAAAGCACCCAAACCCACCATTTTTTTTATTAAAAAACTATATTTCAAATCAAAAACATATATACAGTACAATTAATACATTTACATATAAAGGTTACACGTTGTTACATGTTGTAAAATGATTTTTCCCTATTATCTATCATTTTCAAAGTTTCCTGCTCATTCAGCAGATCACATTTAAACATATGGATAGCTATTTTTATAATCACACTTTTAAAATATTTTTATTGTGCGAAATTTTCAATACCAAGTTTTTGTTTATCACTGAGACAATTACAATCACAGGTGTTCCAAATATTTAAAACTTCTTTACACTTCACAAAATACATGAAATAGTGCATATCATCATCAATTTCATTATCACAATATTTACATTTATCTGAATCTTGTATTTTACACTGTTTTAGATATTTGCCACTTGGATAAATTTTATGGATAATCTTCCATTGGATAATTTTGAGCTTATTATCTTTTGTACAATTAAAAGTGTGTTCCACACATCCTTACTTATCAATGTATTATCATATTTAATATCACATTTTCTTGCCAAGACTAACTCTGATCGTGTAATTTGAATCTGATTTACATAATTCTCTATTTACAAAAAAGTTGTTATTATTCTCTTCATCTCCATACTTTGTAATTAACTCTTGTTTAACACATGCTTTTAAAATATTATACTGCAGCATGGTTTGTCAATTGCGCTGTACTTTTTGAACTATGACATTATATGAACATAACATTCCATCTTTAACAATATCATTTATATAAATTACATCATTTTCAATCCAATGTTTAAAAAATAATGGTCCCAAACCATGGTGGGTCACGTGCATTATCTCATGGAAATGGGCATACCAGTGCAAAGATCTTTGTTCCGTGATAAAGGAAAGCTATCTAACATTGTCTGAAGAGCATTCTATTTCTACTTTTAACATGGCGACCTGGACAACATATAGCCATTTGGGCGATAATAGGTGATTCTAAAGTGAAAATGAGTGCTTTACTTTGACCAAGGCTTGCAAAAAATTGAAGTGATAAACCTTCCCCCAATTTTTGATATTTTTGTTGTCTAGAATTGTTCTAGATGATATCAAAGTTTAGGAAAATGTGTATGTCTCGAAATATTTTGAAAATAAGTGCCATTATGGCAGGTCTGGGTGTTTTTTGCTCTCATTTTTACCCATTTCCACGGTTGCCATGGTAACTCATACCTGCCAACCTACCGTATTTTTACCGGCATCTACCATAAAATATTCGTTTTTTCGGTAAAAAAACACAAATACCGTAAAAATTACTGTTTTTTCCTGTAAACACGACCGTAAAAAATCTACTGTAATTTTACCAAAATCTACCGTAAAATATTTTATTATAATTCGATTTTTTCTATAAGAACAGCCTAAAAATATACCGTAAATATTTGAAAACTACAATATTTCTGCTGGAATTTAAAGTATTCTTGTTCAAACTACCGTAAAATCTACCGTAATTATCATGAAATTCTGAAAAATTGAATTCTTCTCGTATTGCCCTTGTAAAATTCCATTACCAACCCAAAAATAAATAGGTGCCACAGTGCCGGCAGGTCTTTGATGGTGGTTATTGCGTACTTAGTAAGTAACTAAGTAAGCTGGCGTGTAATCAGTCAACACACTGGGGAATATCACGATGCAAAAACAGTGTTCAACTGTGTATCACAGGAAGAGTAATCATGATTAATTTGTAAAATGCTACATTGTAGCAATGGTATGAGTATGATGTCACAATACACTGGGGCCTAACTGGCGTAAAGGGGAGAAAAAGGGCAGATTTTCCACATGGGGACCACATTTGACTCAAAATATTTGCATTTAGCAACATACATTTCAGTACATTCTGTGTAATACTTGAAAGGCATTGCTATAATGATTTACAAAATGAGATAATCTCGGGGATTTTGCATCTAAATTTTTTGCATGAGATGTCTGAAGTTGATGACCCAATTTTAGGTCATTTTGGCCAGTTTTTAGAGACTCAGCCCTCACCTATTTCCCCAAATATGACTAGATTTTGTAGCAAAATGTGTTAAAAGTGAAAATCCAGCTGTTTTGAGCATGAAATAACTCAATTGTTTGAAAAAATGCTGAATGAGCATAAATTATCATGGTAAAATTTTTCCATTTTTGGATATTAAGGTGTTACTACGGTAAATACCACTTCCGGGTAGGACAGTGTTTTTTAATACTTAAAAACAAAGCCATGCCAACTTCAATGGTGTGCATAGTAGGTTTAAGGTGCCATGGAAGTTAACAGGAAATGACGAAACAGGAAGTGAAATTTTTTTTGCATTTTTAGACATTTTTTGAACAAAGATAACAGAGTTCTGGTTTGACCTCCAGTCAATTTAACTATTTCCACATATCATTTACATGACCAGGATCACAATGTGCATGGTCAGAATGACCCTAAACATGATGAAATAACCTTTTTAGCCCTTTGAAAGTGTGACTGAAAAAAAGCTAAAAGTAGGAGCTAGGGAAGGTCACTGAACAGAATCTTTTGAATTTTTCAGAAAACGTGCCCAATATAATGCTCTAACTGATACAATCTTTGAAATTTTAGAAAATTTTCTTAAACAAAAATGGCGGTCATAAAAAGGAAAATAGATTGCTTTTCAAATCAGTTTTTTTCAATTTTTTTCTTTTTCTATGAATGATATCAAATTTTCAAAGATTGTATCATTAGAGCAATACATTGGACACATTTACTGGAAAAATCACAAGATTCTGTTCATTGACCTTTCCTGAGCACCTACTTTTAGCTATTTTTCAGTCACATTTTCATAGGGCGGAGAAGATTACTTCATCATGTTTAGGGTCATTCTGACCATGAACATTGTGATCCTGGACCTGTAAATGGTATTTGGAACTAGTTGAATTGACTGGAGGTCAAAACAGAACTCTGTTATCTTTGTTCAAAAAATGTCTAAAAATACAAAAAAAAATTGTCAATTCCTGTTTTGTCATTTCCTGTTAACTTCCATGGCACTTTAAGTATATGCATTGTGGCCATTTGAGGTATGTATGTAAAGCTGAGGCCAATTACTTTCTAAATGTGCCATTTTAGAAAGAAATCGCCAAAATATAGTGCCGTAAACTGGAACTACTTTATTCGTTAATTTTCATCGGTGAAGCAGGGATTTTACCTAAAAATGAGTCCCTATGTTGGCGTAGTGATATTTAAAAATCGAGACGCAAACCCTATGTTAAATGTATGGTCAAGATGAAGGTTATGTATAGGGGAACGCAGAAATATAGTTATTGTATGGGCTAATTCGTTCGAAAATGGCGATATGTATCCCAAACTTGAATTTTGTGATTTTTTTCAATATTTTTCAATGATTTACTGTAGTGACACCTAAATGGAAATATAAACACTTCCGGTAAATATTCGGTTCAAGTGCGAATTTGGACAAACTTTTGCAAGTTTGACCAGGAAATCACCTTTCATTTGGTATGTTAGTAACGTTTTTGATCGTATTGGGTATGTAAGAATCATATACATGTCGAGTTATTAGCATAAATGTCACAGTTTGAAGGATAAATGGAAATATAACACTTCCGGGAAATATTGTCACAAAAGCCTTTTGGACTTTTAGTCTCTATATACTATTCCCTATATTTTTAGAATATACCATTGATAGTGCTGACTGTGAAATTTACGTACCTTATTTTTTAAACATGCTTTGTAATCGACGTAGATAGAAAATATTGTTTCCTAAATTGCTCTGAAATGAATGTACTTTGAACAGGTCGACTGACCAAAAAGTCGGACTTCTGGCACAAGGTCACGTGACCAAATAGAATTTGTATAGATAAAATTGATGACGTCACCGCCATCGGTGTAGGTCAGGTCAAAAGTCATCCATTTTGCCATTTGCCCCGCATATTCTTACCAGTTGACAAAAAACGATGAAATCACGTTAAAAATAAAATATACACTTTAAAATTGAGGCTGATTGAATATGACAAGACTCCATTGAATACAGCTGTGCAATTTACAGTCACCAAGATGAGCTAGTTTCGGAGAGTTTCGGAAATTAAAAAAGGTAAGCCATTCCGGTTTCCCAACTTCAAGTATTTGAAATCCCAGAATCTCCTTTCGCCAGAAACATTCTCTCTGACTGTGTTTTCATACTCCAGCTCCCCGGCCCCGGGTCCAGCTCTCTTCATTCGTTCAGTATTTCCTCATTTTCATTTTTCTGACTATCGACGTAAGAACACCTGATGGATTTACAGGGTGTACCTGATTGTGCAAGTGTAAGACAGTGTAAGATTGCACTGAACAAACTACAGTGGGGAACATACATGTAACGAATTACAAAAGCTATGAAAATTACATGCTGTCGCACATGTAATAAATTCTTACCTCAGTGTATTTATTTTCTCCGTCTGAGTAAGTCCAGATATAGTGGAAATTGTGTCCATAATGACAAGGGAAAAACATTGACTATTATTTTGGTGTAAAACTGACTTTAATTTTGGCCAAACACTAAATTTTAAAATGCCTGTAACTTTTTCCAATTTGTTAATTGGACCATGATACTTGGCAAATAAATGTAACTTTGGATGAGCTTTAAATGAAATATGACATGATGGAGACATTAGTATATGTGTGCCTAGGCGGGGCCCATACTTTCGGGACACCCTGTAGTGCATTACTTCTGGGACAACCCTCGTATCATTGTAGAATGTTGCAGTAGCACTATCCTGAAATCTGTAGGGTTGCACTGATCAAAGGCTAGGAAATTGTAGTTTTTCAAATAAACCTCTGTTGGTGTACCTTTATTAGTTTTTATTATTCGAAAACTCTCAAGATTTATTCATCAAACTTTAGGAACAATTGTAAAATTGATTTCTACACATCCTGTCAAAAAATACATCAAAATAAAAAATGTAGATGTCTTTTTGCATACCCTGTACTGGACACCCTCAACTACATCTTTTTTCAGGATCCCTATTGGAAGGAGGACATAGAGTTTCTTGTGTATAAAGCACCTCCACTGTCAATAGATGGGGCCAGTATTGAAGAATGGACAGAAAGGACTCTAGCTATTATTGATGATCTAGAATGGCTGTTGAAACAACCACACAACAGATTCTGGTCTCAGGTATAGAAACATTTGTGTACAATATTTTGATTCTTTTTTATTAGCATCAGTTGGCAAAAAGAATACTGTCAGAGTGCTTGAAATTGTGAAATGAGAAGTAAATTCCCTCACTTGATTTTTTTGAGTAGTTACAGTCCAAAACAAAAGCTATATACCTCAAGCCCTGGATAAGGTTTTGTTAATATTTGATAATGAGTATTACCCATTTTCTGTTTTCATTGATTTGACTACTTCACAAGCTTGTTGAGAGCAATAAAAGCAGCCATATTTCAGGATGATGATAAAAATCATTGAAATGTTCACATACTTTTAAATAAATACTGGTAATTGTATTTTACCACATTAACTATTTGCTTCTTGTAAGTAATTAAATTGACATACCACCCAACTTTAAATGTTATAGATGGTGTTTGACCCAACCTTGCAACTGTGTATTGACTCTTTCCTGACACATGCCCCGAGGTGAGAAACTTATTGTTATAAGTACATCAATAAAGGCCCAATTTGTAGAGAGGCTCGATAGCCACATTCAAATGTGATAGCAACTTGGCAGATTCTCTCCAAATAATCACTGAAGCATATGTTATCCAAAATGCTTAATATCCAAAGTAGTAATTGTTGCAAAAAATCAGAGGTAAATCAATTTCATGTGTACAAAACATTTTTCTGCTTATAAGCAGCTCATATTCATTTCACATTGAGCCACTCTGGAAAGGCCATATACCTGTAGGTAACATTTGAGATTACTAAGATAGATTACTTAACTATGAAAATTATGATCTGTGATAGCAAGAAGGTGGTAATAAGTAGAGTATATCTATGATAAAACATGATATTTCAGAGGTGGCAATTTTGGCCTGCTTTCTCCGAGCAACCAAGAGGTTCAACAGAAGCACCACAGACTTGTCTTCATGGTATGCCTCCGTACAGCAACACATAAGGAATCAAAGGTACACCCATAAAAAGTGCACAGTAGTCATGACTTTATCATTGCTTGTTGGACTTCTCCAATAATTTTTAAGGTTCACTTAATTCCTATTTACTTTTAATGGCTTGGATAGATTAGTCAGTGTCTGGCTCTATCTATGTCTGTAAATAATTTTTTGACAGTGAAAACTGCCATTCATCTGAATTGATTTTCTTATCCATTTTTATGGGAGCCCTACCTATTAATTTACACTATGAGGCCTTGCTCATATTTTTACTGTGTCAGCCTATTGAATGGCACCCTTTTCCTTTCCGATCCTGCTCTTATTCATTGTGATTTAGACATCTTCTACACGGGTGATTGTATTTACTATTTACCGACTTAATAATGCCTTTGAGGATGATGAACATTCTAGTGCAATATTTAACATTACATTTTTCTATTTTTTGTTTCCTAGGACAGCCACATCACTCCTGCTGTTTTTGGGAACATTTTGTATGAGAACTTCCTGTTCGATATCCCAAAAATCATGGACATTTGTGCCTTATATGGCCAGAGTAATCAGGGCCTCGTCACAAAAATGGTAGAAAATATATTTACCCAGCAGCCTCAGTACTGGGAAGATTTAGAGGCGGTAATACCAACCATTCTACAGGTAAACTTAATGAAGATTGAGAACACTGGGATGAGAATACTTTAGTTCAGATAATGAAAATCATTAATCAGAAATTTCAACACATTGATCAAAATCTGTTTACTGCAGTGGTATACTCTAGGGTTATTTCTGGATATTTCAATGAATTAGCATGTCACTGCTTATCCTTCCTCATAAAACATATACTCCCCCATCTCAAAATTAACCAGAATTTACCTACATGTACATTTTATAGTCTCCTAACTAAATATAATTGTAGGTTTTTGACAACATTCTCACTCAATGTGGTATCAAAGACGCATCCTCCTCACCCCAGAAGATAGAAGTGCCATCTATCAACAAGAATGGCATCATAGGGGAGAATCACCTTCAGGACATTGTACACTACATCCAGGATACAACTAGTACTCTACTAGCATACCTTGAGATACATACAGAGGCTAGTGTAATGTTCCATAGAGAAGGACTCCTTTTGAGGTAATTGATGGCTGTATATATACAGTGTTCATGAACATGCTGTAGACTAGCTACGCTTTTCCTTGATATCATTATCCCCCTACGTAATGGTGAGAGAGGCTGTAAAAGTAAACTCCTGGGAGTAAACTTAAGCTAAAAATTGTAGGGCTGAATAAAGGGTGTGTCGAATCAACTGAATTGAGTGTATTGCAGATCCACATTTAGTTCTGTAATAAGTGCTCACTTTTGAGAGTGTTATGCAAGGAGAATCATTGATAATCATGGCTAGAGCTAGATTCGTAGAAATTCTTATTGTGCCTAATTGTCATCTTTATTATTGAATCTCTCTTTTTCAGATTGTCTTCTTTCTATGATGCTGTTCTTCCAGTTATCAAAGAGTCAGTTAACCATAAAGACTTCAAAAATAAAAGGTTAGTCAACCATTTATATAGTCTACCATTACTTCCATTAATAGTCTACCATTACAGAAATGGGCAGCTTGCAATCAAATGTGTGTCAACCAAAACAAGGGCCTGCTTCATAATAATATTGACACAGGCTTTTGGATTCATATGGATGTTTAAGTCAAAGCAGGAGCATTTCTGTAAATATGAATTCTTGAAATTCAGATATCTTTTGTACTGCTGTCATAGATACAGTATGAAAAACAATTGTAAATCACTGTTATTAGTGATATTTTTTAGAAGTGACCACACCAACATTTTGTGAATCCCTACTATATTTTTTGGTATAAAAGCTAGTGCATTGCATACATTTCCTTGGAAGTCATTGATAGAGGCTTTTCATGGTTATAACTTTTGCATTAATGACAGGACATGATACATTTCTAATTGTATTTCCGATGAAGTTACAGCTCAGATACATTTGTGGATATTGCGGCAGGCTGCAAGAATTATCATGCAAGGCTAGAATGGACATAATATGCAATCTCACTTCACCTCTGAGGCGTCCGGTAATTAGGTCCGGTAATGAAAAATTGCATTGTGGGATATGTCAAGACTCACCCAGTCATCTGACAATGTCATACACATGTATTGCATTATGGGATACATTTTCAGGTTACAAATTGAGCTGCAGAGATTACTATGTAAGGCTAGGATGGATATGACTAAACTCTATCATTTGGTGGTCGCAAAGGTCTACATAGAACCTGTTCTTAGTCCCAGGTCAGTGTTGTTAAACCAAGTATATTTGCTTATAGCTTCAATGAAGTCTCTAGTTTCCTTGATTGCATCCTCCGATCACAGGGCTCCAAAATACAGAATATCTTCTTTCTTTTTACCCCCTGCGATAAGCAGTTAGCATTTCCCCAATTAAGAAAGAAGGAGGTTCGGATTCTGGACACCTGCTTAGGAGGATGGCTTGGTGGAAGTACATTAATTTTTGGCACCACAACCTAAAATTATATTAGTTTGCCAAAAGAAAGACCTCAACTCAAGCAAGAATGCCATTTACTCGATTTACACTTAGCAAAAGTATGTTTGTACTTCAGAGCAATGAATTTTGATATTTAAATTTCAGTGATGGGGAAAAACTTGAGAAGACGATTGAGGAATATCTGCATGCAGTGACATCATTGCTCTCAGACAAAAGGTTTCTTATAGACTATGACAGACAGTACCCCATACAAGATGACCTGGAGATCATATGTCAGTCACACTATCAAATGTATCCTTTATGAATCAAATTGATGTAAGATGCTTAAATGTGTTAATTCTTCATAATGGGATGTCATGGGACAAAAATATTTTGGGACGAGACGGGACAGAACATTCGGGACAGGACGAGGCATAACAAATAAATCATACCTGATGTACCGTCTTGTCCCGGTAGTTCAGTGAATAAAGTATTGTAAAAAGTGCTGATTGTGATAAGATACAAGAGCGTTGCATAATTATCCCATGGCACACTTTCTAATGACACTTTTGGTAGAAAGTGGCCATTTTAAAAAATGACTGCCATTTTTGCTATATACTTTGTTTGTAAAAATACCAGCCATGGCTGGTCGATTGGATTTGCTACACTTTGGCGTTGCTGTTGTCTAGTTCAGTTCCTTAACATTCTCAGAGATGAGACCAGAGTTGAATTTATCATGGATGCCATATCAAATGTGTACATAAGTCAGAACAGGAGAAGGGAAGGAAAGGAAAAGAGAGTGAAGAGAAAGCAAGAAGAACAGGAAAGGAACAACCAGATAAGGAGAAGGAACCAGGAAAGGAAGGAGCAGGAAGAATTGGCTGCTCTAGCAGAAAAGGGTGTCCCAAAAACTATGGTATGTATGTTGTATATATATACATGATATTTGTCACCAATTGTTGTTCTCAACAATTTTTAGGAACAAAAAATGATTCTGTGAAGATTTGGACCAATTCTCACATTTATGTTCATTTATATATGGTATATAAGATTGGGTCCCCATTATTGTAAAATGAACATTTTGTATAATTTGTCATATAGGATTAAAGGAATTATACAATATAAGGGTTAGAGAGTGTAAAATGTTAGAAGCAATCTTCAAAAATCAGTGTTGCTGGATAAACTTAAGGGCAATCCTTTTAAGTCCGAACTTTTTAGGAAATAGGCATAACATTGAACAATGAGAGAATTTTTTTTAGATTTTGATGATTGTTTTTAAACCTACTCTCAACTAATCTCTATCCCTTCTTGTCCCTTAAAGGGTATTTATAAACATGAAACACCTTGTATGTGGTTTTAGCCTGAGGCTGGTGCAACTGCTGGCCCTACCATTGATGGAATACAACTTGAGTCACTCATCTATTCTGTTAAAGACCTCCTTCCTGACCTTGGGGAGGGATTTATTGAGGTAAGACAATATCCAGGAGATTTTTTTTGTCGTCAAGTGGTATATCATATTTTTATATTCACATCTCATGGCATTTCTTAAAGGAAAGTTATGCCCAAATATTTATTATGATGCTATACCTTTACTTTATTCTTAATTACCAGTCAATTAAGTGTCTATGCATTATTGGTTGATAGTATATATATCAAAGTTATTTGATATTATCAGCTCTAATGAAAATGGTCAGTTCATTTTTTATGAAAAAGTGCAAAATTATTAATTGCTACAGTACTGCTATTTGTCTGTTGTTTCATAAAAAATACAAATCTAAGTGTAAAACCTCTTGCCCTATTATGTTTAAAATGTTCTAGCTTTGGGTATGCTGACTAAACTACATGGTGCAATTTTAATTTTTCGATAATTCGGCCATTTTGAATTTTTCGGCTTGCTTCAAATTGAACAATTTTTTTAAAATGTTGCAGATTTGTCTTGAAGAGTACAACTATGATGTTGAAAGGGTCATCAATGGAGTCTTAGAAGATAAATTACTCCCCTCTCTCACTTGTTTAGATCGAACAATGCCTAGGTAAGTTTTAAAACTGTCCCACATTTTTATTTGACATTGCAAAATAATAGACACTTATATTTTGAGAAACAAATCATCAATTTCAATTGAACATTGGCAAAGTTATGCAGTAAAATACATGTATGTGGGGCAGCTTTGGTATCCACTTTAACTTAATTCAGTGGGTCATGGAACTCCTAAATGTACTCCACTTACAGAGGTATTCCACTCACAATGGTGGTCAACTTGTCAACAAGAATGTTTCTGATTCTCTTGTGGTTCTATACACAATTTAGAAATTTGGAGGTCTTTTAGCTTTTTCTGATCTAATCCTCTATGTAGCTGTTCCTGACAATCCTTTTTTGGATGGTATCCAGCAATTCGTGTTTGGCACTTGGTGTTTGGCATCCAGCATCTGTAACAAATGACAGGTTGTGACATTTTGCATTGTAATGCCTTGTTTTCACCTTGTGGTTTGCTGTATTCCATTTGCTAGTTTCTTACTGTTTGCTGTATAATTGTGTTGTATGTATGTATTCTTTATTTGCGTCTATTCATTTAGACATTGGTCTCATATGTTTCCAGACAGGAGAAGGACCTTCTCACAGAGGATGAGTCTGAAAGTCTCCTAACAGGACGACAGAACATCTTTGATAATGATGAATTTGACATCTTCAACAAAAAAGATGTTGACATGTCTCGAATACATAAAGGCAAAAAGTAAGTTAATTTGAATAATGGGTTATTTTGAGTTCTCTTATGCTCTGTTTGTAATCTTAACCATTGAAAACATTTTACCCCTGTCAAATTATTGTAAATATTTTTCCCATATATCAAACATATACAAAATTTCTGTATTAACTGTACATGATGTATATGACATTCAAAATCACAGTCTTTAATGCCATCGATTTATATTTCAGGGATAAAAACTCTGATATGAAAAATGTACTTGAAGACAAAAGTATAATTGACCACTTCAAACCAGTTTATGACCAATATGGACACATGGATATGAAAAGCGTTTATGATAAGGAACGTCCCAATTCCCACATGTATGATGAAGACTATGAAGATGAGTACGATGATACATATGATCAGAACACTGTTGGTGCAGATGACGATGACTCTGCAGATGAATTGTCCAACAGAAGGTGAGATTTAAAATAATCAACCAATGAATTGTATCAGTTTTTGAATTTTGTTTATGCCAATTCTTCTCTATTAAAACCAGGGACAATTTCCTTGGACCAGAACTGGTTTCCAACCATACCTGGATTTGTTGAATTGTTATTTAAAAATAATATTTAAATTATTTCAAATCTTGATAACTGTAACAGAAAAAGTCTTCATGGACAATTACATTAATCTCTCACAAGTAGTATAATTATTTGTTGCACATTCCTGAATTCTGCAGAGTAACTAGTTTTTAAATAAAAAATGTTTATTTGATTCCAGGAGGTTTGTGGTACCTAGAGCTCTCCAGCACTTGTACAAAGACAATGATAATGATGATGAAGAAGATGAGGAGAACCCTGTTACTCATCAAGGATATAATGATAGGGGTAGGGACGCGAGAAAAGACCCAATCCATTTTATAGAAGATCCTGCCAAAGTAAGAGAGCGTCAGGAACAACGTCGAGCAGTGATGCGGAGTAACAAAAAACCACCCCGTGATGTTAAAGGTCAGGCAAAGGGCAAAGGTCAAACAGAAGAGGTCAATAGGAACAGGCTATTTAAAGACAAACATAAAGCAACTCGTGCTAATCATAACAGGAAAGAAGGAGCTACCAGAAAGCAAGCAAAGGGAATGATGTAGATATAGGACTCAATTTTTGTTGTGAATTGTACATTTGCATTTTGTCCATGATGTGATGCCTCTGCTTAACATGTGATTTTCAGTTTGGGATGTGATACCAGTTTAGTTTATACAATTCATGGGAAAGGGATACAAAATTTCAAGCATAAGCACATCTAGTTCAAGAAAGATGCGTAATGAAGTCTATCGTGATAAAAATACTGTATATTCTATGTTAGATAAATATACATGCAACATTTGTAAAAAAAATTCTCAATCACTGAGAATTATCCATATATGTATTGATTTGATCTGTACGATTTATGAAATGAACACATTTAATGAATAAATTAATTGTTTCATAATTTGTTTCAATTCTCCATATTTTTGTACATGATTTTAAAAGATACTTACTATACTTGTACAGTCACAGGCTGGTATCGAAAGATTTGTCCGCTGTGACGGAGCATGCTATTTTTCACACTAAAAAAATCGTGAAGTATTCTTAGTGTTTTTATGAAAAATAGCATGCTCCGTCACAGCGGACAAATATTTCGATACCAGCCTGTGACAGTTAAGATGGAAAAATGCTCCACAGCAGGGTTGCCCAGGACTCATTAAAACATTTTAGTTATTAGAGAAGGGAATTTGATTAAATTATTCTTTAATCATATCATTCCTTTTATGACCTATTTTAAGAGACAGTATAACTAAAGACCCAAGTCCAACAAGGTGTAGTTGAAAAATCACATATTAAAATTCAAAAATGACCATTCCATAGGGCTTTGCATTGCGCATGGTGTTTTTGGCAAGCTCAGTCTTTGGAACATAGGGTGGTCTACATTGACAAATTGATTATCCAGCCCCATCTATACAGTATTATACACTATCCGTCAACATTGACCTTTTCTGCTACCGCAGCAATGGATAGAAACTAAGGAACTTGCCAAGAGACAAATAGAACATAAAACCTAGACTGTAGAGAGAGAGACCTTTACTGCCATCTTTCAGTCATCCTAGAAATAATTGGACCAAACATGATTCTCAAAACACTGTTTTACTTTAAGTAACAGTGGTGTCTTGTCACTCACAATTTCAAGCAAATAAACAGTTACAATTATCCATTTCATTTCCCCCACAGTGAACAGACAAGCAGAGGCCATGAGTGGATGTTCAAATGCTGAAGAAGATACATTACAGCACAATATTCCCGAAGGTGTTGAATATCATAAAGAATGATAATTTCAGCAACATTGGTTTCCTGAGATCAGATTTCAAGGTCACATGACCAAATCAATATGGCTGACAGCGAAGATGAACATCCGTCATCACCGGATAATATTGACGATTCACAAGGCCCAAGGCTTGTCACAATAAGCAAAACAGAGACAGGATTTGGATTTAATGTTAGAGGACAAGTTAGTGAAGGTGGCACGCTGAAAAGTATTAATGGCGAGCTGTATGCACCGTTACAACATGTCAGCGCAGTTCTGGAAGGAGGTGCCGCGGAACTGGCTGGGATTCAAAAGGGAGATCGTATTCTCGAAGTGTAAGTTGGATCGTTGGAGAAATTAACTTATTATTTGTGTTTCCTTTTAATGCAACATTTAACCTTCAACATCTTGAATACTTTTATTGCCATGGTATTTGTCTAGCAGTTATGTTATTGCTCTGAAAATTAGATCTAGTGGAATTATTTCCTGTTTCACTTTCACTTTAGTAATAGGCTATAAAAGTACAGATATTGTAGCTTAGCTTACAAGTTACATAGTTACTACTCCATGGATAGTTTCATAGTCATATTCGTTAATTTAGCCTGGGATCCAGAGTTTTCAGAATGAATGCAAGTTTGGAACAACTCTTCTTTTGAGAATGGTATGTACTGACATATAGCTGTCGTCATGGGCATTCTATTACAAATGTACCCATGATATTATTACTGCTTTTAGTCATGATTAAAATGTACTGCCATCCATCACAAATAAACTGTACTGCTATCCGTCACAAATTAACTGTACTGCCATTCGTCATAAAATAATCCATCATAAATCATAAGACATCATGTTCGCTGCTAATTTTGACGAAGGCCCCTATATAGTAGATGTAGCTTACATGGCTAGTCTTCAAGGCAGCTTTAAGTCGTCATATGATTACTCAAAGTAATGACATCAATATAATTGTGTTTCTCAGTGGTCTTTTATTAACAGTAGATCAGTTATTTACAAATATCTGTATTTTTTCAGTGGAATTTTGACTGGATTATCTTGTCTTGTTACTGTCATGGAGTTCTATGATGTAATAGTGGACAGTCTTGATTGAAATACTTAAAAAATACGAAAAAATGTTATACTTTACATTTTTCATATTGTTGATGAATGATAGGTCCCAGGCAGATCTACACAGTCACATACCCCATGCAGACAGATCACCAAAAATTACATTCATATGATTCAAGACTCAAAATACAACTGGAAACTAGAAACATTTTGTCACTTAAATGCAGCAAATTAATTTTACTGTCTAATAAATGGTGAATGACGGTATACAATTAATATTTGAAACATGAACTATTATTCGAACTTACATTTTGTATGATCGGACATAAAAAAGTATGATTTGTACTTCAAGGTAATAAAGTAACATCATACTTATGTCCAATCATAAGTGTTTCAAATATTAATTGTATGACATATACGAGACCAATGTTAATGCTACCAGTGGGAATCTGACCTGCAGGCCTTACTATTTATATGTGATGTATATTTATAAAAATCTACAAATATTTTGTTGCAGTTTCATCCTCACATCATAATTTAAATCACCATCATCACTTTTCAAACGAGTTACCTTGAAATATCAAGACATCATACTATTCATACTTATAAAACTTAATGTGACTGTCATTCACCATTTGATCTTTCTTAATTTCTTTTGGAACTCTTGGCAAATTTGGTCTATTTTCGATAAAAATATGGTACTGGTATTGAAGCAGGTGATCATGAGAATAATAACAGGGCTATGCAAAACACTTAAGGAACGTAAAAATAAGGCTAGTAGGCCTACCTACCCTGCGTGCAGAATCTAGTTAAACTACACTCTGCCTAGTAGAGACCATATTACAGTTAAGTAGCCTTGCCCCCACGACAGGTACCGGTGACAATTTGGGTAAATCACTTTTGACCTACGAGCTGACCTTCCACCAATCAGCGAGCTTGAAGAAACATACGCCAAATGCGTTGTAATTAAATATGCGCATGTCATTGGTCAATTCCGGGCTCAACGATGACATCAGAAGGAATGACCATATAAAGAACGTCGGTCAAATTTGGCCGACGAACACTGATTGGCGCGGTGAGTTCACAGGTTTATTTTAGTTTGAAAGATTGAAGACGAAGCTCTCTTTTAAGAAGTGAAGTCAAACGAATGCAAAGGGTAGCCTACTAGAAATCTACAGTAATTCTTTTTCTTTAGTATTTTAAGGACTGGTTAGTTTTCACTTGAACCGGCGATTAAAGGTAGTTACAGATCCAGGTGACCTATAATGCTTAAAACCTGGACTGGTTGAAATTATGATTTTGCCAGTCTATTGGTCTTGTAAGTTATATTCTCTTAGGGAAAACACTGTGTGTGTGATCAAAATGTTTCTAGTTTCCTGGTGAATGTCGAGTCTTGCATCATACTAATGTAAGTTTAGGCGATCTGTCTGTATGAGGTGAGTCAATCATGCTGTTGAACAAAACTCCTGTCTCATTAGATTCTACACAGTTGCTGTATCACCTTGTCAAGGTCCTATTAGATTTCATACAGTAGCTATTACCCAAGAGCTTGAGTTTGCTTTTGTTTTAATATATAATTTGCTAAAATGAGGCAGTTGAATTAAATTCCTTGGATGCAAGCTAGACTTCAGTCAATAATAAAAGATAAGTGATTGACACATTTCTTACTTTTTATAATCGCCTCCTTATTTTTTCAATAGTACCATAACAATTATCTTTTTCCTAAGCTATGGTATTGTAACAGAATATAAAAGAAATTGCTTTCAGGATTCTTCAAGAGAAAATGTAAATTTACATCAAAGCGCATAAATTGGTATCAGTTAAGTACAAATGTGACATGTCCCCTTTTACAAGATATTGACATTTTCAAGCACATGGCTCAGAAAGAAGCATACAGACATATGTTTTTCAAAGCTCAAATTAATTTTGGTTTATTACTCAGAAATTTTATTGCATCTGAAGAAAACCAACCAATGAGATAATATGTTCAACTTTATTAAATTCAAATTTAGCATAGCTTGTCATCTTTTTAATGAACAAAATAGAATTGTTTTTATTGGCGTTGTTTTTTAATCTTTTGGGAGACTGAATTGGATTATGAATTAAAATATTATGTATCATCCATTTTCAGAGCTGCTATTATAGACAACTGATATTGCACATCAGGTTTTATGATTAGATTTATTATTACCAAGGGAGAGATTATTCAAGCTCATATTCTATTACTGTGTGGTATTAGTTTCAGACATGATCTAAGAAGAAATCTTATTCTTGTGTTACTTCTTTAGTTCTTTCCAAGCTACCAGTACTCTTGGATAGATCAATCAATCAATCAAAGTAATCATGTCCCTTATTGGATATGATGTCATTCTTACTTTCAAGTATCATCTTCCTTCACTCAGCTCCTGGCGTTCCGATTAATATATTGATAATATTCCTAATATTTCATATTATATTTTCTATAATATTTTGTATAATAAATCTGCATCCAACCTCCTTAAATTTATGTAAAAATGAGAAAAAATGGCGTTAAAGCAAATAGCGTAAATGTATCTTTGCAAAAATATAATAACCTTGTTCACTTATCTCTCTTAGTTACACATGATTTTGTTATAGTCTCCAACTTTTTTATAGACGGCGTTTGGTGCTCGGCATCTGTAACAAATGGGAAGTGGTGACATTTTACATGCTAATGCCTTGTTAGTTAATGATAGTGAAATATATAAGATTTCTTCAATTCTATATATTGTATTTGTTCAAAAGCCCTGGCTCCTACAACACGTACATACATGTGTGTTAATATTTTCCAGTAATGGAGTAAATGTGGAAGGATCGACACACAAACAGGTTGTGGATTGTATAAGATCTGGGGGAGACACACTGAAACTCACAAGTAAGTTTCTAGTAGCACTTGTCCATAGCAGGAGAATGTAGGCATTTTCAAAATGGAGGATGGTAAATGTTAATTTCGATATATGATTGAATTAACCAGTTTGCCATGGAGATTCTCCTGTACTGACCTCTGAGCTACTAGTTTCATTAATTGCAATTTCATCACAGTTCTACTCAAAGGTTGAGACATGATTTTCATACTTTTAAAGGCTGGCAATTAATTCATTCCCCAATTTACCACCTATTTTGAAGTCCATTACCAAGATGTATTTCAAATAATTGTTTATTTTTCTATACATTTGCCCAAAGGTTAAAATTGCACCTCTTACCTTGACATTATTTTACATCCTTTTAGCTCTAATAGATTGACCCCTTTCCCCCTCTCAATGTAAAACTAAACATTCATATATTTTTTCTGAAATGATTGTTGCTCTCTTTTTATAAGCAATATTTCCTATCAAAATATAATCATAGACTTTTACCCCCTCCTTCATTACATAATTAATAACATTTGTATTTCCTCCAAAATATTCGTTTGTAATATTATAAGTGTGTTCTAAACCTTTATTGAAAGCAAAAATGTCAGATTTGCCTTTGCACATATAAGCATTAAGTATTGTAAAGTGGGATTAGTGATTATTCATTACAGTAATTTGGCTTAGCCAGAAGTGACATATTTTCTGGGATACAATTTGAATACTTTCATTGTATCATACAATATCTCAGGAATAAATAATGATAGGCCATTCAATATGGTGAAATTCAGCATGAGTTGGTCAGAATGTCGTACAAAGCACGGACCAAAGGTGAGTGCATTTGTACTGACATTCTGTCCAACGAGTGTAGAATGTCACTATATTGAATGGCCTATCATTCTTTATTCTGATTTAAACATAAAAATGAAAACATTGTTCAGAGAATTGGGGATCGGGGGTCCATAAAATAACCAAACTTGCTGTTATTTTCGCCATTTATTGGTGTGACGTCACAACACAAGACAACACGTAGATACCCAGATGATTGAATAGAGCACAGAAGTGCATCTGTGGATAATTAGAGAACGTTCTATATTGGCTATGCTGCATTCTGATTGGGTGAGAAATTCAATTAGAGCACAGACATGTTTGAATTTATCTTATATGTATTATCAGGAACATTAATCCAAGTCAATGTATTAAATGTGCAAAACCAAATTTTAAGCCTCCTACCTTAGAAATTCAAGAGGCTTTATCTGAGTAGAATAGAGAAGGTTGAGAATCAATAAGTTCACTTTGATAGCTGAGATTTGTTCTTGGATAGATCACCTTTAACGAGACATACCCGGCAACCTAAGTATCGTTGAGGAATAACTCATGTTCTAGTGCAGTGCAAGTGGTGTTTGTTTTCTGTTTTTTAAAATGATGTTTCAACATACTGTTGTATCATCACCTTTAGGGCAAGTTAAGTTAATTTATGAAAAAGCATTTGTGAAAAATTGATCTGTATACTACCAGAGCAATGGTAATAGGAAAAAGTCACTGTTATGATGTAAGGGAGTCCCACATGCAACTCTCGGTTACAGTATATAGGGGGGATAGGAAGAGCAAGGTTAGCACTATAAGGGAATTAAAAATTCATTAATATGTTTTTCACCAGACCATGGAAATCAAAGCTCTAGCTAGTGTTTTAGCATTAATCTAATATCATATATCCTTATATTGATGCCATTTGATATACGTTCAAACACAAGACTAGACCAGACCCTAAGATTAGGAATATTTGATACAAGTCCTTTGGACTTGTAAGTCAAAACTTTACAAGTCCATCCAAAAAAATACAAGCCAAAAAGGACTTTTAAATCTGAACGTTACAAGTCCAATAAATCACTTACCGTATTCTTTAGGGGCGCTTAGAAAAATCAGAATAATAGAGTTGTCCTAAAGAAAATGCCCCCCCCCCAACTGAGCTCTATATGCACTTGGTCCTGAAGACCCCCTCCCCCACCAACCATCTGTGTTTTTAATGTGCCCATATATGAAAGAAGAAAAACAGAAATTTCATGAGGCTAGTAAAGTTTTCTTGCCAAAAATCAGAAACATCAGAACGGGGTATGAGCATATCTCTGCAATAATGGCATGGATTGTTATTGGAGAGTTTACCGTAAAGATCGCTAAATGAACCAAGAATCAATTGCAAAAATTCACAATAGAGCCCTGCGAATTGAATGAAGCGTTTTCCCCGATTATCTTTATCATTTCCGCAAAAGATCGTCGGATATTTATCTAGTGTTATACCTCAAGATCCCACTCAAGTTAACTGTAACGATCGATCATTATTTTCCGTGTAAAAGTCTTAAGAATATTGAGAAATGTAAAAAGAGAAAGAAAATTTTATTCTAAAGTTCATGACCTTGACCGTCAAGTTCACATGCGCAAAAAACTTGCGCAAAAGGCAGCAAATTTAATTGGTTATTGCGAGCTGAAGTTAGGCATATAAGCCAATGAGATCACGCCTTACTTACGTGTGCGAGCGGAAGTAAGCAGATTTTTAAATTTGAACCAATGAGGATGCGACTTACTTACCTGTTTGGATCAGCATCCACGGAAAAACAAAATGAAAAATGAAATTGAAGTTTCAAACTTTTATTCATATTACCGCGGATCAGGGAAACCATGACCAATATTGACGTATATAGTCAATCAAGGTAAGCTCATAGGTCGTTTTGAAATACGCCAGGGGGACTTGTATTTTGTGACGAAGCACGCCAGCCACTAAAACTAGGCGCCGCTGGCGTCCTGGCGTGTGGGAATCTTAGGGTCTGGACTAGACTCTCATCAACTCAAATTTCAGATGCTGATTATTAATTAGTTTTCATGATCTCGGGTCCCATGATATGGTTTGGATACAAGGATAGGGAACGCCTCTACCCTCCGTCCTTACATACGTCTGTATGTACGTACGTACGTCCGTCTGGGCAATAACTCAAATACCGTTGGCCCGATTTTGTTCATATTTTGTTCACATATACCCTATGGGGGTAGAAGTTCTGCTTGAAAGCCGATTTTCAAAATGGCTGCTCATTTAAAAATGGGGGCCATTTTAGTGCCGATTTTACAGTAGTTTAGGTGCAATATGTAAAACTGTCATAGCAATATGTCTTAAACGTAAAAAAATTATATAGGACATTAATAAAGCTAGAAATATAGATATTAAAGAAGCACATGGCAGCCATCTTGAAAAATGGCGGCATTTACTCGTTATTTTATGATTTTTGCTGTAACTTTAAAAGTAGTGGAGCAATTTTGTTCATATTTGGTATGTGAATGCTATAAGCATTGGCACACAGTCTAATGACACTTTTGGTAGAAGGCGGTCAATTCAAAATGGCCACCATTTTAATGTATTTTACTATGTATAACTCGAAAAGTAGTAGAGCGATTTTGTTCATATTTGGTATGTGAATACTATAAGCATGGCACACTGTCTTATGACACTCTTGGTAGAAGGCAGCCATTTTTCAAAATGGCCACCATTTTACTATATTTTACTGTAACTTGAAAAGTAGTGGAGCGCTTTTGTTCATATTTGGTATTTGAATACTATAAGCATGGCACACTGTCTAATGACACTTTTGGTAGAAGGTGGCCATTTTGAAAAATGGCTGCCATTTTTTGCTCTATACTTTTTTGTAAAAATGCCAGCTATGGCTGTTAGATGGGATTTGCTACGCTTTGGCGTTGCTGTTGTCTAGTTCCAATGGTGAAACTAATGGTTAAGTTCAATAAAAAGGGAAAGGTTATTGTAAGTCAGGCTATTCATCATTTGTACTTAGTTTTATTTGCAAGATCAATTTTTTCTTTTATTCCACAGTAAATCATTTTGATTACCTGAGTAATTAATACATCAGGCATCTAATGAAAGGCAACTTTTTGTTCATAAGCCAACAACACATTAGGAAACATCAACTGTGAGTGACTGATCCATACGGCAGTGATCTCCCCAGCATTAAAGCACGTGGGCGCAGCACCCACCTGATATTTTGGAAACAGGTTTGCACACACCTGAAAATGAGAAAAATCATGAAAAATGGGCACTATTTTGTCTAATGTTGGTCTGAATTGTGAAAATAATAATAATTTTGCACCCCAAAAAAATCCTGTGGAGAACACTGTACAGTATCCCTGAAATAAACCAAGGTACATATTTAGTGATGCTGTCCAATCATCAACAGTCATAGAAAATAAAGCTAATTTCATTATGGTTCACAAGAGGGGGAGTAACCCTAGGGTTCAAAGATGATATACGCTTATAATGTAAATCTGTATTGAGATGACATCGTCGCTAATTGGTTTAGCGAGTCGATCATTGATTGGTTTAAAACTAGGTCAATTTGAAAACTTTAAAAACCAAGATGGAGGGTAAACAAGTATACGTACTTCCGGGAAAGGAGGTGCGCGAAGGAGGAAATTGTATGTCATTAATTGAATCATGGGGTTTTCCCTCCTCTTATGCTTTACAGTATCTAACAAAATTTTGAAACGTTCATTTGTCTTTCACTTAAATATTTAAAAAATCAACACTATTCCCTAACGAAACCATCATTTGCTAATGAAACTAAACTTTGTTATCCTACAACTATTGATAATTTGACAGCATTCCTATAATATACTTAAAACTTCAGATAAAGATATAGAAAAGAATATGAACCAAAAGATGCAAAAATTATTACAAAGTTCAAACTTTATTTTAAATCCTCCCATCTTGTTGCTTTACAATATAAGATGTGATACGACGTATATGAATGACTCAGGTATAAAATTATATATATTTCAGATGGAATTGTTCATGAAGTAGATGGTTCCAAACTCCAAAGACAATAAAATTTCATAGAACTAATTGTTAACAGTAGTATACTTGTTCCCTCATTGTCAAGTATTTAAGAGATTGAATGATATATAATATTAGTACATTGTACTCTTATATTCCATTAAGACAATACTGCACTTACGGTGTCAGAATTTG